CGAGCCCTCGGCCATCCTCTTCCTCCTTCGACTAACTCCGCCTAACATCGCCGCACTTCTGCTCCCATTGTCCCTACTTAGCCTAACTCCGCCTAACATCGCCGCACTTCTGCTCCCATTGTCCCTACTTAGCCTAACATCGCCTAACTTCGCCGTACTTCTGCTCCCATTGTTCCTACTTAGCCTAACTCCGTCTAACCTCGCCGTACTTGGTGTCAGAAGTCCTGAGTTACGTGTAGAGTAAAGAGGTTAAGGCGTGATGGGGTTTTGATGGCCAAAGGAGGGTCATTGTTGGTGGAGTAATCGAGGTGTCACGACGTAGTTCGTGACAGAATGCACGGTTCACACTGGACAAAGATGGACTTTTAGCTTACCACGACCCTCTCACTGGCAAAGAACGACTTTGCATCCCCTCCATCAACCACCTCCGACTCACCCTCCTCCACGACAATCACGATGCTATAAGTGCTGGGCACTTAGGTATACATAAGACACTATCACTTATCTCTCGCCGCTTCTTCTGGCCAGGAATGCACAAAGATGTCCGACAGTATGTCACCTCCTGTGAATCTTGTCAAAGGAATAAATCATCTGCTGAAGGACCATCTGGTCTTCTCCAGCCCTTACCTATTCCTCCACAGAGATGGCATACCATAGCAATGGACTTTGCTGGACCACTCCCGCCATCAGGAAAGGACCGATTTGACATGGTACTGATAGTGACTGACAAACTCACAAAACGATCCCACTTCATCCCCTGTCATACAACTGACAAAGCTACCAACACCGCTCAACACATCTTCAACCACATCATTCCCCTTCATGGTATGCCTCGTGTCATCATCTCAGACCGAGACACCAAGTTCACTTCCCTCTTTTGGAAAGCACTGTTTCAAAAATTTGGAACAAAGCTTGCCATGTCTACACCCTATCACCCCCAAACCGACGGACAATCAGAACGCATGGTTCGAACAGTGAAGGAAATGCTCCGACATTATGTTGATTATCGGCAGGATAACTGGGTTGATCATCTTCCAGCTTTGGAATTTGCTTACAACTCGGCCACACATCAGTCTACCGGTATATCCCCATTTGAGCTTGACCTTGGCTATCAACCCCTTGCACCTCTGGACTGTCTTATTCCCATTCAAAGTGATGTACCCGCAACCGAAGACTTCCTTGATAATCTCAAAAGCTTACAACAGCAAGCTCAAGATGCTCTTGCACTGGCTCAAGAAGAACAAGCCCGTCATTTCAACATAGGACGAAAGGAAAGACCCTTTTCAGATGGAGACATGGTTATGATATCAACAAGTTACCTCAGTCCCCCATTCATAAAAGGTGCTGGATCGAAGAAACTGAAAGCAAAGTATGTTGGACCTTTCCGCATAGTGAAGGTGGTCAGCCCCACTTCATATAAGGTTGAGTTACCACCTCACATAAAGGCTCATCCAGTTATCAACACTCAGTACCTACGACTATTTCGCTCTAACCCATTTCCAAACCGGAAGCAGCCCCCTCCTCCACCATTAGAACCTGCAACAGCAGAGACGGCACCAGAGTATGAAGTAGACCACATACAAGCACACAGAATTGGACCTCAAGGAAAAGAGTACTATCTAGTGCATTGGGAAAGGCTATGCTGATCATGATGATACTTGGGAGCCAGCTGACAACCTCAAAGGTGCTCCACTGGCCATTACCAAGTATTGGCAGTCTCATTCTCATGGTGATCAGAGGGATGATTCTCCAAGCCTGGGGACCAGGCTTACTCGCCGCCGGGGGTGATGTAGTGGATCTGACCATCCCCTACATACTGATCAGTACCGAGCTACTAGATTCTCTTCCAGACACCCCTACCCCTGTCTCTTGTCTGCCTATCATAGTCTATACAAGTGCTTATACGCACTTGCCTCAGTTACGCCTTCTTTACCTATAGTCTCTCTTGTCTCCTAGTATATAGTATTCACGCATAACGCGTCAAAGACGCAGATTCTGTCAAGTCTTTCCTACGTCAAACGTCAGCCAATTTATGCATATAAGCCGGGTCGGAGGGGGATCTCTTCCTCCATTGTCTTTCTTCTCCCATCCTCTTTCTTCTCACTTCTTCTCCTCCTTTCTCCTCCACCTCTCTCAGACCCTCTTTGGTTTCCCTGATACACTCTTTACTTACATCTACTGACCTTTGATCATTGCGGACTAGTATTATCCACATCACAGAGTTCCGATTCAGTATCCAGCCCTACGGGTAGGTTACATTTATTTATTTGTGGTGATTGTCACGAGACCAACTAACCAGCACTGGGACGATATAACAGTGCCCTTCAGAGACAGTGGTCTAAACCACTGCGCTAAAAGGCCTATTAACCGGCGGTTACTGCATACCGCCGGTCGCTGGTTAAATACCCAACCCATCCTATCACTATCACTATCAAACTGTCTTGTCACTTCGTGACATTATGCCTTCCCTTTCAGCCCCATCTGGGGCCCCAACAGGGATGGGCACGATAGGCCGAAAACTTTCTCCGAGAGGGAGGTTTTCCAAGTAGGGACTGAGCACGACCCAGCCCACCCTGGGAGTCGAACCCAGGATCCTACCCGTAACCGCCGGTTAATCTGTCACGAGACCAACTAACCAGCACTGGGACGATATAACAGTGCCCTTCAGAGACAGTGGTCTAAACCACTGCGCTAAAAGGCCTATTAACCGGCGGTTACTGCATACCGCCGGTCGCTGGTTAAATACCCAACCCATCCTATCACTATCACTATCAAACTGTCTTGTCACTTCGTGACAGTGATCCTCACAAGCAGGATCATTACACTCAGTCGTGACCCATATCTCATCTCTATGGTAATCAGTCATATCAAATAGGTGATTGGCCATATTAGATAGGTTAGTTGACAAGCCAAATAGGTTATCGAATAGGAAATAGGTAATCTAAGACAGGGGATAGGTTAGTTAATAGGCAGAATAGGTAATTCAAGGGATAAGTAGGTAGTTTTGCCTCGAGAATTACCTATGCGAGCTATATCATGGATAGGTTTGCTATCTCTAGGTAGACTATATAAAGAGCACATTTACTTTGTAGTTATTCTTCTTCTCAAGGATCAAAATATTATTTGCCACTTCACAAAAGACCTCTTCTTGACATACTACTTACTTCGAACCAACCCTCATCATTATCTCTGTCAACACCATCACATACGCCGCCATCATCATCTCGACCTGCCCGGATCCTTCGCAAGTCACTTAGTCGTCCGATCATATCACAAGTCTACGGACAACATACTAACCGTCGTTGTCCCAGCTAACTAAACAGTTGCAGTCCACCTGTCTTTGATCCATCAAGGTCTGTCAAGGACAGGACCGTGACACATTCTTTGGCTACATCGATTGCAGAGGAGACACAATTCATTAGCACCAAGACACTTAGACTTCTACCAGACTTCCATCGAGTTTGACCCAACCTGCGACCTAGTCATTGTGTTTCCAGTACCGTTACAGAAACCCCGGAGTTTATCACTGCACTCTTTGATTTCTGGCCAAAAATCTGGAGCCAGCTGGAAGACAATGACAAAACAATTGCCTTGTGTTTCACATCTTTTGAAAGGGTGAAGAATGAACCAGCTTTGAGTGAAGTCTATGAATTTATCTGGGATCAATTTTGCGAGCGTGGGAAGGAGTTTCTACAAAACAAATTGACTCAAATCAGCTCTGAGGGAGAGCGTGTTCAATTCCATCTAGTTGATTCAAAAACGTATAAGTTTCTGCTCAGCATGAACCTGGAACCCAATCTGTGTGAGTCTAATGGCCTGCTTAACATGTTGTCTTGCTTGGAGCTATACACTACTCAGCAAGGAGTTTAATCAGACTACATCTGTAGAAAGATACAATGAATCACAGGAATGCATGATATGAGAGAGAGCAATTTCCCCAAACCCCATGAAAGGTGATACCCCATAGATTTGGTGAAGCAAGCGATGAAACGGTTCAAACCATCCTCGTTCTTCTGCTAGATTTCTAGTCATCCAGGTGGCGCTGGAGATAGAATTGACCGAAATGAGTGACTGTCACGAGACCAACTAACCAGCATTGGGACGATATAACAGTGCCCTTCAGAGACAGTGGTCTAAACCATTGCGCTAAAAGGCCTATTAACCGGCGGTTACTGCATACCGCCGGTCGCTGGTTAAATACCCAACCCATCCTATTACTATCACTATCAAACTGTCTTGTCACTTCGTGACATTATGCCTTCCCTTTCAGCCCCATCTGGGGCCCCAACAGGGATGGGCACGATAGGCCGAAAACTTTCTCCGAGAGGGAGGTTTTCCAAGTAGGGACTGAGCACGACCCAGCCCACCCTGGGAGTCGAACCCAGGATCCTACCCGTAACCGCCGGTTAATCTGTCACGAGACCAACTAACCAGCATTGGGACGATATAACAGTGCCCTTCAGAGACAGTGGTCTAAACCATTGCGCTAAAAGGCCTATTAACCGGCGGTTACTGCATACCGCCGGTCGCTGGTTAAATACCCAACCCATCCTATTACTATCACTATCAAACTGTCTTGTCACTTCGTGACAGTGACTTGGCGGTCCTTCTATCACTGATTTCCTCCACTCGTCCTGGCGGATCAGAATCCGGGTCACTCCCTGTATTCATATACTCTCTCCGATCGGGCTGGTCCAACCCCGGCAGATAGAAGCTTGCGGTATACCCTGCTAAGACTGGTCACCAATCACGGAAAGGGAAATCGAAAATTATGACGTAAGAGTTCCACGATGGACAACTTCCTTCCTCTCCCGCTTTGACCAGAATGCGGAGTTGGCTCGGTGATCATCACATACGTCATTTCCAGATGGTACAATGGATGGATGGTCTTCTTAGCCCTCCAACTGGTAGATCAAGAAATTCATAACAGCCTGGATCAATCACTTTCAACAACACTCCCCCACATCCTGGTAATTTCCCAACAACAAGCCTTTCGAGCCATGTCTGGCCTATATGTGACCGGCAGCAGCATTCTACAGGAAACAAAGTGGTGTATTGAATCAAATAAGAGCGCACCCCCGGAAACGAGTACCATACAAAAGAGAAGAAAGGCCAAACCCCCCACAAAAGGGGTAGTACTAGTTGTTTGTGCTGAAATAGTGCCAAGGAACTCTTACCAAGTTAGTGATGCTCAGGATTCTAACACGGTCACCATCCCCTATCCCAACCAGGTCGGTGAGTCTGACAAAACCACTTCCAAGACTGCTGAGGAGATCGTTCCGGAGCTGGTGGTCGATCTAACAAGGACTGCTGTCCTTCTAAGCGGTCGGTGGAGTTCGGAGGAGATAAAGCAATTCACTACCCGTTGCTCCGAGCGTTGGGATCCGCAGCTCCTGAAGACTAGTGATGCTGATCCTAAAGTGGTACCGGGTATCTTTAAAGCATGGGAAAGACTGTACCCAAAGATGTCCGAGGCTGAGCGGCAGATAGCACTAACACTCTTGGCAAACCAAAGTGTACCTGACTCACAGGCTGAGTCCGCAAGGAAAATAACGTCAAAGCTTTATAAAAGTTTATTCAAACCTCTGGTTGATAACTTCCCTGAGCTCAAGATGGCAGGTGTCAAAGAGGATGTCTGCTGGGTGGGGATTGAGGACTATTACTCTCTCCTTACCCAAGTCCCGAGTGATGGGTTGAGGACCAAGGAAGGGTTGCGTGATGTGGATAGTTGTGTGGCTATGTACTCAGATATCTCTAAGAGGTAATCTGTCCGACAATTGCCGTATTTACAAATGCACCCCGTTCAGGATGGTTTCTCTTACATGATGCAACTTCTTGTGCAATCAATGTGGTTGTCTCTATTCCTTGTGGTACTGGGCTCATGGATAGCTTGCAAATTCCCACCATCCCTTGCAGTTCTATGTCTGATCCATCCCCAAAGCAGAACAATCTTCTGGGATAAGTTACACAATACGAAATGCCCAATGTCCTTTTGGTTGGTCCGTGTGCGCAACATGTTCGCTCTCAGCTAAAGTGTGCATGTGCCACATTGGACTCAAATGCCACACATGCCACACGCCACGTGACAATTCTCGTCCATTTCGGATCCGGGAACGATTCAACCTGAAATTTCACTAACAACTCCAACTCGTCATTACTCGATCTATACATACATACTTTACTCTCCTCTCTATATAAACAACGCCTACTTCTCAGCTAAACGTTGTCCTTCCTTATCAACTGAAACACACACAGTCGCCACATCCAGATATCTGTCCGCAATCCCCACCCTTCCCTCACCCCCTCCCACCCGTCCTTCTCGCCACCCACCCGCTTTCCAATCTCCGACCGACCTGCCCAGACATTGCGACTCACGACTTGCATTGAACAAAAGACCTCAGACTCACAGACTTGTCAAGCCACATATCTCAGGCTTCGCCCCTCATGTCCGCTACTCAGGTCCAGGAGGGCAGTTCTAGCGGAAAGCCGCCTCAACCGCCGCAGGTCCCGGGATCGACGGCAAGTACGATATCAAAGCCTTCTGTACCTCAAGTCAATCAGCAGACCGAAATAGGGAAACAACCGAACGGAGGATCACATCACGTGTCAAGCGATGGAAGGAGGAAAGGGAAGGGGAACTTTGGCACGGGATACAGAGGGAATGGTTTCCGACCACCCAAGAAGTTGTCGGGAACAGAAACGTCAGATCAGGATCGGGAATCATCTACAATCGATCCTTCCTCTACTATTGATATTCAGAAGCCAAATGCTCCCGTAGTCAACGGCGACTCCACTTCTATCGCACTGCTAACAGACGCCGACCACAATCCTCATGTCTCCGCAGCCGGACCTTCCAGACGTAGTGGGAGAAGACGTGGAGCACATACTGGGCCTGACGGACAGACCAGAGCCTCTCCTCTTGGAACTTCCTCCAATCCGGTCTCACATGGCACCAATCAGGTTGGGTTAGCCTTCGAGGAACAGACATCTCGACAGCTCAGCATAGATGCTACTTCGACTGCAGAGGAGCACGCTCAAGGTTCCTCGTCGAGAGGTGACAAGAAGGGAGACACTGGACAGTCTTCTACAATAAGCCCCAGTGATGTAGCCAGTGGGTCAAAATCGAAACGTTCAAAGAAGGGGAAGCAACCAAAAAGGGAGGAGCAGAAGGAGAATCATTCACTTGATCCTCAAGCTCAGACTTTCGTCCCTTCTAGACCGACTGCATCCCCGTCTTCACCATCAATGAATCAACATGACCCGTCCTCCTCTTCTCCCCGCTCTAGTCACTCTAAACAACCCCACAATCTATCCCAAAATCGTAATCGTCACGGTATGGACAAAACCCGCCATGACCACCTCAGCACCCATCGGCACGGCTCAGATTCTACATCTGCACGGACGGACGATCCAAGCTCGATACATTCTTCCCGCAATCAACCAAATACCCATCCGCATGGACATCACGTCGGAAATAAACCATCTCAACATATCCACTCCGCTTTTGCCGCCAGAAGAGGCAAAACCCAAGGACGGTCCACCGGAATGATGTCAAAACGTCGAGCCGAGTATCAACATTCAGCTCAGCTCAGCGCAGATCCCTCGAGACCCCTTGGTAGTTCAAGCTCTTCGAAGTCTTCCAATGGCGCAAAGTCGTCGGATTATCAAAAGACGCGGACCGCTAACGGTCAAATCAGTAACCAGGTCGGCTTCCAAGATGCCTTAGGTAATCAACCGTCTGGTCAAGTCGAGCGAAGTTCCGGTATTCAGAATCGGCAGCATAACAAAGGCAAACCGCAAATGCCTCAACCAAATCCGATGAACTCCCCGGAAGTCACTCACCAAAGAACGGCGACGTTTGACCGAAAGGCTCTCTCGGAAAATGGGGAGCAGAGGAAGCAACAGGGACAAGGAAATAAAAGCAGGAAGAAGGAAGAAGAGAAAGACGATTTGACCTCGCGATTGATTCGGGGTTTAGGAAAAAGACCATTCACCGAATGTCCCATAGTACGTTCGTATCCTTTGCGCTGATGAGGGTATTCATGACTGACTTTCAGTGCTTCAATTCCATCACTCCATCTCAACCCACATGGTCATGCCAACCTGATCCTCTACTTTCTGCCCCTTCTCATAACCCCTCCAACCCCTTTCTAACATCTTCAATTCAAACTTCTCATACAGCGTGCTATACCCCATTTCATCTTCATTGCATACGAGATTGGGCTCAAAGGTCTCTTGAACAAGCTCCTCCACTACGAATTTCCGATGATCCTCCTGAATGGCGTTGTCCAGGTTGTCGAAAATCCCGAATCGTCGCTCCTGGAGCTTACATTTGTTTTTGCGGTAGATTGACCAATCCACCCACTTCGAACATCGCCCCTCATTCATGTGAAGATTTATGTTCTCGTCGGAGAGGAGGATGTGACCATCCATGTCCACTGACTTGTCATCCTGGACCTTGTCCGCCTTGTCAGACAGCTTTGATCGTACCTTGTCCTTCACACCATACTCCTTTAGCCGTGAAATGCGCAGTGGTCAGTGGTAACACGGAGATAGGTAAGATGGGAGCGGTTTGTGATGAGATTTGTGGGAGATCTTTGGGATGTGGAAATCCGGCTCATGTTTGTCAAGTGAGTATAGGGACTGAGCTCCTTTCAAGTAATCATCTCAAATTGATCTCCCTACTCTTCACGCTGTCGACATCGGCTCCCGCTTTCTCTTTCCGTGATTTCCTGCCACTCTTGATCGTCATTTCCACGTATTTAACCACCGCCATCTGATTCACACTGGATTTACAAACAGCTGTGTGCAGAAGAGTTTGCACGTATTATTATTTTCTGATAGGGAGAGAGAAAACGCTTATTCTCAGGCCCCATGTCATCACGGCGCATGTAATCCATGTGCTCAAACTCAAGTAGTAATGTGTTATTGTGGCCAAGAATCTCGCGTTGTGGCATGCGGAAGTATGCGTCAAGAAGAAAAACGTTGTGCGAGTATCGGTGAAGATGGTGTAGAAGAACACTGGAATGGTCGTTTCAGTTGCGGAAAAGAGTGTGATAGATTCTATGATTGTGGAATCCATCCTTGCAAAGAGGTAAGCCTCTTTTTATACCCCTCATTTATACTTTACTGACGATACAGAAATGTCATCCCCATCCTTCTATACCACTACCATGTCCTACTTCTCCAAACCTCATTCATACCTGTCCTTGTGGTCTCACACCTCTTTCTTCCCTCCCGGCCCCTCCACGGACATCATGTATCAACCCTATCCCAACATGCGACAAGTCTTGTCCTCGTTCACGTCCTTGTGGACATGCTTGTCCTCAGAAATGCCATGTTGGTGAATGTCCTCCGTGTCATTCGGAGGTGGTTCGACCATGTAGATGTGGAGAGAGTGTGGTGGTTTTGGAATGTGATGAATTGAGAAAATTGTTGGATTCTGGTGGAGAGGTGATGTGTGAACGAGTATGTGGGGCTTTGAGGAATTGTGGGAGACATGAATGTGGGAGGGTGGTGAGTGTTGTCGTATCCCTTTCTCTCTCTGTACACGACTCTGGTTTGTTTAAACTCTGGGATTTGAGAATACTGAATCTACTCGACATACTTGGGTTTTCACATATGTCAGGGTGGCTTGGGTCATGGAAAGATTGTTAATGTCATGTGTCTGTTGTTTGAGTGGTCGCTATCTAGTTGGATAAGAAAGCGGCGTTAATTTGAACACAGATGAGGAATTGTGACTGACATTCAGTGCTGTCCCCTCTCTTACCAAGGCAAAAATCGCAAGAAACGAGGAATCATGACACCTATGATCGACCGAGAAGACGATTTACACGTATGTGAACTGACATGCGGACGATTACTCAGTTGTGGATTACATACGTGTGCTAAGAAAGATCATAGAGGTGCATGTGGACGTTGTTTGGAATCATCATTTGACGAAGTGAGTTCCCACCCATTCCTCCTTTTCTCACATATATCATGATGATGATTCACTGATAATAGCTCATTTGTAATTGTGGTCGTACCATCATTCAACCTCCCGTACCATGCGGTACAATATTGACTTGTCCTTTCCCTTGTTCTCGTCCTTCACCATCATGTGGACATCCTAAATCTCCTCATCCATGTCATCAAACACCTGATTGTCCACCTTGTCCATATTTAACCACTCGACCATGTGCATGTGGTAAAGATCTTCATGTCAAAAACGTTCGTTGTTCACAAGATCGTGTTTCTTGTGGACAACGTTGTAATCTTTTATTGGAATGTGGTTATCATCGTTGTTTATTATCTTGTCATAAAACAGGAGAATGTCAACCTTGTAATCAAATTTGTTCAAAACCAAAAAGGATTTGTAAACATCCTTGTATGTTAACATGTCATGCTCCTATCAAATGTCAAGAAAATTCACCTTGTCACACTATCGTGGTTCAAACTTGTTCTTGTGGACATTTACAAAACCGAACGAATTGTGGAGCTTCAACAAATAATCCGATAACAAGAGAAGGAATAGGTATAAAATGTAATTCTGAATGTTTGGTAAGACAAAGGAACGTGAGATTGGCGGATGCTTTAGGAATTAAAGTTGATAAGGAGAAAACTTTTGATTGGTCTTTGGAATTGAAAAGTTTTGCTAGTAATAATATCGGTTTTGTCAAAATGGTAGAAGATACTTTTGCCGAGTTTATTAAAGGTACTAGGAGTAATATGATTTTACCTCATAGTGAGTGAAAGTTTTCTCTCTCTCTCTCTCTCTCTCTCTCTCTCTATCTCTATCTCTATCTCTATCTCTATCTCTATCTCTATCTCTATCTCTATCTCTATCTCTATCTCTATCTCTATCTCTATCTCTATCTCTATCTTCATCTTTATCTTCATTTTTATCTTCATTGACATCTCAAACCGAATTTTCTTTCATTTTCTTCTCAACTCTCTCATCTTTGTATGTTATTCTTCATTCTAATCGTCCTCGCGATGCACTGCATCATCAAGAATGTTTGATCATAGTCTCACCCCTTCTGCGACATCACCAACATATCACCTTCTCGCATCACTGAGACCGTGATGGAGAGTCAGCAGAGGAAAAACACAGAACAGAGATGACAGATGAAAAGATGGAAGATTGAAGAACTGACCTTCAGTGCCTCCTGCTAAAAGAACATTCGTCATATCTCTAGCCGACCAATATCGTCTTTCACGTGAATTGATAGATGCAGAACCCAATCGTTCCGTACAAATCAGAAGGAAAATAGATACACGTATCCCACCTGTTTTACTCTCACAAGTTTCTCAAACTCCGACGATCGCTTCGAAATTAAGATCTGTATTACCCAATTCGAAACCAAACACTTCTTCAACATCTTCCGGCGTTTTTGGCTCCTCATCATTAACACCAAACACTTCTTCATCAATACCCAACTCTGTATCACCTACACCCTATACCTCTACAGGCACAACCGTATCGACATCGTATAGTGGTCATATCTCCACAACCAACCAATCGACCGAAGTTCGCCAACAATCAGGGAAGACTTCAGTGAATAGGGAAGAAAGACCATCAATACCTATAGCTCCCATTTTACCCGAAAGTAGAAGATCAATGGGAGATGTGGAAATACGAACATCTTCCGCAAACCTCCAAGGAGCGAGTGGCCAAGGGATAGAAATTGCCGTAGATTGGGAAGAGAGCGATGAGGATGTGTAATGTCCCATGTGATTTATTCCTTTGAAAGAAGAGGACTTCTTGTGTGCGAGAAATTGCAATCATGCACCGAGGGGGAGAGGGAGTTAGGTGACGAGGAACTGAAAAATATTTGAATTGATATGGATTATCTTTGATAGATCATCTAAGACAACATGAGTACGTAGTGAAATGGTAGAGAGGTAGAATACGATTTACATGTTGCATGTTGCATAACCTACTTTGCCAGAAAGTCATTTGTACAGGTAGATCAATCGTCGGCTCCTCCACCATCATCTAACATCAGCAATACCCTTTCTCATCCTTGATCTCATATCGTAATCTTGTCAAACAGACATGATCACCCCTTCCCCCCTTGTTTTTCGTACGTTTGTACAAATATGGATCAACCGCCATCTATCCTCTTTCCCACGTCGTATGCGAATCTTGTCTTCACCCCCAAATATCCTCCTTTCCCATGTTGTAAATAAATTACTTCAACCCCACAACTTCCGCCTCTGTCGGGGGAGGAAAGGAAAGAAAAGAAACGAAAAATCTACAACTCACCACTATCCCCACGGGAATCATCATCACCTTCACCATTATCGAAATAATTACCACCATAATCTTGATGATCTGTTTCCTCACCGCTGAAACTGAATTCTGAATCGTCTGATGGAGGGGAGGATGAGACATCCTGATTTATTAGCTTTTGACTTGGTTTCTTCTTCTTCTTCTTCCTCTTCTTTTCGTGTTCCTCTTTTCTCCTCTCATCTTCCATCCCACTTTCCCACGCCTTATCTTCCATCTTCCGCTCTCTCCTATACTCTTCCATTCCTCCACATCTCATCCTCCATCTTCCAATCTTTTCGTGCTCCTTGAATCGTGCGAAATGCCTCATGTAACATATTCTTTTGATTTCTGGTTCTTCTCCTGATTTCCGATGATTACCTCCCTGATCCAAAATCTCATCCTTATGAAAGTTCGGTGACACAACACAACACGACATGATCTTGTTGTTGAAACACGTAAACAAACAAAACTCACCTCATCTTCTGCCCCTCCACCTTCCTCATCATCAACTTTCTTCTTCTTCCCTTTTTTGATCCCTTCCATCAGCTCTCTCTTGTATTTCACAACACTCAGTTCACTCACTAGGTTTTTCCACTTTTCCTTCGAAATACCCTTTCCACAAAGTTGATGGGAAAAACTCAGGATTCATATATAATTTATCGGGATCTAGTTTTTCATCTGGTCCCCCAGCTTTCTGACCGGAAGCGATGGGCGGAGGGGGGTAATGAGAAGGACCAGCTTGTGGGTTTGTCATCTTTTCTGACCATTGTTCGATTTCTGAATATCAATACTCTCTTCCACCAAGCATATGAGCAGAAAGGTATTAAGAGTCATTCCACTGAATACGACAAAATCGTCTTGTTTGGGAAGATGAGAAGGTTGATTGTAGAAGTAGAAGGGAAGAAAATTAACCTATTCCCACTATCTTCCGTGGATCTGGTAATCTCCAAGGAACACCACCTCCAATTCCATCTATGATCCCTCTAGAGACCAACCGATCGATATCTAAAGATAAAGAGATAATACTTTCTTCTTCTGGTGTTGGTGGTGATAGATAGGATGTTTTATCCATTGGCTGATGTTAGCTTTTCCGAGGGTTTTATCGTATAGCCAAGGTGGGGTAAAAAGGGATTATGACCACTCACAGGATATAACATTCCCGCATGTTTCTTTGGCATCCTCAAAGCTTCATGCCATTCTTTTGAACCAGCAGCGTTCCTATCCCCAAACCCGAAACCGAAACCACCTCTACCCCTACCTCTACCTCTACCTCTAGGTGCACCTCTTGACATGTTGCGAACCCTTCACTTGACCTGGAGCTATCCTTCCTCGTCTCGAAAGAAGCCACTTTAATGTTGTGAATTGGTGAAAGTGTGATGGAATATTTCCGGTGAGGGGTGAGGTTGTTAAATGGGGGGATGGAATAAAAAGGCACACCTTAGGCCGCGTCACTTGAACCTCCAACTCTACTACTCTCTCTACCTCTGCTTCAGCTACTAGCCACTAGCTACTGGCTGTCTTCATACCTGAGCATACCCACGAGACATAGTGACGACAAGGAGAGGACACCAAAATGTCTAACGCTCAAGCTTCCACTTCCGTGGTCCCTCCACCAGGTATGGATACAGCGGTCTATGAAGCTTTACAGGCGTATAGAGCCGTCAGTCGTCTTTCCTTGACATATCCATCTGTGTCCTCTTTCTCGCCCTCTCCTTTCTATATAAATCCTGATTTGATCAAGTCATTATAACACAGATTTCTGACCGGTTCATATGTCGAATAGTGGACAATGTGGACATGCTGACGAATAGAAAGTCAAGGAACATTCAAGGATCGGTGATAGTCTCAAAACTGGTCAGTCCATCGCCTTGTGCCTTATTCACACATCCGGGAGTGAAGCCATTATGTGAGAGAGAAATGGTTATATCAGGCGATATCCTAGTGGCGTGGTGGGGAAGGCGTAGATGCAGAGACGGGATGAGTGTAGTATGACAACGAAAAGAAAGTGCGATTGATGTTTCAGTTAGATTAGGTATAAAAGCCCTTCAAACGGATTACAACAAGACGGAAGATGATATCAAGGCATTACAATCTGTCGGACAGATCATTGGGGAGATATTGAAACAGTTGGATGATCAGAGATGTGAGTCTCGGTCACATTTTCTCTCTTCTTTCGCCACTATATCTTCCCTAGTGATCACATTGAGAATGGATATCATCATCACGACTCACTACTTAGTGCATTTTTCAAAGTGCCGTATTACTATCTGTGACCTAGATTCAGAACTCATCTACGAAACTCCCCTTCTTTTGCGTTCCAATCTATCTTTATCTCTACATGAAGGAATCAACAGGGCGTCGAAGGGGAATATAGATTTTGCTAAGCCCACAACAGTCATTGTCAAGGCATCTTCCGGACCACGATACGTAGTTTCTTATCGACCCACTTTACCAGTTTCCAAAGTAAGTCTTTCCCTTTCAGTCAAAATGCTTACCAAGCTGATAGAGAAGCTCAAAACTGGTGTGAGGGTATCATTAGATATGACCACTTTGACCATTATGCGTATCCTTCCCAGAGAGGTGGATCCTTTAGTTTACAACATGTCATTGGAAGATCCTGGTTCTGCTTCTTTTGCTGGTATTGGTGGATTAGGTGATCAAGTTAGAGAATTGAGGGAGGTAATAGAATTGCCTTTGATGAACCCGGAGTTGTTCGAGGTGGGTATTTCCTCTTTCCCGCATTACCGTTTCCTCCCTTCTCCCTGACCAATCTGAAGGACTGGTTTGTGATCTTTAATCATACTTTGGGAACCTTAGTCCAGCGCAGATCAATGCATCTCGTCTCGCCGTTCAGTAAGGAAGCGAAAGGAATGTGTGCACTCGGTTGATCCTGCATTGCTCGTGAGGATAAGTTTTGCTGACAGACTAGAGAGTAGGCATCAAACCTCCTAAAGGTGTTTTACTATACGGCCCTCCGGGTACAGGTCAGTCCAAATTTTTGACTTTAATTTGTAGATCACTGAACCACAGGGAAAACCCTTTTGGCAAGAGCTGTGGCCGCTACGTTGGATACGAATTTCCTCAAGGTTGTTTCCTCTGCTGTGGGTTGCTTTTCTGTCCCTCTTGCCCCTGGGTCATCTCTCAATTTCACATTTCAGCCCGGTCCTTAGATGCGTTCTGATCCCAAATAACTTACATTTTCTTAAAGTTTACATTGACATGTACTCCTCACCTACATTATTTGCGGAAGTGCCTGCTGAGCTGTTGGATCTCCGTCCGGTTGAGAGGAACAAGTGATCAAGTAATCAACGAGCTGATCCCAGATCGTCGACAAGTACATTGGCGAATCAGCCCGATTGGTCAGAGAAATGTTCGCCTATGCTAAAGAACACGAACCTTGTATAATCTTTATGGATGAGATTGATGCTATTGGTGGTAGAAGGTTTTCAGAGGGTAGTTCTGCCGATCGAGAGATTCAGAGGACTTTGATGGAGGTCAGTTGATAATCCCCATTCTTTACCTCCTATCTACCCCAAGTGAATCCTGAAGAATCATTTGGCTGACCACTCAGCTACTCAACCAGATGGACGGTTTTGACTCTCTCGGTAAAACCAAAATGATCATGGCCACAAACCGTCCTGATACTCTCGACCCAGCCCTACTACGTCCAGGTCGTCTAGATAGGAAAATCGAAATTCCTTTGCCTAACGAACAAGGTAGACTTGAGATCCTCAAGATTCACGCTAAAGGAATCAACAAGAGTGGGGATATAGATTATGAAGCTGTCGTGAAATTGAGCGATGGTTTTAACGGAGCGGATTTGAGGAATGTTTGTACGGAAGCTGGAATGTTTGCTATTCGAGAGGATCGGTATGTGGTGTTTCTCCAATTCATCGTCTCTTCCCACTATCCATAATCCTTACTTTGTCGACTAGTAGCGCGCGGTTACGATGTTCGCTTCATTAGTTTCACCCGGAGCGCTTTCATGCTCGCAACTTGTTCAATTCAGCTCGGCTCAGTGTCAAACCGACATCATACATTTTATCATTCATTGTGTTGATACGTACCGACGAATGCTCACTTCTCGATGAAGACAGAGAGGGATTTGTTGCTAGAGATTTGGAGGATGATAGATGTGTTTGAAAGTGAGGACATAAGTTCTGGCTAATCTCACAGAGATGCGATCGTACAGGATGACTTGATGAAAGCTGTACGTAAAGTGAGCGAGGCGAAGAAACATGAAGGTCAAATGTGAGTAAAGCGTTGTCATTTTGATATCGCCGTACTTGACACCTCCACCGAGACCCAAGTATGAGTATTCCAGATGTGGCAAGACCGAATTGGTTTTCTGAAAAGGGTAAGATGGGTCGCTGATGGAATAGGGATTACCAGGCAGTTTAGATAAAAGTGAGTGAGTAAATATGCATCGTCTATGGTGCGTGGTCATGGTGCATTTTGAATACGGTGCTCTGCTTGTCATTTCATCAATCATTACCACTGACCAACTAATCCACCATGATCTCTTCTTTATCCCACATTCACCCAACCTTGCACATGACCATCCATTTTTCACGTTGGTCACATTGATGCCATCACGACCATGATCATCACCATCAGTAACCCACCGGCCGCCCGGTTCACCGCGTGTTTATCGTACCTCGACTAAACCGTTTCCCCTGTTACGAGCAAAGATGAAACATCAAACATCAATGTTGATCCCCTCTCCTCTTCACTTCTATCCTAACATCACATTACCTCTGTGCACTAAACACCATAATCATCTTCAATACCCACACTTTTGACAGTGGAACAGTGAGTGTTCATCTTCTTTCGCTGGTATTTGGGATTGTTGAGTCGTATCTGTGCTCGGTCGGATTGACTCTATGTGTCGTTGAGGATAAGGATGATCCGTCGTTTGGGTATCGGACATGTAAGGATGGAGGTATGGAAATGATACTGATTCAATAGCTTATACACTCTTTTATATCACATTCATTCCATTCTCTCATCCATCAAGATAATCTCATATTTGGACTTTTCTTTCTCAACCGATATAACTCGCACCTGCGCCACCTGGTAGAACGTCCTTCCTCTGAATCGGAAACGGACTCGAACTCGGACTCGAACCCTCTGTTCAACCCACACAATTCTCACTTGGTTTTCGTCCTTCTCCTGATTAGAAACTCTATCTCGGTCGTTTCATATTTCACGAACTACGACATATTAACAAACGTATCCCAAGAAGAACATAAATCAGAGCGAGGTCATATACCTCAATAATCGATCTGAGGACAGCCTCAACTAACATCGATCACCAGACAAGTCATTTCACATCATCGTGACATAGGGATTTAAAACGACCCAGAAAGTGATTTTGGTACCTTACGGTCAACAGTGAGGTCTTGTGTGGAGGTCGGGTTGTGATTCAGTGATTCAGTGAAGGTTGGGTGAGAAATCATTAGTCTGGGTGAGAATTGAACATAATATTGGTCAAGTCAAACTTTACAGCTTGGGCGGAGTGAAGGTTGAGTGGTTCACTTGGTCAACGGAATAGCGGGAAAGTGTCTCGGTGAACCAGGAACATTTGAATTTGGAAGAAAGTGATGGTACAGAAATAAAAATGTCGATACCACCACCATTACCTCCAAAAGATACTCCCACTTCAATATTTTCTAACCCGTTCAACCAGTCTATCGACCGACACTTACCTTTCAAAACTTCAAAAGAACATCTTCCATCTTCTTCACGATCACCCGGTTCACCCCAGTCACCCAATTCATCAGGTCCCCAACCACCAGGTCCGCCCAATTCACCCAGTTCACGTAACCTAGCTTTTCAATCAGGCCCACACCTCGAAAAGACTACTAGTCAACGAAATTACGAAAATCTACCAGAACTCCCAACATATCCAAACCCTCGTGAAAGAACAACATCAACAACTACATCTTCTACCCATACGACTAATTCCAGTACAGGAAGAGTTTCACATGCTCAATATGCTAGACCTGCATCCGCTTCTTCACATGTTTTGTTGAGTGCCAATGATCATCAGACGGAAATAACGAATAGGAATATAGAACAAGAATTGGATAATCGTTCTGGGTCGCCATTCCCTTTACTTTCAATCACCCCTTATGACCAACCTGGACAAGAAAATATCTTTGATACTCGAGTAAACACTACTATCGACCAACTTCATCCTAGAGGAATCGACCTATCTTCTGAATTTCCAACCTCTCCATTTACTCCACTTACTCCACTTACTCCATTTGCACTGGCCGATACGAGACAGCCTCAATTGGGCCGAATGTCTTTGGGTGAAAGTAGTCGTCTGGTCAATCATCCCAACGATCCACATCATGATAGATTATCTTTAGGTGAAATCAGTCATTTAGTAGATTTCGATGTACCATCAACCACCGAGACTGATAAACATCATAGAAACCTTTTATCAGCCTTGGCTAGTCTTCCATGGGCAGAACCACCTATATCGAATGAGAAAGAAGGAAATGGGTCTAGTTCGAGGCTCATCGCCGTTCCTCATATCTCGACTTCAACTCTTCATCGTGAACCTGTATCTCCGCTCTCTCCTGTAATCGAAGATGATCAAAATAATCAGCATAACCATCCTACTCGATATGTTCATCCTGTTCTACATAATCAGAACAATCAGGATCCTCGACATACTACGAAAGAAACCAATACACAACCTATTTACCCATTCTTATCCCGTGATCCTGCTCTCGAAGGGAATAAAACATCTCGGAATTCTATGATGAGTAATAAAAGTGTACGATCATCTGTAGGTAGTACCAAAAGTGTTTTATCTAATTTATCTCAACAAGTAGGAAGACAACTCGACAATACTTTATCTCCCCCTGTACCTGTACAAGGTATACGATCTACTAGTCCTCTGTCTCCACCCATCCAGGGAGGACAACTCGACAATGCTTTATCTAACCAAATACAAACACCACCACAATTCCAAGTATCTTCTTCTGGTAATCAAGTGAACCCCTATACACAAAATCTATCAACTAACGAGGTACGACCAGGAACGGAAGGTGTAGATGAAGAAAGGAGATTATCAGCATGGAGTGGAATGGCAGATATTTCTTCTATACATGATTCAAGTCCATTACCAACTCCTCTAAGACAAAATTTAGAATTACCTCTTTCTTCTCCTTTACCAAGAAATTCGATTTTAAGATCTTCACATACACCTCCTCTTCAAATTTATTCAAGTAATCCTTCTCCCAACTCCATCATACATCCTCCTAGTCCAAATCGAAATCATCCCTCTCCCAACTCCGTGACACATCCTACTAGTCCAAATCACCCAAATCATCCATCTCATCACCACATTCCTCATTCCCCGAACAACCCTTCTCAGAACGAACATTCTTCCGAGACGCACGGGGATTTCATTTCTTTGAATAGCGCAATGGCAACTCGTTCTTCATCTTCATTCGCTTTTCTCTCTAGGACAGTATCACTTCGTTCAAATTCTATGAAATCTCATAAATCTAATAAATCCAACAAATCTAATAAATCTAGTAAGTCTGTAAAATCGACAAAATCAGGAAAGACAAGTTCGAAAAGTAAGAATGGTTCAGGATCTGGATCTGGCTCTGGATCAGGGAATGGAAATGGAATTGGTTTTGGGAATGGAAGAAAAAGTTCGGTGAAATTGATCAAACGTTGGGAAGTGAGTTTAGCTATGGTACCTGAGATCCGTGGTGATGAATTGAAGAAAAGAGAGGAATTGATGGAATTGAAAAGTTTAGTGGGAAGAGCTGAAGTTTTGGAAAGAATGTTGAGGGCTGGTAAGAGGGTGAGTAATCGTTTTCACTTGTCTTTGCTCACTTTCTTGATTATTCTTTGATCGTATTCAACTCTGGTTTCGTTTTCTCTGTTGTTTTCTCTCACCATCTTCTCATCATTCTCCATCTTTATCTGATACTCTCCTTTCTCACTTACCTTTTTCTCTTCCGTTCCTCCCTGATATCATCTCGTCATCTTTACTATTCTCTCACCTTCTCTCGATAAATTTACATCACACCAACACCATCCTCTACACTCTCAGGAAATCCAACATGTTTAAGAAGTTGAATAAACGCTGATTCACTCAAGGTCTCAAACACATCCATCCGTTTCGCTTCAACCTCCTCACCTTACAGTCGTCCTCCTTCCCTTCAATCACTAGCTAGAGCACTCACAAGATCATCTACAACACATACTAAACGTTCTTCCCTCGCTCGACCATCCACTTCAGCTTCTTCTAGATCTGGAACCGGTCTCAGTCTAAGACAGAAACTATCAAGAAGATTAAAAAGGACAGAAAGTAGAGAAGATATGTTTACAGAGTTAGGTAGTGATGAAGAATTACCAGCTGTTCCTCAATTACCAACTAATCGAAGTATTTCTCAGAAATTCGAAACTATAGAAACTATAAATACTCAAGATGATCTTGGTGACAGTTCAAATTCCAACATGAATCAGTTGAACACGAAGCAAGTTGGTAAAGATCAACATTCAGGATATATGGGTTTATTTCGATCTATGACAAGTCAGAAAGAAGATGATGGTTTTCGATCGATTTATGGTTCAAAGAATAAGAATAAGAAAATGGATAAAAATCAAGAAACTCAACAGACTTTAAAAGATGTGACAATCAAAGGAAAAGGAAAAGGAAAAGGAAAGAATTTACAAGATGATCATTCACTTCCACCTCCACTCCCACCAAAAGATTTACCAGGTTGTATGATCATTAAACCTATTCGTGATCCACTTGAAGAATTGAAACCTACCAAAATATTTCTTCTTTCAGGACCTAATTCACCCACACCACTATTATCGAATTTCCAAGATTTCAATTCTATTCCTCAACACCAAACCACTCGATCCAAGTTGACGAATCATCACCAATCTCAATCAACATCTACCAATCTTGATACAGACACGGATAGAATCAGAAGAGCTGGGAATGATAATCGTGAAAATAGACACGATAGAGAAGAAACAGATAATCATCCTCAATACCCTTGGTCAGATACTGAAAAATTACAATATATACCTCAAAGTCCTCATTTAGGTCATAGGAGTCCAGGATGGAGAAATCGACAAAGTATTTTGAGTTATATGACAACTGGGAATTGGGATGAGAAAAAAAGGAAGAAATGGAGGATCGGATTGATGGTGTTAAGTGTTATAGGGGTTATTTTGATCGTCGGTTTATTGGCTGGTTTGTTGAGTAAAAGAGAGGTTTCGTAGAGGGTACGAGTGAATAGGAAAGACAAAAATCCCTCTTGTCATGGTTAGGTCATTCTTGAAGGACTGATCCTTCCTCGTGTTCAGGGCTGGATTCAATGACAAATGACATGAGAATGATAGTTGAATTTCTCAATTTCCAAATTTTCAAACTCCAATGAGGAATATCATGATTCTGTGTGAAAGATGTGGCCTTTTTACATGGAATTTGGAATTTGGAATTTAAACCGGAAAGATTGGGAGATTTGGTAAAATTCGAGAAATGAGAATAACCCAAGTACGTCTGGGAAAGAAAACAGATGAGGATGAGGATTCTATGGACATTAGATATAAGTCAATATTAGACAATTTGTCATACATGCATATTTCACTAGCACATTACCTTATTCGATCATCTTGTAATCCCTCCACCATGTTTGATGTTCTTCATAGTCTGACGGCTGTTTCCTCCAATGGTTGAAATTCCGATAATGTCGAGTGAATGAAAGTAAGGATTTATGAGAATTGGGGAGGATGGAAAAAAGGTCAAGTGATTTGATTTGATGCGGTCCGAATGAGTTTAGACGGTCAATCGTGGGAAGGAGATGATATAGACATAAGCTTGGAAAAGAGAGAGATGAGAGGGGGTATGGTGATTTGTGGCCTGTGGTTTGTGATTTGTGATTTGTGACGGACAGGAAAAAGTTGATAAGGTCGTATTTATTGTCTCATAGGATCTAAAAGTTCCATGGAAGAAACTGAATTTCCTCTAATGACCTGTGATGTTAGTTTCCTTTTCTTGCTTTTGCCCAGAACGATTAAATTCATTTCATCTCAGCTGATCCATCGTTTTATCTTGTATGATCCAACGACACTCTGAATTGATAGCGTTTTATGAGTGTGTTTCTAACATTTTCGTCGTATTTCCAATGACGAATGACGGTTTTTTTTCCTTGGTCGAACAACACAAGACTATTTCCGATTTCCGACCATTATGACAAGTGGTGTACACTCGTCTTTCCCTTGATGGATTCTCCTTGTCTTTTGAAGTCTCCACCAAATTCGAGTCATTCCAATTTCCCTTTTCTCAGAAAATACCCGTTTCCCCACTTCTCCACTTCTCAAAACGTTCATCATATTCACAATACTTCAATAGAAGGAAACATCTGATCTCTGTCCAATACTCCCCACACGATACTAATACGAAATCATAAGATTAGAGAAATAAGAGATCCCGTCTGAGCAGATTATAGGGAAGTGGAAAGATAAGATTATGAGGCAAGAGTAAAAGAGGAGATATCTTTCAACTCACAGTAGTCCCAATAAGTCGTCTCTTCCCACCACCCAATTCTTCAAAAGCGTTATCCACCACTAAATTCAAAAACATGTCATATCCTCTCAAAATACCAGAAACTGCTCTACCACCTTGTAAATGTAGGTAGAGTTTACGATCCATAAATTCTGTTCTATCAGCTCTCCCTTTGGTTCTCTTTCCCATTCCCTAATTTTTCTCCTCTTCAATTACCTCGCTCAAGCCTGTCATCCTCTCCCCTCTTCTCTCTTCTCTCTTCTTTGCTCGGACTTGACTCGTCTTGCTCACATTGCTCTGCCTGGGTGACGTAAGATCGGTGAAGAAGACATGATACGTACTTTTCAACTCTGGTTGTGATGCTCTTGACATGATGACTTGTATAGGTTATTGATATATTTTGAATACAGTAGAAAGATACCAGTGTTTCTCACAACTTTGAGTGCGGTTGGAAGACTCATCGGTGTTACCTAAACGCCGAGGATGTGGCATATCTCCTCCTCGTAACCCTTCCACCTCATCTCCTCGACTTGTCTCTCCCTTTCAAGTCATTCACCTTATTGACCTACACACAACTTGTATAGCAACATTAAGAAGACATTTATACATCGAGAATGCCAGCCAAAGATCGTACAGCAGAATTTCACTCAACTTTAAATTCTATAAAATCTCGTACAGCTTTACCCAAACCGACAAAAGATGTTAAACAACCTTTACTCAAAGAAGCCGGACCGAGTAGAGGTGCAGGGGGGAAAAGTGAGTTTGGTAGGATGGCTGGGGCAATAGCAAAGGATATAAATTCTACTACTTTGAAATTACAGAAACTTGCTCAGTGTGAGTTGATCACTTTCTGTCATGGCGGGATACTAATACTTGCATATCACTCTTTGTATTCCTTCCCATTCACCGTCGTACACTCTCTTTCGTCCTCTTTGTCGAAATATCTTTTCTTCCTACTATATTCCTCGGCATCATCCATCTGTGTGTCCGTACCGATGAATATCAAATCTCGTCCACTCCTTCTACTCACTCGGGGGGTCTCGTAAATACTCCTGATCTCTCGCGCCCGTCCGTCCATATGTGGGTTGTTTTTTCATCAAATGGGACTTTTCCAAATTGGATCAAATTACTTTTGAACAGTGGCAAAACGAAAAACACTATTCGATGATAGACCGATAGAAATATCAGAACTCACATATATAATAAGACAAGATATCGCTTCCCTAAACACTCAAATCGCCTCTTTACAATCTTACGTCCGAGCTCAAAAACCTACGCAAAGTTCTGGAGGAAAAGGTCAGGTAGAAGAACATAATAGTAATGTGGTAATGTTACTTCAGAGTCGATTGGCGGATATGGGTATGGGATTTAAGGATGTTTTAGAGTTGAGAACTCAGGTGGGCTTGTCGTTCCCTTTCGTCAAAAAATATCTTGCTCCATTACCCCAGTTACAGAGACGAGGGCTGTCTCTCGAACTTTTGGGATGAGAGCACGAAGCGTGTTTGGGCAATGAGGTTTCCTTCCCGGTAGAGAACCCTTTTTGCAATATAGAGATCGCTACTCGGGTCAACTTCTACGGGTCCGTACACGCTGTACGAACAAAATTAAAATCGCCTCGCGAATTTGCTCGTTTGAGGATAGGTTGGACTGGGCTGCGGCGGGAGAAGGAGAACGCAACTGTTGAGGGATCTCTATGAAGTATCGCTGATGACAGAACATGAAAGCGAGCAAAGATCGATCTGAACAGTTTATGCACACTGCAGCTTCTTCTAGTGTCCCCCCTCCAACCAGTATGTCTTATCCTTTCATCTGTCTCTCCCTTTCCATCTTCAGCCGCATTCATTCCTCCCTACAATCTGCCAGTTTTCTTCGATCTGTCGTCACCCGCCTCTACCGCTGTCATTCCCGATGATCTGTCAAATCCCTCCCTTCCCTGTTGACCTCCTCGTGACTATAGAAACGAAATAACAACTCGTCAAGAGATTCGTATCAATTTCGCTAACCCCCTCAGACTCCCTCCTCATGCCCACAGCCGCCAAAACAGGCCCTGGCGCTGGGTTCCCCGCCGATAGAAAAGGAAAGTCTCGCGCCGCCAACGGGAATGGTGTGGACGACGTCGATTTCCTCGCTCTGGACATTGATGGGGATCGGGGAGAGAGTGGAAGAGGTGGAGGAGAGTATCAACAGATGCAGTTGGTAGAACAGCAGGTGGGTTACGTCTCGTTTTCACAGATAACATCCTCTCCTTCTCCTTCCCCCCTTGGGATACTCACAAATGAGTCTGATCTTTGTGGTGGCCTTGATCCACTTGTCTCAGGTTTCGATGTTGCCACGCGATGGCGCAATATGTCTACTCCATCTAGCCGCTCCCGTACCCCTGAGCTCTGAAGCTTAAGGCCCATGATGGGAGGGAGAGACGTGCAGCTGCCATCAGGTATACTGAACAGCAGGACTCTTATATTCAATCTCGATCTACCGCTATAGAAAGTATAGAATCTACCATTGCAGAATTAGGTCAAATATTTTCACAATTGGCAGGGATGGTTGCGGAGCAGAGAGAGACGGTACAGCGTATTGATGCGGATACGACGGATATAGCTGCGTGAGTTAGGGTCATCTCGCTTCCCTCGCCTCTCGTCGTCTTCTGACAATGCTCTTAGCGTCCTGCTGGTCTCACGAACCATAATCCCTCATTAACATGAGTATGGAAAGAAGCTGGGTGGCTAATGCTGATATTCAGAAACGTCTCTGGTGCTCAACGAGAATTATTGAAATATTACGCTTCTGTCACTTCCAACAGATGGCTTATGCTTAAGATTTTTGGCGTCTTGATAATATTCGTGAGTCCGTCTTACCGTTCGGAGGAATCATGCATCTCTTCACTCTTCTTTTTTCTCTTCCAGTCCCTGAACACCTACTCCTCTGGATTTTCCGCTGGTCGGTTTTCCTCTGACGATTCACATATGGCAGTGTTCATGATTTGAAGGTAAGAAAGATGAATGGTCTGATCTGACATACCAGTTCTTAGTCTTCATCCTTGTTTCATAGCTTCACATACAACTTATAATACTACATGTTACACTTTGCACTTGTCTTTGGACTTATCATTCACTTGTACTATAGAATCTTGTTTACCCAAACCTAACCACTGATCAGATCGAGAAGACTACTTGGTTTTTGTGGAAGTTGACATACCTGGGTTGAAGACCTAGGACTATAGAGTAAACGATTTATATCGCCATACGGTCACTCATTACAACAAACCCAAATACCTCTCTATATCCAATATATGATCTGTACGTGAGTGTATCACGATGACAGTCGAATGATTGTATCACACACAAGTAATTCTCGAAAAAGAAAAATGCATAATCCAAGAAAAGGGTATATAATCATAAGGTATTTCAGGTATCTCTACTCATCTCATCTTTTTCTTTTCATATCGCTTTTTATCGTTCTTACATCCTCATGTACATATTCTTTATTTCCTTTTTTTCTCATTTTTACCAAAGTCGATCGAGTTGAAACATGTTGACAACTGATATACATTTCCCAAACTTGTCCGGATGTTTCCTTCTGATCCTTATATCTTTGTACTAACAATTCCTCACATCGAAAAACCATTCTTTAATTTGATGATGATTCCGTACCGGACAAATTCAACCTGCACTATTTTGTGGTTATTCCTTTCAAATGTGAAACCCGATGTCTCATTCCCCTCTGAAATATTTCCCACGCTCCAAATCCCAACATTTCACACGCTTAACCCTGCACTCCACTTCACAACCTTGTCCATCGTATAGAGTCATAGACCGTCGACGGTTCCATACCCCGATTTCACACTGTATATGTCCAATTAGCCAAAAGTCATAATGTGTCTCGAAGTGTATTCTTTGACGAAAAATGACGCGAGACACTATCCATGGGAGCTCCAAAATCTCAGATATCCTATTCCCTCCATCTCCTATACAACGTTTAGGCTACTTTGTGTTTGGGAAAGGAACCGTATTGTCTTTACCTACCAGGGAGAAGAATGCACCATCTCTCATCTACATTCCATCTAGGGTGACGAATCCATCTCCCATCTATATCCCATCTCAGGTGAAGAACCCATCTCCCATCTCAGGTAAAGAACGTACAGTATCCCTCCCCGAAATGAAGGATACCTTTCGCACTTACCCCATCTCGGGTGAAGAATGAGTATAATCATCTAAATCGAAAGAAGGTGATTCGGTATTTTCTTTCCATTCATTCGTTTCTTTCCTCTCTTCAACTTCGAAAGGCATATGAGAACCCGTATCGTTCGATTGAGTTTTAAGACCTATAGATTGTAAAGTTGAAGATGATGTAAGATTTGGTAGAGAAGGTTGGAATAAAGTAGATGATGAAGAAGAAGATGAAGTGAATTGTTGAATTGAAGAAGTGAATGGTAAACTCCAATTTCCAATTTCTTCTCCTGAACCTTTGGTTACTATACCAATTCCATGATCTCCATTAGATTGACCGAGAAGATCAACTTGAGTACTGGAAGGTTGAGAAGATTGAATTGTAAGATGTAAATCTTGATCCATTTCTTCATTTCTTACTAAATCATTCAATTGATTATTGTGTCGATTCAAATCATTTGGTTGAGGTATAGAATCAATTGGGAATTCTAAACCTATTGGTGAACTTTCAATTAAAGGTAAACTACCTCTTGCGAATAAACCGTAATGACCATTACCATTTCCATTTCCGAAATTTCCATTCATACCGAATCCTGAACCACCAGTAAACCCCATATTATGATTCGATTGAGAATGAGAATTAGAATTGGAATATGGTATTCCATAAGAAGTATTAGGAACGATAGGTGCAGACATACTTCTACCTCTTTGATTCATTGGATCGATTGATAAAGTTGTGAAATCTATTGAAGATCTATTCGATTGTGGTTGACTTTGAATAGGAGTGATATTTTTTGAATTCAAATTCAAATTACCATATTTGAATCCATTATCGTTATTCCCATTATTCAAATTCAAACCTTGATTAACATTTAAATCATTGTTCATATTACTACCGATTTGTTGAAATGTCAAACCAGATGTACCTTGTTGTGAAGTGAAATTCCCATTAAGTTGGAATGAATTTAAAGATTGATTTGATAATCTCCAAGATGAAGGCGGTGGTGGTGGGGTTGATGTTGACCATTCCGAAGGTGAAATTTGTTGATTTGGATTCATAAAAGATAAATTTGTAATTTTGAAATTTTCGTTTATTGTATAATTTCTTAAAATATTATTTATCTCTGTAAAAGGTGGTAATATATCAGATTTTGGTCCTGTTAATTCACATAAACCACCACGTGTAGCTTCTCCATCTGTGAAATCTAAAACTGGTTCCCATATCCCAACAATTTCTTGATTCTGATTCTGATTTTGATTTTGGTTTTCTTTATTAATAGTTTGTCCAAGTCCAACTATATTTGTTTCTCCCATACCTGTTGAAATATTTGACATACTCATAGTATGTTCATTCATCCCCATTGTTTCGGAAACATTTGAAGTTGTACCATTAAGACCAGTATTGACGTTGGAATTTGTGGAAAAAGTAGGGTTGATAGAAAATTCTGGATTGTTCAGAAAATCTTGATTAGGTGTACTTGGTCCAATTCTCCAATGATGGAAAGTTGTACATCCTTCTGATAATTGAAATCTAACTGCCACTGTATCTTGACTTGCAGAAAGGTTTGTAGCTACGCTCAAAGAAGAGATCGTGTCAGGTGAAATAGGTATGGTAACTCTGTAAGTGTCGGATTTATGGACAACGTAGAGGAAGAGAGTTGGTGAAGGGGTTAGACGGATGGAACCTCCAAGATCGGGGGAATGGGAAGGACCAGGATTCAAGAAACGTATCCATGATGCTATGGATAGGACTCGAAGTGGTAAGAGGATCAAATTGGCTGTATGTAAGTGATTCGTATATAACTCTCGCACGTCATATCCTCAACCACGATTTCACTGATTGTGTTATCCATGACTTTCTGGCACACTAGCGCCAAAGTTCCATCAAGTAAGTGTGATACTCAGAGAGGCAGGAAGAGAACTACGGTTGTGGCATATTGTCTCAAAGCAGATTGACAATTGGACATAACATCGTTGTCGGGTAGAGTACACAGCACGGTCGACGAATGGAAGTTCAAATGGCGGGTGAAGGGAGTAGAAGCCAAGTAGGGTAGTCGGCTGAGAAGAAACTACCAACTCACCATCGTCATCATGTGTCAACTGTTTCAAAGCCTCAGGATCCGCTCCCGGACCAAGACGCGCGGAGATAGGGCTGAGTCTCCCCTTGAGACTGATTTTGGGTACAAGAGCATCACGTTCTTTAGCGCGGGATTTAGAGCGTCTGACGAGTCAGCGAGAGCTCCCTCGATTCGTTTTGCCTGTAAACCGATATTCCGTGCGTGGGCTCCCCGGGTGTCTGAGCTCCAATAGTGATCAGTGAGATATGGTACGGTAAGTTGGTACGTGTGGGGAGTGTGCATGATAATCCCTGGTAAGGAGCGATGTTGGAGAACCATCAGACGGCCGATAAGTCCTGCGCTTTTCTGGGCAGGACAATCGGTGAACAAAGAAGAGAAAGAAAGCTTACCTATTCTGAAACCAAATTTGTAAAGTCTTTGGCTTAACATCCGATCCCAATTGCTTTGCCAAAGCTTCCCTCGTAGCTGCATCAGGATTCTTGTTCTGTTCGTATGCACCTATCAAAATGTCCAATTGTTCTTTGGTCGGTTTAAACCTAGGTGGTTTTTTCTCTTGTGCAGTTTCACCATCCATAGGTAAATCTAACATATCTCCTCCCATCATTGGACTCATCGCTGGACTTGGATGAAATACTCTTTTACCTCCCATACTCATCCCCATCCCCATCCCCATTCCCATTCCCATATTCATAGAATTTGGAGTTTGAGGATTACCCATCGATTGTCGTCTAAATAAACCACTACTCGTTGAAGACGTCGAGTTTCTAGGTGATGGATATGGATATGAAGATAATGGCATATGAGCGGTTTTAGGAGTTTCAGGTGTAAGACTTGAGACACTCATTATGGTTGATGATCTCTGTCTTGTAGGTAATGAAGCTGAGAAATGACGATTTAAACCAGGTCTAGAAAAATAATGTTGTTGTGAAGAATCTTGTTGAAGTTCAATAGGAGTTTGAACCTGTGGCATGAAATCTGAAAAAAGAGGAGTGAGAGTTGTATTTGTTCCTTGATTTAGAGATGTAAAAGTGGAATCTGACATTGATAATGGAGGAGAAAATGTGTTACACCATGAAGAATTGGCAGCGGGGGTGTATATTGATCCTGTGTCTGGAGTGAATGGTGGAGCTTGAGGTGAGAAAAGTGGAGTGGTTTGAGAGAAGTCGAAAGACCATGTTGGATCTGGAGAAAAAGTTTGAGATTGAGATTGGGAATGAGAATGAGAATGAGAATGAGATGACCATCCGGAATTAGGAATAAAGTTTGAAGGAGCTGGAGCGGGTACTGTAGTGGAATTTGATGAATTCGACAGGGTTGCTAGATTCAAAGATTGTCGTTTGTTTTCTCCTGACCATGGACTTGGTTGAATAGAATGAGAAATCGAATTCGAAGTCATAGTTGACATATCGAAATATCCTGTATCGTCTTCCACTTGAGGGAAAGATCCTGGAGAACTGGACATGGGTAGAAGAAGCTCTTGTTTCACGCTTGGTACGCGTTTTACCAGGAGAGTGGAAGGGACGGTTAGGAGGATAGGAGAAGGTAAGGCCGGTGTCGTACAAGGACGATCAAAAGACGGGGCGGATCGGAGTTGAGGAGTAGGGTGAACAAAATTGTTGAGAAAAGCTTGTATAGAGTAAGTGAAAGGAACGTAAAGTTGGTAAAAGATGGTAGGGCTGTATGTGCTCGCCAGCAAGTCCTATATGTCAGCATTGCTCCCTTGTCAGCTATGAATTTGTGTAGAATGTATGACATCAGCTGGTGGATAGGAAAACAGGACTCACGTAGGAATTAGAATACTCGGTGTTTTCGGTCAAACGGTCAAGTCTCGGTCCCGGATCCACGGGACGTTTCAATCTTCGACTAAGATCAGACACAGTCGGTCACTCCAAGCGACCGATACACTGTGGAAGAAGATACGATCAAAGAAAGTTCGGATAAGATAGGTGAAGAAAAAGAAGAGAAGGAAGTTTCAGTCTGAAGCTCTGTAACAAAGTCAGCGATTTACCTCTCACATATCACCTTGGTTGTCCCTCACCCGACATACGGAAGTACACGATCTAAACACAGACAGAGGATAAAGGAGTGTTTCTAGTTCTTGTCAAGGGGTCACGTATAATGAACCCCACCGGCCAGACTTTAGAGTCTAGTCTAACGGTGTTCCGTCCGTCTTTAGACGTACTGGACAAACGCCGTCAGTCAAGGGAGAGGACGAGAGCTGAGAAGTTTGATCTTGGTAGAGAGCGGTGCAAGACGGACGAGAGGAAGGGGTTGAAGGATGTCCAAGGATGAGGAGAATCTTACTTCCGGCTGTGCAAAGGAATATGGATAACTTTGGGTTATAAACACCAAAAGTTTCTTTTTTTTCACTCAGCTCTTTCACCTCTCCTCTCCATACCTTCTGACGAAACCGAGGGAGAAGGAGTTTCATAAAACGCTATATCTCATCTGAAGATACAAGTATGAGAAAATGATAAGTAAGGAAAGGAGATTATCATACTGACTCACAAGAGTTGAAGGAGGGAGAAAAGTTAGGTGAAGATGTTGAAGGACCCCCAAAAGGGTGAGAAGAGATGTCAAGAGTTTGTAATGGATCGTCTTCTTCTACTACTAATTCCTATTCACTTCAAAGCGGCGACCGGCTCCGAGCTCTGGGTGAGTGATTTTTTGTCCAAGAGACGCGTTTTGAAACGTCACCAAAAGAAGCTTTCGCCGCCCAACGGATAAAAGGGTAAGACAGGTCAAAAGGGGTTATGTCGTAAGGGGTTTGATATCTCGGTCTCCTTGTTCGTGTTGCTAGGTGATACAACTTGTACTCGTCGTATCGATCGTTATTCGTAATACAACTTGTGATACTTGGTATCGGTAACAAGAATGATAAGACAAGTCATAAGTCGATTCAAGGAGTATCAGTTCGGAGGTTTATACGAAACATCAGCCGCAAATGACCGTGCTTGTGATATTGTACTTTTACCATTGCCGATGGTGGAGGCGGGAGACGGAAAGTCGGTTAGCATATTCTGTTCCTCATCATTCATTGGTCAGTCAGACAAGTACACATAACCTTGGGTTTATTAACGATTTGATGTTCCAAGGCATCATTGGACCAGAACCTTGGGACCTAAAACAGAGACACGGATACAAAGGGAGGGGACAGGGGGCAGAGGGGAGTAAGAGGGATAAGGAGAGAGACAAACACGTTGTAGTGGCACGGTCGTAACGGGGTTGTTGGGACAATGGAATCACTAAAAGTCACACATACCCTCCTTTCCGCGACGTGACCGATGTCTTCGGCCGGTACACGGGTCAAAGATGTTTCAAACCGGGAACACAGATTTCACAGTTGTCATGCCTGTCAAAGATGAGAAAGATGAGATGGTTTTAGTACAGTCTGTGAGTGGCCGAGTGGCGCAGGTCCAAGGAATGAAAGTAAGGATGGTGGTGGTTGAGTGGGAAACATGGCTTGATCGCATCCCATCTAACCCACCTTGTAGCTTCGGCCGGACCGGCATACCGGGTTCAAGTCACGTGACGCCAAAAGGAGTATGGCCGACGTGATGAGAACACAAGGAGACAAGGATACAATTCTCTCAGTCGCAGTATAAGGGTTACAGTAGGGAGACACTCACTTAACTTATTAGACGATCTCTGGGTGCAGCTAGCAGCTAGCAGCTGGTGTAAGGTGCAAGGTATAAAGAAGACAGAAGAAGAGGAAACCGTGTCGGGCCGGTACCGGTCCACCCGGTCCATCTTTACCACTTGCAAGACTACAACTAACAATATACTCACTGTGTTAAGTACGATGTCATCAGGACTATCTCTTAACTGTACATGTACTGATCATACTCATCAAGATGTCTCCTTCAACACCGTTCAACGTGATTTACATAGGAGCGGGAACTATCAATTTTGGTGGACCTGTTCAACCTTGGAATCATGTGAGTTACTGGTGCTTCCTTCTCCCTCCCTCTCCCTCTCTCTCTCTCTCTCCCTCTCTCTCTCTCTCTCTCTCTCTCTCTCTCTCTCTCTTTCTTCACCATCCTCGACTTGTGATATGTTCACACCATATCACCCAATCACTTCTATATACTCTTACTTGATAGAAGGGGTATCAAGCTAAGTTGTCCTGCTACGTCGGTTTGCTTTTCGTTGACAATAATGTGATTTGAGTTAAGTTTAATAGTCTATCAGGATCGAAAAGTATCACTTGCAACTTACAAAGAAGTTTTAGCTGATGATAAGAAAACTAGGTTCACGTCTCAATGTAGTTGGTATAGTAGATATATACCCTCAAGCTGCACATAAAGTCATAGCGAAGAAGAGGGAGGAGAAAGTTGGAGGGTATGAAGAGACTTTGGTTTTTGAAAGTATTCAAGATGCCGGGAAAGTTTTACAAGGTGATAAAGTACCTCAGTTGGTGTCTCTTCCCCCCATCTTAACTCCTAAACCTCTAACCTCTAATTTCCTGTCACTTTTCATCCCTCCGTCATCTGGTCTCTCAAAATAAACCCTCTCTCTTCCTTCTAAACTTCTAGTAATTCATTTAGATCGAGGATGTAGGTTCGACAAACACGTTTTTGGGCGTCGGAATCTTGATGGTAGATAGAAGAAAAACTTCCATTACTATGAAACTCTGGTGATCTAGAGACACGCCACCATCAAGTCTTATCTCCTCACCGTCCGATGGAAGATTTCACACTTGGTCACCTACATGTGAATCACCAAGGGTTGGGGTAGATAATCAGGAAGCGAAACTAATCCCAGCCTCGCAGTAATAGGTACCCATCCATGGACTAGAGGATCCACTAAACCAGGTTCAGACGCAGAAATACAACTCGTAGCCGCTTGGCCAAAAATAGGTATGCATATTGAGAAACCATTAAGTTCATCAAGTGTAGAAGAAGTTATGAAAGTGGTTCAAAAGTTAGAAGAAGCTGGGACGGTTACTAGTGTTGGGTATATGTTGAGGTATGTTACAGGTGAGTGTATGACTTTCGACTTTATATCTTACGTTCATTTTCATTTTCACTTTTCCAATTCAACTCACTTGATCCTATTATGTCTCTCCTAGATTCATATCCAATAACAAGGGGAAAAGGGGAAAAGTTTCCGATTATCGTATCTGTTGTACTTATCCTTTCTGGTTCGATGTCGATCCATGTGGTTTCAATGACGGTGATTTTCTTTATGTCGGATCGATGAGGGTGATTCTTCTCGATGCTTTATTTTGGTTCGATGATCGATATGATAAATCTGACTGACGAATAGCGGTAAAAGAGATGAAGTACATTTTCTCTTTTCTTCTGTCACTTTCACTATTCCCGATGGAATACCTGGAAATGGAAATGAATGTTTTTGACAAGTCAGAAAGATCATCGAAGAAAACAACCTTACTATCATGGCGACCGTTGCGAGGTATTTGATGGCATAGTGAGTCATCTTCTCATGGCTTTTCTCGGACTCATCACTATCTCTTCTCCCCTGTACAAAATGTCCCATGTCATGACACCGTATTACCCCCTAGTATAGTTCACATCTCTCTGAGTGAAAGCGAAGTGGATAGAAAGAAACACCCTGTACTTCCTCTCCCTGAAAACCTAAAGAAACATGAGAGAAATCGCGTCCCCTTCCTATCATCATGCGTAAAGAGAACAAGGGTATGTTACCATCCCTTTCTGTTCGACTATGAAATGCAGAAAATATGGAAAGGTAGCGATCTTGACAAAACTGAAAAAGATCAATACTGAATACAGTCAATTCGCAGGTACAACCCCTGCTAGGGTAGATTTCTTTGATAAATCTCTTCGTTTAGGACGTGAGGTTTTCCATATCTTTCATTTACGTGAAGTTTGACGGGATAGCTATCGTAGAACAAGCTACTCATATTTGTAAGTTATCTTCATCCCCCTTACCCTCCTTCACCCCATTCAGACCACAACATTCCCCACCGGGTTCGAAAACGTGTTTATCAAGGTTTACGACTTTAACATTGAGCCTAAAAAGCTGCAAGAGTGTAAGGTTGATACCCTAGGCGATCTATCGAGATTCTTCGCACCACCCGTCATACCAAGTTCGATCCAAGTTCATACTATCTCACATACTGAACCTACTGGACATTTGAAAGAATTCACACATGATGAATCAAAAATACATCCTGAAAATAGGATACCTAGGTTGACTACTGCTATTTGGAAATACGAAGGTGGTGCTTGTGGTACTTTGGTTCATGGATTGACTTTACATGGTGAGTTGGTGTTTTATTCGCCAAATCATGCATCTTGAAATACTCCACTTTGATCATCTTGTGAATTTGTCATGAGAGTAGAAGGGACAAAGTAAATCTTCTTCAAATATCATCATCACCGTTGGTTGCCGACATTAGAGTAAAGCCGAGAAAGTATTCATCTCTACCTTGTCGTCATTCATGAGACTCGACGTGCGGAAGAATGAGATATCGACCGAGACTTGGAGGGATGTAGAAGAGATGAACGTGTTTGAATGAAGGATAGATTGATCTTGTTCTGATTCACAGAGGGAGAATTCTCTGTTGAACTTGTCATCCTAGCAGATGGATGGTGTTTGAGGTTGGTAGATCCATATAATACAAACCCTAAATTATATGTTCGTCGACCTGGTTCGTTAGAAGGGGAGTGAATTGTTTTATCATCTCTGAAACTTGATGACCGAAGTTGACGTTTTAGAGGAAATACCTATAGGTGAAGATGATTGTTATCTCAACGAATTCTCAGCTTTGATCGATGTTATAGATGGTATTGCTCCGCGTGATGTGATACAATCTCCATATGAAGACGCTGTGAAGTCTTATAAACTTGTGAGTAATCATCATCGAATGCACTGTCTCGATCGTATCTCCCTCAGAGATCTCTATAGGTATATGTCCCACCGAAATTCCGTCCAAAGTCAAACGTTGGACGTCAAACCGTGGTTGATAATTTCCAATCGATCCCTCCCACCTTTCATCGAAAATCTTTCCCTCGCTTATCTTTGTCACCGATCATCGAAGTGAAAAAGCTGAGAAACAGACATGGGATATCCGTCTTCAAGGAGAAGCTACAGAACGTGCTCGTGGGATTATACATCCTCCTGTTGATGTGTCTTCGTGAGAAGCGATCGACTCCGACACTTCAGTAGTTGGAGGATTTAGTGATCTGGCGATGTGAAACTTTCGTAGAGTAGTGATGTTATCGAACACGGGTGCAACTCGATCTTGATCATCGAGCAGAGAGTGATTGTAGTTGATATATCTCTTGTCGGTTTTTCACAGTCTGAGTACGACTCGATGTTCTCGATGTACGATGTATCGCCTCGATGTCTTCCCCCCCCCATTGAAGTTGACTTGTCGATGAGAGGGAAAAGGTGAAAAAGATGGCCAAGATAAGGATGACACCATATGATGTCATCTCTCTTTCATCCTTTTCTTCAAACTTTTCGATCGTAACACAAACTCCCAAACTCATCTTTCGTACACTTGTATATAGCTGTGTTAGCTGTGCATAGAATATAGAGGACAGATCTCAGTCATTACATATATAGAACATATAGATAAAACCATACATATAGACACATAGAAACTACTACTTACTCGTCCAAAATAACGAATTCCGATCTTACCCCATCCCGTATCTTCCTTCCCCCTCGGCCATCGGTAACAACCTCGGAAATCGTATAGCCTACCTGTAGACTTTAAAAGAACGATCTTCACATTGTGATCCATTATACGTTGTTCAGATAGATCGACATCGACATTATAACATAATATACTATACAGAGAAAGAAAGGTGATAATTCAAAACCACAAACATCATGTCTGAAATAATATACTTGGACGATAAACGTTATCCTGGTCCTGAAACTTTTCCAGCTCCAAGTTATGTGAAAGGTATACCTACACAAGAAGAATTAGATTCTTTACCTAGGATGTTTACTTGGGGTGAATTGAAAGATTTCATCAGTGAGCAATCTCCCCTCTATCCTTCTTAGCAATCTACGTACGATCGTGACATTTTCATCCTCTATGTCATTGTCAATGGTGTCTTGACAATCTCATACGTACCGAATCTCAAGAAGAACGAGTAGAAAATGTATTATGTGTACCGAAAGATAAATCATAGAATATGAGCTGATGGAAAGAGGATGGATCTTTAGAGTTATTAGGAAGGAATTATTCTTTACAAAAGAGATATGATAGATGGATGACTGGGATTAAAAGGGAATATGGATCTACAGGTGAGTTATCTGTCACTTTTCATATCCTACTCTTCCTCTGATTTACTCGCCCCACCTCTAACTTATCTTTCTATAATCTCTATCTTCCCGATCGACCGGGTTGACTCCTTTTTGTCACTCCCTGCTACGTCTTTGTCTCACACCACTTTCGATGTTCGTCCCCCTCGCCGACTCTGTCACTGATACTCCTTACGACATCTTTCGTCTCTGTAGGAAACTCGATCTGAACAGACGAAGAAATAAGCGATTAACCTATAGAGAAATATCTTTCCACAACTCGACTCCCCTGGTCTTCCTTCACCCAAACAACTACATCACCCTCCCAATCACCCCAACCACCAGGATCAACTCCCTCAAATCCAGATAATCTTACCGGTCGATCCGCCCCAGTCTCAGGAACTTCAACGCCCTCTGCTGGATTTGTCTCACTATCTTCTTTATCAAACAAACGAAAACGACACGAACGTTCTCTCAAACGACAATCTTCTACTCCGGTCAGTGGCGATGATCAAGCTGTTACGAATGGATTTGGTTCGAGTCAATTCCAGAATGCTTTTACTAAAATGGATGAGAAATCTACTGGATCCAGTGTAGGGTCGGGTGAAGATGACGACGACGACGACGAAGAAGAAGCAGAGTATTTACGATACGATCATGAAAAAGGATTGGACAGGACGAAATACGCTTGTTTGATCAATGATTGGCCTTACAATATACCTTATGGCGTTAGACATTATTGTGTTTGGTCAAAGGTGAGTCTGGGGGGATTCCTATCGTCTTCGTCTCGGTCTTTTGGATTACTCCTTGTTTTTTTTTTGTCTCTCAGCATCTTTCATAGGCAAACGGAAGGAACTGAGGGTTGGTTCTGATGGAACCCTCGCTGTTATGATGTGTCCATCTTCACTTCAAAGGTCATGACGATAAGTAAGGAGGGAATGACTTAAGGCGAAGTGACTGGATGGATAATGGAGGGGGTGCAGAAGAGTAGATAATGAGGGGGACGCAGAAGAATAGATAGAGTGGGTGAACAGGGATAATAATCGAGAGGCAGAAGGAAACAACTGGATTGAACCTCACTAAACAATATAGGTACCAATAGCTCATCCTGAACTAGTAAACTACGATCCCACTCTATGGGCAAGAATAGAATTTTGTGGTTTATCAGGATTCACAGGTGTTCTAGATCATCCTCCTCCTTCGGCAGGAGGAGGTACACCTACCAGTGGGATTAGTCCTACTCCTCCAGAAGGACAACCTTCACCTTCTTCTGTTGATCCGGCAATCACAGGTGATTCTCCTGTAGAAGTATCCCAGACTTCTTCATCTCCAGCCATCCCCACTACTTTCCCTTTGGGACACTCATCTGTCCAAGTAAACGATCCGAGCAAAATCAACGGCAATCCGGGTCACAATTCTGTCAACGTTGAAGACTCCATGAAAATCCACGGAAATAACGATCATACATCTGTCAACGTGAACGCCCCCATGAAAATCAACGGTAACTCAGTTCACACTTCTATCGAAATTGACAACCCTTTGCAGACCAACGGCAATTCAACTTCGTCCATCGAACACAAAACTACGAATGGGTCAAACCATACTCCTCCAGGAATAGCCAACCAATCAAGCGACCCAAACGGGGAGATACAGATACAGAAGAACGGAGGAGAAGAATTATCAGGTCTTGTGAAACTACGATTAGAATCTGAAAAAGAAGATTTAAAAGTCCCACCTTCTGTCGAACGTCTCGCAGGGCCTGAAATGAGGAAATGGGCAGGTGTGACATATGAATCCCCTGGTGGTAAAGAAGTAGGGAATATGGTCAGAGGTTTATGGGATGAAAGAGGTTGGGAATGTTTATGGGTTAGTCGATTTTTCTGTCTTCTTTCTACTCATTCCTCACCGACCATTTCTTATCACCGTTCGATGTTTCTTTTTTTGAATTCCGCACTCATCATTTCTTTCTTCTCACACTTTGAATCCAAACCTCGAAGTTTCTATCTGTCATATGCCATATGGTATCCGTCATGATCATGGGCTTCAACCGTATCATTCTCTAAGACTATATCACCATGTGTTCTCATGCTGACTTTTATCACAGTTTGTCAATCCTCCTGTAAGTCGGGATTTTATTCGTCCTATATCAGCAACTTTCAGACTACATCACACATACAAGAATCACGATCCTTTGAAAACTCACACGATAGTTGGTAAGAGTATCATTTGAAAAGTTCCGTGAATACTTGACAAAGTCAAAAGTATGAGTCAGCCTACAAGCTGGAAGCGAATGAAAGAAAGACAGAGAAAGGCAGAGATAGGAAGAGAAAGAGAGAAAGAGAGAAAGGCAGAGATAGGGAGTTGGAGAGAGAGAGTTAGAGAGAGAGGATGGGGGAGAGAAGGAAAGAGAGAAAGAAAGAGAGAAAGAAAGAGAGGAAGAAAGAGAGAAAGAAAGAGAGAAAGAAAAAGAGAAAGAAAAAGAGAATGAGAGAGAGCTAGAGAGAGAGAGAGAGAGGGTTAGAGAGAGAAAGAGTTAGAGAGAGAAAGAGTTAGAGAGAGAAAGAGTTAGAGAGAGAGGATGGGGGAGAGATCAGTTGAAAAAAGAATAATCTAACAAAAACAGCATTTACAAAGCGTACCGACATTATCACATTTTCACATTTTCGCAAGACGTAAAACCCCTGAAGAGATTGATGCAGCTGAAGAAGTTTTAGGACGGGGTTAACGATGAGTTTTCAACTTGATGATATACTCTTTGAAGGGATAAAGATGATGTTGGTATTGAACTCAAAAGTCATAAGTTTCGTATCGTAAAGCGATCATCGACGAGTATGATTCCGGTGTTCTTTATATCGTTCATTGGAATTGTTTTTTCAATAGGATTTTATGTTCATCATGTCACATCATCCCTTTGCATGACGCAAAGATGAATTCCACTACGAGTACTCATACTCTGACTCATATACTCATACTCATACTCAAACTCTACTCATATACTCGTACTCTACTCGTACTGATACTCGTAGAGTCTTTTACTCATACTCTACTCGTACTCATACTTAAACTCATATATTCATACCCTCATATATAGTACTCGTAATCTACTCATGTTCGAGTACACCCTAAGTGAGAAGATGGTGCTGGGTGCTGGCCGCTGATTGCATGGTGTGTGGTGAGTGATGCATGTCACGGACCTGAGGAATCGGATGAAAAGTAGTAAAGCGACATTCAACAAGATTTCACATCACCACTATAAAGACCTTTTCTACCATAGACAAAGACAAATTCACAATTCATCAATCCTCAGTCTACCAAGACAATTTTCCATTTATCAGATCATGTTTATTCTCCACATCACCCAACATGTTTTCCCCCCTGCCCCCCTTACCCCTGCTCCACTACAGTCATGTTCTACCTAGGAGAAGCGGATCCATCGACTGGGCTCGATCAAAGAAATCACTTTCCCACCTCCAAATCTTTACCTTTATCATCCCCTTCCACATCTTCATCAGGGTTGATAGCCCTGGTATCCCAATCTACCCTTTCTACGGGTCCGATCTCCGTGTCAGAGGATACTCCGGTAGAGAGGGCTGATCTGCCGTCGAAAGCGATGGCGATTTCCTCGAGTGTGTACTGTGCCATCAGTGAAGCTTCTTGAGACTAGAAATGTGGGATCGTGAGAGTTGTGGGCAGGAACAGTCGTGGTTATAGGCGTGAAGATGTGACGGGGTGGTGGGTTTGAATTGGAGGAAGCAGGAAAATTCAAGGGAAGGATAAAGATCGATCAGGCTTGAACACTCACACCCTTGGTTTCCACCATGACTATTTGTCAGCGTTGAACACATCATAGCCAGATCATGAGACGTTTGCGAGTGTGGGTGTTCGTGGAATCTTCGGAGACGCACGGCCAAGGACAGACAGGACACAGACGGATATGGAGGGCATGAGGGAGAGCGAGAGAGCGAGAGAGAGAGAGGAGGAGGAGAGCGAGTTGGTGTGTGAAGTAGGCCAGAAGGAGAAGAGTGAAACAGACAGGAGCTAGAAGGGAAAGATGTATGCAGGCAGAGGTTGACAAGAGGAGAAAAAGAGTGAATTTGGCTCACAGTAATAACATAAAACCCATTGAATAGCCACCAAAGGTAAATAAACAGCATAATATTTATATCCGATAGAATCGAGTGCCACCGCATCTACAAACGTCACATAGGCACCTTCGAGCTGTTGAACCGTGTTCCACACCAAAAGACCTTTAGCGCGCATAGAGTAAGTTTGGATTTCGGCAGGGTAAGAGTATATGACAGGGTCTGTGGGTGAGTAAAGAGGACAAGTAATTATATAAGACTTCATTTCAGAAATGTGACCATAGTGACTTGGATCATTATGTTGAGTACAACGTGGAGAGGAGATATATCAATAAGCAATGGCGAAGGGGTAAGATAACGAGTGAAACAGAAATAGAGTAAGTGAGAAGGGAAAAGGAAAAAGGGGGATGGGACCCACTAGAAGCGTTGAAACAACCTAAATAAATCCAAACCAAAACGACCGTAGCCACACCAACACTAGAACTACCACCATCAAGTTGATGAGCAGCCACACCACCCGCAGCGCATAATCCAATCAAAGCTAAGAACAAACAAGGCCAAATCCACAGTACTATAGTCTTCCTTCCCACTCGTTTCCCAATGAAAACAGCTGCGATTTGACAAAACCAAGTGAAAACGGATAAACCGGCATTGATACCTGTTTGAGTGGTTGGGTCTGTAATTCCGACTTGGGTGAATACTATGCTATCTGACATGTTAGACTGGTTTCAGTAAGGACAAAAAAACTTACAGTAGAAGTAGATGATTGAGGCTGATAGTCAGTACTCGTACAAAGACTACGAATCTCGACATGTGGGATTCTGGATTGATGAGAACGACGATTGATCGATACAAGGAGGAGACAAAACCAGAAACATGAAAGATGAGGCCGAAAGGTGAATAAGCCAAAAAGAATTGGAATGAAGCCCTGATGAACTACTCACACCCAGACATGACAGTCAAAAAAGTCATCAAAGCAGCTAATCCTAACCTGTACCTATTCGACCTACTCCTCAAGACCGTACTCCATTTCTCCGCTTTTGCTTCCTTCTCTTTACTCAAAGCAGTGGTAATTTCCGCAAATTCAAACCTCACCAACTCATCATCCGGGTTACCATTCCCATGCAGTTCTACCAAAAAAGCCAAAGCTTCCTCTTCGCGTCCTTTATCAATAAGGAATCTGGGAGTTTCCGGTACGAATTGTACAGCGACTAAAACGTACAAAGCCATTGGTAGTTGGATTAGATAAGGGATACGCCATGCCCATGAACCGGTCATGTATGAACAACCAAAGTTTACCCAGGAGGCGATGACAGATCCTAGGATGTAGTATGAGTTCTGAGAGGTGAGTTTGCGTTCTGTAATGGACGAGAGTCGGATAAGGGAAATAGAATTGACACATACCCATGAATGTGCAATGATAGAACGGGTTCTCGGATGAGTGATCTCTTGAACAACCACCAGAGATGTCATGAGGAATGAAGCTAGACCAAAGCCAATGATGACCCTACCGCAGATGAATACTAAGTGTCAGCGGTGCTCGACGACATGGTATTGTACGGAGCTCAAAAAAAGCTGGATCCGATACAACAACATTTCCAAAGTAAGCAAATTCATAGGCGGTGATGTAGGGGTGTAAGTATTGAGACCAGTCAAAAAGTTATCGAAATATATCCTGAACTCACTAGCATAGCCATTGACTTTCGACACCCCGGCAATGACACTGATAACGGTACCGATGACGATCGTATATCCATAAACTACTCGTCAGCTAAGCTGCAACCTGGCGCTTCAGACAGCTCACATCGAACGCCCCAACGACGACCAAATGTATCGTCAATGTAACTAATAATGGGTCCAACGACGAATCCAGAGATACATCCTGCGGCATTGAGCAATCCCAATCGAGCCCCAGTGGGGTAGTTGAGATCTTCCTGCCACGAGTCGAAAGCTTGTAAACCAGAGATGAGAGTACCGTCGTCTGTACGTGAGTCGAGTTCGCTTCGTCTCATCTGACAAAGCCATCCAGATGGATTGCCTGAGAGACCGCAGTGTTTATCGGCAGTATTGAAATGTGCGAGGAGTACAGTTCGACGTACATCCATTCAAGACCATGCCAACCATGATGATACTCAGAAAGCTATCTGTCAGCGGGGGACCGTTCAAACATATGAAATACTTTAAGGGAAGAACCAAGACAACTCACAAATTAAGCTTGAGCGCTCCCTTGTTCTGGTACCATTTGAGTTTGTCGCTCGCATTGGGGCTGAACGTCAGTTGATGGCATTCGACACAAATCTATGAGACATTTCGAACGCTGCTGTTCCTTGAATTTGGAACGACTGGAAGTTAAAAAAGCAATGAGGGTCACCAGTCTTTCTCCAACCATCGAAATCCTCTGAATGATGAAGTCACTTCATCATGCTGATACTGATGCCCCAATTGCCATAATTGATGTGAATGATGGCAAATCTCAATCTACCCCATCCGATAATTCCGACTTCACCAACAACCGACGAAGACCAGTATTACCAATCCAAATCAAATCGGACAAACTTAACAACAACACCACTCACATGTTATGCCAATCCCCCATCTTAACTCCTAAAGAATAAGCAATCAATTCTATAGAAAAAGCAACTCGCGACGCAGGCATTATCCTGATCCGCTCGCACGGTATGATCTCAGCTCGATAAAGTCTTTTTTTTTTCTCTATAGACATTTCTTCACCATTCCCCACCACATTCTTCTCTTCATACTTTGATAGAAATCAAAGTACGAAGAAAAGAAAGTAGGGTCATGGATGAAGATTATCTTTTTATTCTTCCCTATCATCCTACTCTCTTGTCTCATAAAGAGAAAGCGAGTAGAATTCAAGGTTGACTTTATCGGCACCCGCGTTGCCTCCCATAGAAAAGGTGTTGAAACCTATTCATGGTTTTCTATAAAAGAAGCTTTCACAGGTTTTTTCTGATTCGATCTTTCCATTGCTGAGACTTGATAGTTTTTGTCTGCCAAACGTCGGTGTTGGGTCATACTGACTTGGTGTGTGTGATTAAGCCTGGCTTGAGTTTGTTGATGTAGTACTTGAGATTTGTAGACAATGTCGGGTGTATTGTCTATGAACAGAAGGAGATGAAGTAGAGTACAGGAGAGAAAAAGTGGTGGGAAAAAGAAAAAGTTCAAGTCGAGTAGACGATGGGGGAAAGTGGAGCCGGTGGGATTGGGACGGAGCTCCGTCTTCCGGCGGAGACGGGGGGGTTTTACCGAGGAAAAGGAATGTGGCAGTGTGGCACTTGTCACCTTGACTCGTTCTCCACTACTGGGCCAAATAGTCGCGTATCGTTCTACTTCAAGTCAGTGGTGAATGATTAGTGAAGAACAGCTGGCAGCTATCATCAGTCGATCGTTGTGAGATGTTCAAATAAGGATATAAAGGATGGTGAAAAGACGGATATAATACTCTCCACGGCCTAACACGTGAGTTTCTTCCTCTTGCTCTCTCTCGCCTCTCGCTTCTCACTCGTCACCTCTGACCCAATTTGTGAGTAAGTCAAAAGAAGATTCTCACTCACATCAGTCCAGTAGAAAAGCACCTCGAACAAATAATCAATCGTAAAAAGACTCATGGGTTCCGAAGAGTCCTCTACCCCTCCTCCGTAGTGCGTACTGTATATGGTTCTACCAAACAGGTCCAATATCATCCATCACCCAAATTTGTGAGGTCTACCCTTTTATCACACGTGGAGAGGGTATACCCAAACTACCAAAAACCGGTTTGGGGAATAACAAGTTCGATGAGAGACCTCCGTTCTAGGAGAAATCGACATATGCATATGAGATCAAGAGTTGTAGAAAGTTGTGGAAACCTATCAAGTTGGGAGATATGAAGGAGAGGTATGGGATAGAAGGTGCATCGAGGGGTATGATCTGGGTTACTGGGAAGATGAAGGAGGAAGAGTTGGTGTGGGCCGAGGACGTAGGTAGGGTAGGATTTGAGGTTTCTAGGAGATAGGAGAATTCATCGGTGGTCAGGCACGATTATGAAACGTCGAGTAGGGAAATTCTCGGCTTCGGGCGTTTCAATGACGTCTTTTGTCCACTCTGTTCCCCATTAAGCGAAATGGAGTAGAGTACACGGTATGACATGTGACCCAATGCATCGTGGTCTGACACACGAGTTGTAGGCGTGTATGAAAAGTGATGATTGACTAGACTAAGAGTGGATCATAGTAGAGTATGCACAGTACATATGTAGGTGAGGTGAACATGAGGCGGGGAATGTGGAATGAGGAATGCGAAAAACGGTCCGCGATCCGAGCGTCGACAAGTCCACCAAATTGGGGGGGGATTTCTTCATGTCTCCTTCTCTATATCTGTCCACCAATACCAGGCAGCAGGCAGCATATATACACTCTTAACCACCCTCATACTTGGTGAGACTCATAAAACCATCTCACACATAACACATCGTTGAGACTACGATCCCATAACCCAAAGACAAAGACAATGTTTCTCTTTTCCAGACGATCATTCCTTACCCCCTTTACTCGTTTTTGAACGCCCTTCCCGCTTCAAGTCTCTCTTTCTCTTTTCCATCACTTTAACTACCTATCTATCATCTCATCCTCAAGCATATCCAATAATCTCACCGATACATAACGAGACGGGATAAACGACGTCACATCCCCCCACCAATCCATTCACGCTCAGAAGCCCCTATACGTCATCGACCAACCTCCACCCTTGACGCCCTAGACACTAGACCTTTCTAACCCCCAAGTCTCATCTCATATAATCCTTCCAAACTCCGACACTTACTCACTTACCCACACACGACACAGCAAAGAGATAGAAGGAGAAGAGAGAAGGACATTGCGTGAGAGAACATCACGCCATCGATTATACAAGTAGACAGACTCCGACTTGGTGTCAAAGGAGGGCGTCATGCCGGTTTGATGAGAGAGAGAGAAAAAATAAGTCAAGAGAGAAATATATCAAAGAGGCGGTATATTAGTCATTCTTGTTGGCTTTTTCATCATCTTGGTATGTCCATCTTCCTCTTAATTCCCATGCCATCACAATCATTGAGATTACGAATGATATCTTCGGATATGATATGATGTTACTGAGGTTAGGACTTGTTAAGATGATGATGGTTATCCTTTCCACTCCGACCATGTTCTCATCCTATTCACTTTTTCTCATCCCACGGCGCTCACACCGTTCACCTTTCCTCTCTTACCCACCAAGACTATTCCCAACTTAGCCTTCTCTCTACACTGTTTTCCTTCAAGAATGTAATCGACCCCACCTTGACCTGAACACAGACCCTCACATCGCTTCGAATAGGGACTGACACAGCAACGATCGCCACTGAGTATCACAGCTAATTTTCAGTACAGCACAACCAACATCATCAAAAGATTCCCCACCAAGGGGTGAAAACAGGTGACACTAGTGGAGTGGGAATATGGCAGCCACTGCGATCTTTCAAATCTCAAATCCACATACACACACCACCAGGGAGTTACCTCCATCCCCACCTGACAGTCCTATCAAGCAAGTACCCTTTGAAGCCGACTCAGAGCTTGGACGACCATTAGAGTCTTTATCACAAGATATAAAACCTCTATCGCCACTCTACACTTCAAACGCTTTGACACCTTTGGACAGTCCCGTCACGTCTTCGCCCGCAACGCCCTTATCTACCTCCCTCGACACAAGCTCGAGGCTGTACAACGGTAACGGTCAAAACGTGGGTCCGAAAGATCCCTTGTCTGTTGAGAAAAACCCCATCGCTTCACACTCCCAAATAAGTCTTTCATCTTCTATACACTCAAAGACCATATTGGAAGGACCATCGCTCGAACCATACCCGACCACCAAAAAGCTCAAGATAGACTCTACAATGACGAATCATCTTTCCCCACCTATCAGTCCGATCAAAGACGACCACTCTTCAAGCCCAACAAGAACAAGAGTTTCGGATACAGAAGAGCAAGCCGGCCCTTCGGTCTTGACGCCGAGTACGAGTCACAGTTCTCCTATTTCTCCTCAATCGGATGGAGCCACAGCGAGGATTTGTAAAGTGAGTTCTTGGAGTTCAGTAGGCTTCTCATCTTCCAGTGCCCATCTTTCTACTGGTAGCTAGACCATGATAGTGCAGGAAGTGTGGGTAACTGATGATCAGGTCAAAGAGAAAGTAGGACTCGCGAGACAAGGGAGAAAGATGAGAGGGGCGAGACTGGAGGACTTTCAATTGGTCCGGGTTCTGGGAAGGGGCTGTGCTGGGAGGGTAAGTCTGGCAATCTCTTGATTTTATGACCATTATAAACATCTTGGAAATAGTAGTCCTTTCCCACTTCACCAACAATTTCTACGTCACTATTTCACCTCTTGTCTCTCCCAGTTGTCTTCTATCCAATCCCTACCTTTAATCAATCCTTGTGCTTGGAACCCCCTTGATCTCTGTCATCATCAGCCCCAATTTTCCCCACACTGAAACCACCTCAATCTCCCTTGAACTCCTGACCTCCCCCCCCTCTTCAACAGCTGTAAGAACTCACTCTGACACTTAGGTACTCTTAGTCAAACACGCAAAAACATCATCGATATACGCTATGAAGGCCATCTCCAAACGCTCCGTCTTCACTCACGGAGAATTACATCACACTCTAGCAGAACTATCTATCCTCCGTCGATTCGCAGAACACGAACCTGATAATGGGTTCGTATCCAAGTTACACTTCGCTTTCACGGATAGAGAAAACTTTTATTTGGTCTTGGATTTTTACCCAGGGGGAGATTTGGCAACACAGTTGGAGATACATGGGACTTTGGGACATATGAGAACTAGGTTTTATGCTGTTGATATCGTCCAGGGATTACAGGATTTGTGAGTTGGTCAACTTTCCTCTTCCCTACTTAATTATTCTCTCTCATCTTACATCATCCTTCTCCCACCTGCTGCCCAATTGTCACCTTCCCCGCAATCTTTTCACTTCATTCTCTAATTCGCTCTCCTCGATCATGTCAAGATTATTTTGGAATGTCTCAAATCGCCAAACCACTTAGTCAGTGTTAGATACCACCAGTGTCTCCTAATGTTCCTAAAGGCCAAAGATAAAATCGTGCCAGGTGATTGATTGCAGACACCGCCACGGTATCATCATGAGAGATCTAAAACCTGAAAACGTCCTCCTAGACGCTCGAGGTCATGCAGTCTTAGCGGATTTCGGTCTCGCAAAAGAATTCGGATATAGAGGAAAACCTATGCCAGTTTCGGTAGCTCAATATCCTGGTGAAAAGGTACTTCCACCTTGGGCAGGAATGGGTTTAGGTTCTGAAAGATTGGGAAAGAAAGGTGAAAAGAAAATTGTGGTTGATAGAGCTTATTCTTTCGTCGGGACTTCTGATTATTTGGTGAGTCGCGCACGGACTTCTTTTGAATATCTATACATTGTCTCTCTTATCTTGACCTCGTTCATCTCGATCTTTCGACTGTTCATTAGCTTATATGTCTTCTTTGATATTGTCTCCTTCATCCCAATATCTGGTCATCTCACCGTTCATGAGCTTGACGTTCTCTGGTTTGATAGTGTGTCGCTTCATAGCGAAAAGAGTCATACTGGTCCTTCAGTCTAGTGATCCATGTCTGCCATCTTCCTTTCGTATTGAGCACCTCCACGATATCTTTGGGATTACTCCAATATGGTCAGAGTACAGAATTCGGGCGATAAGCATTGGACCTATGGTGAGGCTAGATTCAGTGGGAGGCCAAACACATCGGGGAAAGGGGTTAGGAGGATATCCAAGACAGATCCGAAGAGACGCTTGTGAAAGATTAGAAAGCGAGCTCACGAACAGGCACCAGAAGTAATCATTGGTAAAGGATATACATACGCAGCAGATTGGTGGCCTTTAGGATGTATGATGGTGGAATGTATGATTGGTAGGGTGGGTTTCTTTTTCTATTTGGTAGGTTTTGAAATTTCCGCTAACGATCAGGTGCCATTCAGAAAGAAAGATGAGGAACCTGTGGTATGTTCTCTTTTTTTCAGATTTTTATATCTTGCCCCAGGCTTGATCCCTGCACATATCCGTCTGTTCACTAGATCTCGTGCACTTTCTGGTCACCGGTCACAAGGGACCATCATCTCGTGCTCTTCTCGAATTCACCAATAATCCCCAAAAAGCCTGGCAGTCATTCGGCGAATGTCGTCAATGCCTGCACACGTCTTAACTCTTCCCTTCGATGATCGTACCTCGTCTTGAACCGTCCTCTCAGTCCTTGCTTACCAGACCATACCAACAGAGTGACTCGATCAATCCGTGGTACTAGTACGAGAGCGAACGATACTGACCAACAGTCTACACTTTGGGAAAGAATCCTACATGATCCTTGGTACTTGATCTTTGAAGATCCGAAATTAGGTGGTTTGAATCCTACCGAATGGGGAATGTGTGATGCCATGATTGATATAGTTGATCTGGTGAGTCATTTTACAAGCTCTTAAGTCATCATGAGTGCGACATGCCTTCCCCTCCATATGTCGGTGGATATGACCCTCACGAAGTATTCCCCCCCAAAATATGTCGGTACTACCTTCATAGTATACAGTCCAAATAGAAAAGTTGAGATCGGCGAGGGTGGACAGTCTAGATGAGGTGCTGTACAGGGCAAGTCAGTAGCTGACGCGTAGTTATTGCAGAAAGACCCGGAGAGACGATTGACGGAGCCGAACATCCAGTCTCATGATTATTTCGGAGGAATGTGAGTTCCCCTTCTTCTCTTCCAGTGTCGTCGTGTCATTGTCCAGAATGTCGACTCTCACACCCTCCCCTCAATTGCCTTCGCAGCTTTTGTGTCCCTCTGATCCCACCACCTCGACTGACTGGTGCAATATGCAGCCTATGATACAGAAGAGATCAAAGGGGATAGTGCAGTGCATCGCCGGTACCACAGTACTCCCGCTGACCCACAGTGACTGGGAAGTGGTTCGTCGCGGAGACTATACCGATCCTTACGGTCTCCAACTTCACCCAGAGCTCGAGGACAACACAAGGTACTTCCCCAAGCTCTGTCTCGAAGAGGTACCCAGTGTCAACATGGAAGGATTCGACAGTCGTTTCGTCCCTGAAGACCAACGGACCCCGCTCAATGACAATCTGGTGTATTACAAGGCCGAAGCGGAGCATCACTTGGAGCTCGCTGGGTTTGCCTGGAGTCGGGATGAATTTGAGCGAGAGCTTCAGGAAGCAGAGGAAAGGGAAGAGGAGATGAGCGAGGAAAAAGAGAATGTCGATATCGAAACCTCGGTATTTGACTCTGATCCCATTAGTCTTCACCAACCAGAGGACCTTCAAACACTTGCGATGGTCGAAGTCGAACATGCGATTGTGGAGGAAGACAACGATTTGGGTCTTGATTTGACACCTGGAGATTATTCGGATCTGCTTGAAGAAATACCAGCTCCGCCTTTGGATTCACCCCAACAACCCGCCAAAATGATCATACAACATCGACAACCAATCATTCCTTTGCCAACTATCGAAGAACCTTCTCCACCACCATCACCCTTCTCACATAAAACAGACACTTTACGTCCAGAACCTTACACACATGACCATGTAGCCCCGCCTGTTTCACCTGTAGCATCACTTCATCGACCCGGTCCAGCTTCACCAATCCGTATAACCACTCGTATCCCAGCATCACCACGAAGTCATCTCGGTCCTCTTCCTTCTGTCCTACCGTCAGCAGGATTATCAGTAAGCGACATGATCTCCATCCCTTCTTCACCCGGTTTAGTCTCACCAGGTCATATGATACTTCGTCGTCATGCAATGTTACCATCCGAAGATACTCTCAACATTCCCGGTGCAAGATTGAGCGTCGAGTTACATGGTACTTTGACAACGTTGGGTGATGAAGAGTGGGAACAATTAGATTCAGAAGGAATTGATTCAGCTCCAAATGGTCATAATATATCATCACATACTGGTACTTCCTTTTTCCGTTCGAAAGGTTTAGGAGTTTTAAGACCTAAACCATCAGCATTGAAAACTAGTAATTTAAGAAGACAAACAAAACCCAGTGATTCCACGAATTCATCATCTTCTAGAAGTCCACAAAAACAGAATCAACAGGTCTTACCTATATTTCCTCTGACAGGGGCGGGAATGTTTGGAGGGAAAATAGTAGGGATGGAAAGTACTAGAAAAGCATTGGAAAGGTTGAAATTTCCGAAGTTGAAAAGAACACCAACTGGTTCTATCTCCGCATCAGCTTCACCTTCACCGCCAAAGGTAATCAGACAGGTGTCCACTCCGGCTGAAATGGGGAGAGGGAGGGAAGTTAGCAGTCCTCAATCTGGTCAGAGAAAAGGAGTTAGACAAAAACTGGATTTAGGATCAGGTCAATCGGAGTTGGTAAGACAAGAATCTGGAGTGAGTGAGACGGAAGATGAAGATGGTGTTCTGTCGGAAGAAACAGAAATGGATGATAGAGAATATATCTCGTCCGTCTCTTCCCCGAAAGGAAGAAGGGCAGTCGAGGGAGATGAAGAAGCTAAGAGAGGGAGAGGGAAAGATAAGAAGGATGAAGAAGTTGACAGAAGAGGAGAAGAGGATGACGAAGAAGAAGAAAGAGGGACAATAAGAGGTAGAAATATGATTTCACCTCTTGGAAAAGGAAAAGTCGGAAATAGAAATAAACGACCACAACAGTTGAGAAGACATACGGAAAGTTTCATGAACCTGTTTTCTGGTGGACAGAAGAAGAAAAAGGAAGGTAGAGGGGTGGGATCCGTTTCGGCTGGAGCGTCGGTAGCTGGATCTAAAGATAGTTTGGGTGAGGGATCTAGTGACACCAGTGAAGAGAGGGGGGATCTAGATGGGATTAACAAGAATAAAATGGAGTCGAGAGATATTCTAGAACGGGATCCCACTCATTTGGAACAACCAATTGACTCTGGCTCGAATAGGAAGTTGAATCAAGACCATGTTGTCGTCGACTCCGAGTCGAAAAGAGTTGCGCAAAAACATGTAACCGACCCCGAGTCAAAACGAAATCCGGTCCCGAACCATGACGACAACTCGATTCATCAGTCCGGAATGGATGAGCAAAATGAGCTGAATAAGGAAAACAACGGAAGGATATTTGATGAGGAAAGAGATCGAACGGGGGAAGAAATTTTCGACAAAGAAGAAGGGAAACTTTCTTTGGAAGATTATGGTTCTATCATATTAGAACTTGATCGACGAATGTCGGAGAATGGGTCTTTGTGAGAGATGTTGTTGTTTTGTTGTTCGTCGATGGAGGGTTGTTAGGTTGGATACGATGGATGGTCGTTGGATGTTGGATGTTTGGACAACTTGGGAATGGTGCATGGTCGATGGACGTTTCGTCGATTTGGGAATGGTGGATGGTCAATGGACGTTTTCTCAACTGAGAATTAGTGATTGGTCAATGAACGTTTCGTCAACTTGGGAGTGGTGGATGGTCGATGGACGTTTCGTCAACTTGGGAGTGGTGGATGGTTGCGAGATGTTTCCTCAACTTGGGAGTGGTGGTTGGTTGATGGACTTTTGGTCAACTTGGGAGTAGTGGATTGTCGCGAGACATCTTCTCGACTTAGGCGTAGTGGATGAGAGACGGAAGGGGATGATGCTGTTGCTGATGTTGGGAAACTCTCTTGAGAAGTAGTAAGGACTTGGGTGTATCATTTTGAGGTACAGTCCCGAGGAGTAGTCGCAGTATGGAGATGAAAGTTGGCCGGCGTGAGTCAGGAGTAGAGCTGGGGTCTGGGTATGAAGTGGGAGACGAACAGGATAAGTCAGGGGCAATCAGGGGGAAGTATCGAGTCGTGGCTCAGGGTTGTGGGCTGAGGGTGAAGGTGGAGGAGACGAGGGTCAGCATTGGGTAAAGGGAACGTGCAGTAGTGGGATGGAGGTGAAGATGGTGAGGTACAATTGTGATAGAAAGGAAAGAGGACATTGATGGGGGTTGAAGTGGAAGATGAAGAAGGAAATGGGGAAGAAGAAGAGAGTTAGGAGAGAAAGACAACACGAAAGAAGAGTAAAGGAGATATTTTGTATAATCCAATTTGATGACCAATGACCAATGACGATCTTGTCTTCATCTTCTCCGTGCTTCTTTCATTCTGTTGAGTCACGTTATGTTGCGTGGTGAATGTTGCATGTTGCATGTTGCAGAACTGCAAGGATAGTATACCCAACATGGTATTCAATATAATCCGTCTTTCCGACCAGCGTCAGCGTCGATACGAATTACGTCCATGTTGGATGTCGGGCGGAAGTTGATTCATTGATCGTCTTTGTGGTCGAGTGACGGTTGACGGTTGTCGGGTCTCGTTCTACACTTTGGAAAATGAAAGAGAAAGAGAAAGATACAGAGTTGTATAACCTCCATGCCAATTTATAAAATCACAAACACGAGTAAGGAATACAACTCCACTACCCACAAGCTAGAGAGAGAGGAAAAGGGGAGAGGTCATGAAGTTGGTACAGAATGTCTGGAGCTCAGTAAGATTTTCGATATTGGAGCATAGAGCTTTGAAGTAAGAATGTCGATATTCATATAATGATCAGTAGATAAGTATTTAAGAGGCAAAATGAACTAAGATGATGAAATACAAAGTCAAGGGTATACAACGGTTTTTCGGAAATAAAGATAAACAAAAACGTACAACGAAAAACATTATTGATCCATTCACATTGTCCCGACCATTCTAATTTCGAGATTGTCCTACATGGACTTCATCTTATCGTTGTCTTACAATTGGGACAGTTTACAGATTCGACAAGATATGTTACACGATTGACACATTGATATTCTACTCGTAGGTCTTCACTTCCACCTTCTCTTTGAACATTCTGATTCTTTGAAATCGAGGTTGATTTCTGGATTCTAAATGACATAAGAGTTGATATTACTATTGTCTGAAGCGCCTCCTTCCAACTGGTATGAGAGGAGGCAGAATAGTTGTCGAATTCTTCCTCAAGAGTATGATGATAGGGATGGACAGGGTGGGGAAGTAGGTAGATGGGTAATTCCCAATTTGGAGGTAGATAGTTGATAAAGTGATGATTTGCTCGAATTGTTTCATAATGTCGAAATGTCGCAAAGGTCGAAAAGGTCGGAAGGTTGAGAGGTAATGTAAAAAATATGACGTCGTTCAGAAGACGATACAAAGAATATATCGAAAGCATCGATCGACATTGGCGTTGAAGATATCGAAGTCACAAAGATGGTCATTCGGTCAAACCCTCATTCTTCCGATTCGGTCAAAGAAGCTAATTCATCTACCAACTCTCTGAACGCTGGCCAACCATCATCTCCCCAAAAACCAGAACGGATTTCGTCTAGACATTTCGAATATTCATTGGAACGTTTGACGGAGGACCAACGGTCGAGCTGGGTGTTAGATTGGGTCACGGGTTCACAAGTTCACAAGTTCACTTATATTTTCATAAATTGAGAAAGGTATCTGAGTGGGGACTGGTGGAGCGGATGATAAAAAAGCTAAGAGGAAAAAAAGACTCACTATGTATTCTCTGATATCACGATGAAGGATTTCATATCGATAAGTGACCAATCTATCTTTTAGCGTTTAATCATACCCCCCGCCTTCGCCACTCCCAAGAGAACTAGGTGGGTAAGGAAAACAAATGGGAGTTTTTGATGTACTTTGTGTGCTTTAACATGATGGAATGTTCCAGGTCGAGAGTATTGGAGAATATCAAACTTCGATGAGAGAGTCACATTCATTGATCACATAAGAGATGTGAGAGAGGATCGAAAGATACACCAGAGGCAGGCAGAGGATGAAATAACTCACAACATTCCCATGGCATTATCAACATTCAAAAGTCCAACCAAATGTTCTCTGGCTAAACTTTCCAACATATCAAGTCTGTATCGATGTGCTAACATGTAAATCCTCAATGCTGATGCTGGTCCAGGTTGAGGTGTCGGATGAGGATTAGGGTCTGGATGGAGTATTGATTGTTTATTTCCTAATTCTCTTGTCGATCCATTCAAACCTCCCACACCTGCCATACCTGCCATACCGCTCATACCTCCCACACCAGCCATTCCACTCATACCTCCCAAACCTGCCATACCACTAACACCGCTTATACCACTTAAAGTACTTGACGTAGTGGTTCCCGATAATCCTTTTGTTGTCCCCACACCTAATCCCGATTTCAAAGATCTATTTGGAGAATTTAATTGTCTATTTGGACTGTGTGCACTTTGAACTTCTTTACCTCTAGTCGAAACTTTCAATTTATCATTCCCTATTCTTCTTGGTGTAGCAGAAGAAGTAGTCGAAGTAGTCGAATTCGAATTAGTTGAGATTGTTGACCCAGAAATACTTTTCACATTTGTTTCATTACTCAACCTTGATATTCTAGAATTGGTAGAATTGATAGAAGTTTTTGAAGTATGTGATAATACCGATTGAGCTCTATCACTAGAATCAGGTTTATGAACATTTGATAATGTCGTACTACTTGATGATACCGTTCTAGCATCGAAATCTTTTTCATGTTCGTTTCCTTCTTGTTCTTCTACATTTGGTTCTGGTTGAGAAGGAAGATGTTGGAATATCCATGGATTGAAAGAAGTATATGAAGATGGAGATGTAGGAGAGAGGAGGATAGATAATTGTGAAGTGTCGATATCTCGAAGTGACATGATAGTTCTTGGATCGTCAAATGGGGAAAAGAGGAGAGAGTTGGTGTAGATGAATCTATCATTAACACTTCTTCTCATTCATAATAAATCAACTTCTTCTCATTCATAATAAATCACAGTAAACAGTGGGGGAAGATAAGAAGTTGAGACATTACATAGATGGTGAGGAATAAAACGGAATATAGGATTCGATTCAAGTGGATCGAGACGAGATGAAAGATATGACATTGGATGATAAAAGGGGAAGAGGGAAAAGGGAGGATACCAACTTACCTTAACATCCAATAAACAGTCTCAAACTCTTCTTCCAACATTACCAACGTTGTGATACCTTCTGATTTCGAATCTTTGTCCTGTGCTTCAGAAAAACCTCCAGTTAGAAGATCACGGAAATATTCGCTCCTGGCTTTAAGAATGGCCGAATGTGCGTAGATTGTTCTTTTCCGAGATAACAATTTAGGTTCTTCTCGTGTTTCTGTTTCTGTTTCTTCCCCATCCCCTCCAATGACCCTAGCATTAGAAGAATCCCCTCCAATAACATCTCCAACCCGATCCAGACTATCATGTAGTCCATGTAAATGTCCTTGAACAACCCCAGAATCCCTGGATACACCTGGATTAAGGATATGTTCCGCACAAACGAATCGAACGTCACAAGGAGTAGTATCTAACAATTCTCCTAATGCCATAATCATATCGGTAGGAACTTCCACTTGAGATTTCGTAGGTGTCACCGTTGATCTTGGTGGACTTTCAATTTGAACAACTAAAACCAAAGTATCTTTCCCTTCCTCGACACTCGTGCTCGTATTAAAAGCTTGATTTTGAATATCTTTCGGAAAGACATCCGAACGTGGTGTTGAGGAATCTTGTGATCCTTTTGAATATTCTTCAGAATGAACATTAGAGATATTTCCAGAAGGTTGATTGATATTTTGCTTAAATGTATACTCTTCCAATTGACTTAATAAAGTCGATAAAGGTGGTAATACCAACTCGTATAAATCTGTTGAAACTGAAAAATCCCATTCTGTTTCTGAAGTCCATAACCATTCTCTAGGTGAATATCTTTGTCCTGTATTACGTCCAGGAGGAGAGATACCGACGAAAATCGAAACTGTGAAAATACCATCGTATTTGATTTTATCCATAGCGCAGGATTTTATATATAGAGAAAGAGTTTTACCTGGTATAGGACGAAAGGGAGTTTCGATATCTGATTGAGGGGAAGGTTGAATAAGAGTTCTAGCTGAGGATTAGTAGCCTATAAAAATTCACTATATTTGTGTACATATATGGAAAATATCACAGAGAGATATGACATACCTAAATCTAACCTATGTAAATCATCTTTCATCATAACACCAGCTTGTAATATCCTAGGTATTTCATCACTTTCTTCTTCCCTATCTTCATTTGCTCCTTCAATAACATCATCTTCTAAATACCTTCTTAATTCTTCCACTCCTCTAATCTCCCATTCATGTTTCCCTATCACACTGGCAAGATGTAATCCGTCGTCAAAAGGGTTTATATCACTTCCTGTACCAGTAGTATGAACAGTAGTACTATTGGATGTTAAACCGGTTCCTGTTCCAGATGTACCAGATCTTGTACCTCTTCCTACCATGAAACCAGAACCAGGTACGTATTCACCGGAAAGAGTGACTTCTCGTCTTCTTGAAGAAGGTGTGGGTGTTCTGGAATTGAGGAAGCGTGTGGCGTGAGAGTGAGATTGAGTGATGAGTGATGGTTGAGATATGGAAGTGGATAGTGTTGATGTGGACCTTCTTGATGTTTGAGGGGAAGACATGATGAGGGTGTTGAGAATAGTGATGTACTGTAGTTGTTTGATGATGTGTAGAAAGATAAGAGTAAGAGGGAAGTGGTTCGTGTGTTTATGTTGTGTTTCCCTCCTCCACTCAACATGCGTCATTGACCGCATACATGTCATAGCAAACAACAACATTCATATGACTCGGTATAATCTTGAGTAGATATGCATACTGTACCTGCAAGCCAGAGGTCAGACAATATATCCACAATGATGCTAAACAAACGTACAGTCACCGTTGTATATGTATGGTGTTCGTTATCATAAGCTTGTTGCTCATCATCACGACCCGCAACTTTCTGATAATTTCTCTCACTTTCGCATCATGTCCCACATCACTCATAAATGTCCCAAATGCCATCTACCCAAGACTTTAACATTTCATCTCTACTCTCATCCCCTCTCCCGTCCTCAAGTGATACCCAAGTGTGCTTCCCCTTTACGATACTCCCTTCCAAGTAAATCCCACCTCCTTCTTAGATCTCTAAAATACCGATTTTTGTCAACCCCCTCTCGGTCATACACCTCTGTTTCTCAGCCCATCAAGGATATCCAAGTCACAGCAAGTATCAAAGATCAAAAACTGACCGAGACGCCCCCGTACCCTCTTCACCCACCACGTCCTCCACCAGGAACAGAAAGACTTTTGAAAATTTATAAATCCTCTCTCCCTTCCCCATCTCTACCTCGATGTCATTTATTCCATTATCTCTTTCCTCCTACACCCTCTCTATCGTCCCAAGACACACCGCAGGTTGTGATAGATGGACAATCCATCGTAGATGATAAAGAGAAGAAAAGTGTGGAAGAACGACCGGCTTTTATAGATGGTCTAACAGGTCGTCGTGTCACCAAGAAACAAGTTCAAAAACAAGCACTTCAACTCGCCAATGGTCTCAGACAGTTGGGTGTGAGGAAAGGAGAGATAGCAGCTGTTTATGGGACGAATTCTTTGGAATGGGTGAATGCGACTTTGGGTTGTTTAGCTGCTGGGGTCATTGTTAGTCCTATCAGTCATGCTTTGTGAGTTTCTTCTTGTCTTTCAATCCGTAGTTCTCTCATACTCAAACAGTCTGGTTCTGGCAATGTAACAATATAGTGTGATACTCTGCTACTCTGATACCGGGAGGATATGCTAACTTTTCAGTACGGCCCATGAACTGGCTCATCAACTTACAGATTCACTAGCTTCTTTGATCTTTATTCAACCTTCTCTCCTTCCCACTTTATATGAAGCTCTTCCTTTACTAGCTAATCCCATCCCGACAGATCGAATAATCCTTTTGGCCCCTCTTCCCACAACCTCTTGTGTATCATCACCACTCGAAAGAACATCCAATCCTCCTTACTCCTCTCCTTCCCCTTCATCCCCCTCCTCAACGACTTCCCCAATCGGAGAGTCTTCCATCGAGAATCTATCCACCACCCTTGATAACAGTACAGATGCCATGACACACTTGACTGACCCCTCCACTCCACCGACATATAAATACATAAGCCAACTCTGGTCCACCCCTTTGGAAATCTCCCCTCTTTCCCCAACGGAAGAACTCTCCACCGCTTTCCTATGTTATTCATCCGGTACCACCGGTCATCCCAAAGGTGTGGAAACAAGTCATCATAACCTTACTTCTCAATTACAAGCTTTACAAGTGGCATATGAACCTCTTGATCCTTCACACGACGTGATATTGGGGTTTTTACCATTGGCACATATTTATGGATTGACGTGTTTGTTGTTACACCCTTTATCCATTGGAGTGCCTGTGGTGTTACTACCCAAATATGATGAGAGGGTTTTGTTGAGGAGCATCAAAGAATTTAGTTGTACTTGGTGTTTGGTAGTACCACCTGTACTTGTCTCTTTATTGAATTCTCCACATATTCCCGCTATCTCTTCTGCAGATTCAACGAACTCTCAAATCGATCCTCCCAACCAAGTTATTTCTTCCGATTCATCCAACGATATCTCTTCTCATGTAGACATCACCAACAGTGCCGACAACCCTACAGGCGTCATTGATCTCTCCACACCTATTGCGTTCGATACTATCGAACCACCTTCCTCGAACAGGGGAGTAGATCAAGTTGTTCCTGTGAACGATACGAATATTTCACCGAGAGATCCTTCTCATCCTCTGTACCCACTCCGAGGTGTACTGTCAGGAGCGGCACCACTTTCTGCCGAATTGGCTAAAAAGTTCCACGCTAAATTCGGAATCACCGTCACTCAAGGATACGGTCTTACTGAAACATCTCCAGTAACACACGTCATGACCGCAGAGGAAGGACGAGAAAAATTAGGAAAGATAGGTAAGTTGTTACCTACTTACGAAGCTAGAGTGGTGGCTACGGGAGGTGAACCGACATTGAAAACTCATCAGAATGGGAATTCTTGGATATCTTCAACAGGGACGAATCCCGCAGTTGTGACTCATGAAGGTTTAGACGTTTTACAAGGAGACGAAGGTGAACTTTGGTTAAGAGGTCCTTCTGTTATGCGTGGATATTGGAAGGATGATAAGGCTACCAGAGGGACTTTCGGAATTGGAGGTTGGTACAAAACTGGGGATGTTGTGAAAATGGATAAAGAAGGATATTTCGAAGTTGTTGATCGGGTAAAAGAGTTGATAAAATATAAAGGGCTTCAAGGTGGGTGATATCTCTCTCTCGTTGATCGTCCCCTTTCCTTTTCACTAGAAGCACTCCAAATGTCTCCTTCCCATTGAAGCACTCCGGATCTCTACTTCTGCTTAATGCATTCCGCATTCCTTGAAACACTCAAGTTTCTCGATAAAATCAGATCATTCGCTGAATGATTTTAGTCCCCCCAGCTCAATTAGAATCCCTCCTTCTACTCCATCCAGATATCATAGACGTCGGTATCATCCCCATTTATTCCCCAACACGCGCATCAGAAATACCCAGAGCGTACGTAGTCCCTAAACCTGGTGTACTCCCTCTGAGGGATCAATCAATATTGAATAAATCTTTAGGAGATCATATGACCTTGATACATAACCCAGCTATGGAAGCTAAGATCGTAGCGGAAGTTAAGAAATGGTCAGAAGGTATACAATCTTGGATAAAAAGTTATGTTTCACCATCTAGGTATTTAAGAGGTGGAGTTGGGGTGGTGGAGAAGATACCGAGGACGGCAAGTGGGAAGATATTAAGAAAAGAATTGAGGAAATGGGCTGAAGAAGAAGAAAAAGAAAGAGATAAATGGGATAAAGGTGAATATGGTAGAAGGAAATTTGAGAAAAGGAAATGGAAAGGTAAGAGAAGTAATTATAGTTTGTGAGGTAACAATATAAGTATCTATTTGTCACTACTCTTACTACGAGCTTTATCATCTTATAAGATATATCTGAATGTACCTTGCAGTAGCACAACATATAGTCATGGTCCATATCCCCGACTCTGAGTATATGATAACTTTTCACAGTCGTGCGCTGAAGTATGGTCCGTGTGTGGAGGAAGAAAGGTCGACCGTGGGAAAGTGCAACAACTCCGCCACCTCGCCGTCAAGTCAAGTTGGACAATGTACTATACATCTATCTCCCTTCTATTCACCTAAGCTACTTGTAACCATCATCTCTTCCCCTCGGCATTCAGTAACTCACAGTACCTATAGTACTCACTGTGAACAATACGTGACATTGCTTGAGAACAACCAGTATCACCAATATCACACAATCCACACCTCTAGTACAACATCAACAATGTCCGTCAACCTATCAGACGATACTTGTCCTCTTTGTCTTTCCCCTTCTTCTCTTCCACCTTCGACGCGCAATGTGGAAGCAAAAGGATCGGAACATATCGCTCACTCAACGATTCTAAATGGAGATACAGGCAGAAAAGGAGGAAGAGAAAATGGAAGAGAAGTAAATATATCAAGAGAAGAAGAAGATTTGGTGATTTGGATAGGTTGTTCAAGATGTTCAGATTGGTTTCATTCGTCTTGTGTATTCAAATCTGCTTCTTTCACTCTACCTACTGCGCTGAAGGATGAGAATTTATTTTCTACTAGGGATAGGGATTGGACTGAGAGATTGGATAAATGGTAAAATTCATATTCACATCTTCTTTCTTTTCCTTTCATTTCAGTCCCCACAACTTGGTCTCCCACCTCTATCCCGACTGACACTCCATAATATGAACTCCCAACACACCTCCCTTATTTCATCTACGTTAAAGGTGAACCAGCACAGTTCACACCCTCTCTCAGGTCACCTATCAGGCTTTTTTGACATATCGGATAAATACTGATTATGTAGGTATTGTCCAAATTGTGTACAATCATCTTCACGTCCTCCTCAACCTACCTTAAAACCTATTCGTACATCTCCCAAATCGACTTCTCGTCGGAAATCAACTCGATTATCACATGATAATTCAAGACCTGTTAAGAAAATGAAAACCATTTCGAGCTCACTCTCCCCTCCACCTACGGATCTCGTTATGGATTCAACTTCGAAAAGTCCTCCCGTCGATCACAATACGACAGGTTCCACCACGTCAGATTCCACTTTGACAGTACCCAGCACGATGGAAGTCACTAAGATGGATAGGACCACGACCAGTTCTAGTCTCACAGATCTCACAACGGTTAGAGATGGGGAGGATGTAGCACAGGTTTTGTTGAGTCTTCATGGAGAACCTCAGGCAATGAGTGTTGGGAAAATGGATTTGTTTGTGGAGGGAAGGAAGGATGGTGTTTGGAAAGATACCAGAGTGATGGAAGGCGAAGACAATCGGAGGGAAGGTGAGTTGAAAAGGAGGAATATAACGTCAGTTGAGAAAGATATAATTCGGAGGGATAATAAAACAGAAATGAATGACGTAAAGCTGGCAGGGGTTGATTCAGAGATGGAAAGGAATCTAGATCACGAGATGGAAAAGGATAGAGATAAGGCAGTAGTGGGAGAGAAACAAGATATGACACAAACAGTTAAGGAGAATGACAAACGACCAAAACGAAAAGCAGCATTGAACAGACCAGATTATCTGGCTATGCATAATCATATACCCACACCGACGGGTAAGTGGTTGGAATTGATTAATGATCCGGAAAAGTATGGTGCGAGGATATTAGAAGGTGAGTTCTGTGTCTCTTCTCACTCGGAGTCTTTCCCTCGCTACTGATCACATTCATCGAAGCTCATCAACTCACCTTTCATTTTCTTTATTCTCAACGCTCCCCTTCATTCTCAACGCTTCCCTTACCGGCATCCGAGCCCTCAATAAGAACAATCGTCGCTATCGGATCTGACCCGCCTCCATACCGAACAGAATGGCTGACGAGTAGATAACTTCCCACGCATCCCCGGTGATCTATTGACCAAAGCCTGGATCGAATCTCCCCTTTCCGACACCCCCATCTCGGAAATCGTGAATGGAGTCAACTATAACACATCGTCCACTTCCCCCAAAGGTACTTCGATTCCTCGAACGTCAGTACCATCTGCTTCTTTCCCCCATCCAACCACGGATTTTTCTGAAACAAGATTTCCTCCAACGTTATTTTACGGTCCTTCTCGTGTTCCCTTGGTGATCAGGAAATCAGACGGAGGGTTTGAGAGTATGGGTGGGAGATTACCTTCGAAAAGTTTGAAAGTTGGGGATATAGTGAAACTTGTGGGAGAGGATAGGACTGTTGATGTTATCGGTGAGTGGTTTCATCCCTAATTGACCCTGTCACTTTTCTTTATCTTCAACTCCATGGGTACTGCCTCCCATTCGCAGTTCATCTACGCCCCAAGTCAGCTAAATAAGCATGAGACAAACCTCTTTCCCTCACCCTTCGATACACACTGGGTCCAAGGGTACAACACTGTACTTTCAAATCCAAACAAGAAATAATACATCATCTTAAACTTGAGACACTCATAATGTGTTTCATCGGAGATTTGAGATCTTAAAAGTATGAAAACACTCCTAGTCCCATACTAACCTCAGACGTCGCATCCCAACATTCCTCACAATGGTCTTTGACGAAATGGGCAGAATACATACGTTCAAGAACTATAAACGGTGAACCTACTCGGAAAGTTTACAACGTCATCACTTTGGAAATAAGCGGGACGGATCTAGCTAAAAGAGTCACACCTCCGAGATTAGTGAGAGAAATCGATTGGGTGGATAATTTTTGGGAATTTGGTGATGGTGGGAAGAGTTATCCGAAAGTTCAATTGTATTGTTTGGTAAGTTATTTCGCTCTTTCATTTTCATGTTCTTGATTCTCCAATGTTGTTTTCGCTCTTCTATGCTTCTATTTTACTTTCCCTGATTCCACGAATTCACTTTTCTCTGCCTTTTGGTTTTTGGGTTTCCATGGGTTTGTTCTCCGTGTTCTTACTGATCATGTTTCTGCTTGTTCGATCTTCCATGTTTCTGCTTATTCCAATTTTCCATGATTCTACTGTTGTTCCTGCTTTCCAGACGAGAAAAAAATGATGCGAGTGTAGCTAACGTCAAGATGGGTGCTAAAGGAGCATGGACGGTTGGTCTTCTTTCGAAAGAAATTTGGTAGACGCTGAAGAAGTTTAGGATTGGCATGTTGATTTTGCTGCTTCTTCTGTTTATTATTCTATACATACTGGATCCAAGGTATGTCACTTTTAAAGCTTTTTATTAAATTTCCTTCTTCAAAAACGTGTTTCGTGTTCTTTCTACATCATCTTTAAGTCGTCATATCATTCTTGGGTCTGGGAGACTTGTCTTCTTCCCATATGGCTCTTTGTGCCCATCTACCAACTTCTGACCTTCCGAACATCACTCATTCATTCTTCTACCAATCCCTTTCCCTAAAACACCACTCTCAAACATTACTTCTGGCGCACCACTCTTAAATATCTCTCAACGTTCCGACGCAAAACGGTAGAACTCTCAGTGTCACCTAGTCGAGGAAATATAAGTCATAGAATAGAAACACTAATGACCAGACCTTTTTCTTCATCCGACCGACTGAAAGTAATTTGAAAGCATATGCGACTTGGTCAGGTTCAGCCGAATTACAACAATCTACTTGGTTGGGAAATATGTGTGATGAAGTTCGGAAAGTTACTCTGACTCAAGGTGATACTATGTGAGTTGTGATTTTACCTAAGTTCATCTTCATCATCCTCCAAAATATATCTTTGTCGATCATGTGTGCCCTCCCATAGACTATATCTATTCGATTGTCCTCATCATATTCCATCGTTCGATAGTCTCTCTGTTGGGTTTCCCTCGTGCGAGACTCTCCTCGTTATTTTAACTCGGTATAGATCTTAGGTTCAATCAGATGAATATAGGTCAAAATCTTAGGGATATTCCTTATTTCATATTCATCCTCGGTGATTCTACGAGACCCGTCCTTAAAAATACCCATGACCGCTATATGTTCATCACTGATGAAAAGGATAATCCCCGCTGGATACATTCATGCAGTTGTAAGTTCCTCCTGTCCTCCTCTCCCTGTTTGGGTGTCAAACCCGGACGCGTAATGAAAGTGAACGCCTCTGGACCTTCTGTGTGTGTTGAAAAATAGACGCTGAGATTCAGTACACTCCTGAAGATGCAATAGTTTTCGGAGGGAATTTCCTCCATTCGTATGATATTGACGTTCGTGAGTGTCCCGATTTCTCACCTGGATCCGCCACCGAAACCATGAGACTCAAACAATCAAGGTTGTGTGTTTGTTGAGATGTTGAATCAGGGATGGTGGGATGTTTTGCTGATATCAGAACTCAGGATGAGACAGATTGAGATTGATACTAAAGTTCCGCAACGGTTTAGATTTCCACAATTGGATCGGTGAGATTTGTTTTTCGACTGGCGCCTGGAGTACTCTAGTCTCTCTACTTCACCAAACACCTTCGCTGCTATTCCCAATCCTCTGCCTCGTGTTACCTCTCTTCTCGACGCGACGTGCTTAGCCGCTGTCCTCAGTGTATTTCGCTCACATCCGTCACGGACTTACTGTATTCAATCAGTTCACATTCAGCTGTGCATACACCTTCTCGAACTGTCACATCTACCCATCTACCCATCTACCCATCTACCCATCTACCCATCTACCCACCTAAATAAATGCCTGAAGAGCCCCACTGATCATAGATTATGTTGGTACGTAGCATCACGCTACCGTACCCATCTCACTCAATTACGCACATACCGACCCAGAGTCCATACCTCACCTCTACACCCCCGAATCTTACAAGGTCTAACATACCTCGCTTCATTTCTAATCTCCCAAACGGACATCCTTGAAGATCCAACAGCAGAAGACAAAGTGAGGAAATCGATATGGGATCGTGTACCTGTCGAAGTTGGTGATCCTGTGAGTTTAGCGAGGGAATTACAATGGCGTGTTTTGAGAGAACTTCCAAAGGTTCATGAATCGAATGAAATGGGAGAGGAGAAACGTGGAATGGGGAAAAAGATGAAGAGGAAAGGAAAGGTTGAAAGAATTAAAATGGTTGTGGAGGGGATGAGAGAGAGGGATGGTTCGGATTTGAGTGAAAGTGTTTTGGGTGATATGGTAGGGATGGGTGATGATTCGTAAGTTTTGTTTTTGTCTTTGACTTTGTCTTTGTTTTTTTCATTCTTGTTGAGTCGTTTTGAATCTTTTCGACTCTTCTCGAGCCGTCTTGAATCTTCTGGACTCTTCTTGATTCTACTTGAATTTTCTTGATTCTTCTAGACTCTTCTCGAGTCGTCTTGAATCTTCTTGACTGGCCTTGACTCTCTTGGATTCGATCCTGTGATGAGAGGACAGTGATGGAAAGACTATGTTGTATCACCCTTTATTTCGATACATGATCAAACCATTAGAAGTTCACAGCAATACATCACATAAGAATGTACATACTGTAGTCTTCTACCCGGAATATGTGGTCAGATTGTTTGATAGAAAGGAAAGATCTGACGAATAGAGGATGGACAGAAGATGTACCTTTTCATTCATCACATTCCACTCGTGTCAAACGTCCTCGTTCATTACTTCCAGATCACATCTCGCCCGTTATACAAAACCCACAAGATCTTTCACGATCGATAGGATCCATGTTACCCATCGTACAACCTCAAAAGTCCTTGTCCATGTCTAAAATCGCAGAAAGAGTCAATGGGAGGATGGAAGGTGGGGATGAGATTATTACTTCGGAGGTAGATACAGTTGTTATGAGGGATATTGAACCGACGAGTGAAAATAGAGAGATTGTGGTTTATGAGAATGGGAAGGTAGTTCCACCGAAAGGAGAGGTCATACGGGAAGCTACGAATTACTTGGAGGTGGTGGAAGGGAAGCGAGTGGGGGATGTGGATGGTGTGGTGGGTGCTCGAGTGGTGGACATGGCAGATACGGGAGATGGGGGGAAAGTGGGGGAAATGGAAGATGCGGGGGGTATGGTGCAAGGGGGGAAAGTGGGGGAAATGGTAGATACGGGAGAGATGATGGAGGGGGGAGGAGTGGGGGATATAGAAGAGACCACAGATATGGTGGATACTGTGGAAAGGATCGATATCGATCAAAGGGTCAAACGTAGGGTCAGGAAGTTGGAAGATGGGGGGATGGAATGGGAAGAGGTTGTGGTACGGACGACTCGGACGGTTGTGAAGTGGGAATGACCGGAAGAAGAGAGATCAGATGGAATAGGGGAGAGAATATCACAAACTTATGAAACGATGTCAGTTTGATACGGGCTACTCATGGCTTACTTTCCATCATACTGTACATGATATCTCCCGTTGTGTGATGGAGCTAGAGTACGAGTAATTCTCTTGCCCCTCTCAGCGAATCATAATCTTGCTTATGGTCAACATGTACTCGTCAGTCATCGGATCCGTACCGTGTCAAGGTACATCAAAACCTCGGAGTCGAATTCGGAAGCATCCTGACATCATCTACTCGATCGGGTGATACTGCTGTATGCTCTAGCCACTCGTAGAGTACGAGTATACCGAAAACACAGATCTTCCCGAGATATCCTTTGTACTAACGGCCAACGGCGAATGCTCCTACAAGTTTTTGACAACGAGGAAACAGAACGGGAAACGATCAATCTAGATATCTACCGTATTCACCTTGGTAATTTCTTGGTAATTTAGATTTAGATTCCCCCAAAGGGTTAAACTGCGGTATTGTTTTACATCAACAACTTGTTGTTGAACACCCTCTTTAACATAGCTTGCATGCTACTTGGTATGTACATGGTACATGCTACTGTCTACATGCTAGACGATTCGTGATAGAGAGTGTTGACGTGAATTTACATCCGAAGATTAGAGAGTTAAAGAGTGGGTGAGTGGTGTAAAGATGGGTCATGACCGATGACCGAGGTTGAAAAAGCGATCAGCTCCCGATATCTCCTTCGTCACTTCTACACACTTTACACAGTACTCTACTGTTGCTCCATACTATCTTACTACCGCTGTGATACTGTGAGCTGTCAAGAGTATACAAGACTGACAAAGGGGGAGACGGGGTACCGCTAGCTATGCCCGATTCAAAGGTTTATCATAAATCTTCACTTTGTTATATTTTATCACAAGACGATCCAATTTGTCCTATACCTTTTCGTCCTTCTTTCATGTCTTCTCCCACTGGGTCCGGGATCGGGACTGGCACCATCAATAATGACTCCATCACCAACGACTCCACCACCAACATCAACACCACCTCCACCGACACCACCACCAAACACGATCACCACAAACCCATGACCTCATTAGAAACATTACCCAGAAACATACTTTCACTCATAACGTATCATCTAGTCATTTCAACTCCACATCCACTATCATCACATTACATTCCAAATCCATCAACCATAATACCCCTTTTACTGACATGTAAAACAATTTACAAAACAATAAATTTCGATTCGAATCCTCAACTTTACAACTCCCTTTTCAGATCAACTTTTGATCATTCTGCTTTGAGTAGAAGATACGATTGGATGGTGGTTCATCTTTCAGAAGTAGCAGGTAGAGGTAGAAAGATATTTGATTTATTTTCAAATCCTAGGAGTTGGGCGAATGAATATAAAACAAGATGGGGTATGGTAAAAAGGATGAGAAGGGATGTAAGGGATTGTACTGTTGTTAATAAGGAAAAAATGACGGCTGATTTATGGAACGTTTGGTTTATCTTGACTGAGAATGGTGAGTTTTAAAAGGTTTCTTCTTTCCCTCCTTCTATCTCCCCCTTTTTCACTTAGAGCCCCGTTACTCTAAATACGTATGAAGATTCGTTTATCAAGTTGTGGCTTCTTCCTTCATCTTTCTTTGTGTTTGTGTATCATCGGACTTGTCATATTGGAGATAATCACAAGTCATACATTATCCTCTCCTTATCTCCTCCCGTGCTATGTTTTCGTCATCTCTCACACTCTGATTTACCGTCTACTGGATCTCTGGAGAAGAAATCATCAAACTATCATTCTGAGCTCGATCGAGGAACAGTGGGGAATCAGCAGTATTTTGATAAATCTCCCCCCTGACCCCCTCCTTTCTCATCTGATCATCATCTCTGTTTCACCTGACCATCTTGTCCCTTATTCCACATTGAATTACTCCCGGTCGATCGGGCATGATCCGAACTCCCACCAAAATATACATCATCGAATGTTAGTCTTATATCCGATTATCGTATGTTGATCTGAGATTCCATGTCACTTGTCAGATGTCAGACTGGATACACGTTCAGGAAAAGCAGGATTTGACGTCGGGGACAAACTGACAACCAGATGGTGAAGCAGGCAACAATTTAGCATTCGTACTCGACCTTTGTCAATTACAAGCTTGGATGAGAGCTCATTATCATGCTGACATGTTGGCGGATGCTTTAGTTCCGGGATATCCTAAAGAGACTGGGTCAAAAGCTTTGGGTATATGGTGTGCTTTGTTATCTGGCACTGGTGGGTTTGACTCTGGTATCTTGCCCCTCCTTCCTTTTCTGTTTGTTTCTTATTTTGGACATCTATCTTACTTCGATTACTTCTCCCTATAACATTGTACTCAGATAACACTTTTGCTTATTCACTTCTTTGCTGCCCTTACATCAATCATATCGACTAGCTGTATCTCAAAATTCACCTTCCAAACCCCTTTCTTCCATATGGAAACCCCTTGAGAAGTCTGCCAATCTCCTTGTGAGAAGCAGAACTTGGCGACAGTGTCGAGTATAAAACTGACGCTCAGACTTCCCAGAGGACGAAACACCATCCGAAGTGGATGAAAGAATATTCATCATGCGTCCTTACGTATTCGCTTCCGCAAAATATGACATCACCTACGCTCCTTGGCGACATCGAAAATTACCTTTATGTGAACCAGGTTGTACTTGTACTTCCCACACGCCAGATGTGAGTTTACGACCGAAAGCTATTCCATATGATCGTTTTGGTTATACTTGGAAACGAGCCCCGCCACATTTTATCCTGGGAGCTTACTTGATGTTCTTCCGATTATTGGAGAGACAACCTGAGAGGTTGAAAATGTCAAAACCGACAGGATCGGCTTATACGACGTCATCTATCTACCCATCGTCCTCTTATCCATCTTCTTATTCAACTGAATCGAGTTCATCTGCCGGTCCATCAACATCTTCCCACTCCAATTATCCTTCCTCCCCATCACTCGTGTCATCCAGACCATTATCAGATGGAATAACCTCGTCATCTCCCCAAACCCTACCGATTCATCCGCCAAAACCCAAATTATTCAGCCTTAGAACTATCCTTCCTTCTAAAATACATGATAAAGAATGGCAACGCAACACTGTTTGTCAAGATCCCCACACTTCCCCAGGTCTCCCACCTTTAACCTTTCGCGGAGATTTACAAGGTGTTTGGAAAGGTAGATATCTGTTCTATGACTTTGGAACTTATCGCGATATTCTAGCGGGGGATATGAAAGCTGTTTACACTGGTGATTTCGCAGAACAATCGATGGAGATGAAATTGAAAGAAACTGTCATAAAGGTTAGAAAAGAGGATGTGGGGGGAAAAGGACCTTTGTTAAGTGCGGGTTTCGAGGGGAGGAGTTTGACAAGTGGTCAAATGGATCCGAGTGTAGGCGCGGGGATGGGTGCAGGTTTGACAGATGAAGAAGAAGAAGAATTGAAAAGGATAGAAAATGGTTATGGGAATCCAGTATGGGATGGGAAAGATGAGAATGATGAGGAAGGATGGACAAAGGAGATATTGATTTCTGGACGATGTAAGAGTAGTTGGGGGTTAGCAAGTGTTAAAGGGAGAGTTAGAACTTGGGATGGTTTGGTCATACTTTCTTTGACGTATTCGGTGAGTTGTTTGCTTTGACCTATAGTTTTTCCCGTGGTTCATATTCATCACTTCACACAACATCACAACCCCAAGATCCTGCACGTTCATCTCGGTTTGACCCAAGTTTCTTCTACAACTTCCTCAGGTTCACTACTTGAATATTCCAACATGCCGTCACACATTGTACTGCCCGCCTCAGAGTCAACCCCTCTCCCCGGGCTACCAAACATACAGACACCCCTGATTTTATCACTACTTTCATGTCGTCATGGCTGACGCTCGTTTTAGCCCCATCCAATGGGCAAATGGCTTTGGCGTGGGTATCTCCACACTGGAGGTTACTTAGTCGGTCGATGGCGAGACACATTCACTCCGGAGAATCTAAGAGGTTACGAAGGTGCTTTTGCCATGGTCCGAGAATCTCCAGATGATCCCGATTACGATTCATCTCATACAGATCAACAAGATCAAACATCAAATACGGATTTGAGAAATGATGGATCGACTGGAGTGAGGATGGAAGAAGGAGTGGGAGGGGAAATAGGAAGTATACCTCAATTTTATATCCCTCAAATACCTTTACCAGGGGAAAATACAAGACGTTCTTCTGCAACTTCAGATTCTTCCGAAGGTGGTACTTTTGTCAAATACCAAAAGAGATCTGAACCTGTTGATTCTTCCGAAGGTGGTTCTTTTGTGAAATATCAAAAGAGATCTGAACCTTTTGATTCTTCCGAAGGTGGTTCTTCTGTGAAATATCAAAAGAGATCTGAACCTTTTGAATTTTCTGAAGGTGGTTCTTCTGTGAAATACCAAAATAGATCTGAACTTTTTGATTCTTCCGAAGGTGGGTCTTTTGTGAAATACCAAAAGAGATCTGAACCTTCTGATTTTTCCGAAGGTGGTTCTTCTGTGAAATACCAAAAGAAATTCGACAATGATTCACCTCGAACGGACGGGAACATGAGGGATATCGTCAAGGAGGAAGGAATGGAAAAGGAAAAGGGCAATTATATTCCGAGTGTCTCGAATGAAAGGGATCAATCTATGGAGGTCGAACATCAAGTCGGTTCTTCTAAACACGATCAAGTAGTTTCCTCATCTCAAATTACTCGACCGCAAACTATCTCTTCTCTCGTTTCCCCTTCCCACACCGAGTCATCCGAATTAAGATCAAATCAAACACAAATCAGAGATAATCCTTCCGCATTTTCATCAACTCGGGTTGAACAAGATAATTTACCAATACGACACGGATGGACTACTCGTCTTCCACCTCCACCACGGACGACGCGGATCGATAACCCTATCGTATCTCTCTCACCTGGGATATCAAGTAAACAAAGTGTGAACCATGTAGATGAACCACATGATCATCTCTCTCGTGTGAGGTCGGAGGAGATGAATTCTGATGATAATGGTTCTAGATCAGAGAGAGAGGAGGGTGGGATGTTTCAACCCTCACGAAGATCTGAGCAAGGGATGGATCGAATGACTCTCGGATCGTTATCAGAGTTTGGTAAAGAGATGGACGGACATGAATCTATTTCGATACAACGGGGAGATGATTTGGAAGGGCAGAGAGATGGAGGGGATATGAAAAGACTCGCTATGAGTCAAATGCTGAAAAGACCTTTGATAGAGGATGATGATGAGAGAGGGAAGAGGGCGAGGTGGGAGTGAAGAGGTGGATTGATAAAGATGCATGTTGTAAGATCTTTTGCAGAGTGTTGGACATTAACGGTTCTTGCTATTGACATTACTTGATCATGACCCTGACCCCTCAAACCTCAAACCCTCTAGACCTTTTTTGGTCATTTGACATTGATATTCCCTCCAAGCTTATCTGTAAGACCGATACGAACAAGTTGAGGGTGAGTGACCATGCTTCATGAGTCGTTCATCACCCTTGTGGTTCACACGATACAGTTGTAATTGTCGGTGATGGTGTGTCCCTGTCCACTCAGTTGGCTAGGGGTGGGGGGGGGGGGAGGAATGGAAGATGACAAGATGGATATTGAAGTTGTTGATAAGTGTCACATTCTCTCTATAGGTAGGTATCTTCGACTTGCCCAGTGATAGGTAGATTGATACGTAGATACACCTGGAAGAGATTGTCTAACTTTGACACGAACGGCGACGGCGGGACCGGTCCGGAGATAAGTGACTTACTCTAGGGGTGCCTGAGTGGAGGAAAAGTGGAGGTGGAGGTTTGGATACACGGTGATTATATATAAAATGGGGGTGGGTGGGTGCAGTTGTATTTCTTTCCCACACTTTCTATCATCACTGGTCAAAAGAGAATAATATCCTTGAGTAGGTGAAAGGAAATAAAACAAGATGACAAAAGAATTATCGTTCCAAGATTTTAAAGTGCCTGTACCCGGTTTCGGGTGGGTTGTTCCTTCTCTTTCTCTTTCTCATTCTCTCCTCTCCTATCTCCTCCTCTCCTATCTTCTCCTCTCTTTCTCTCCTTTTCTTTCCTCTCTCCTGCTCCCCCCCCCCCCCCCCCCCCTCTCCGACTTCCTTCATCCACCTATGACACAACGACCCCTCTTAACCCAAAGTATGTTGAAAAAAGATGACACATGCCCATGATATCTCGATCCTTTGTGGAAATACCGTACTGATCATCCAGCTGCATGTCATTCGTTCATCCGGACGCGAACGACGAAGAAAGTTTAAAAGTTTTACGTCGTGTGAGAGAATCTGGATGTACTTTTTGGGATACCGCCGCTGTTTATGGATTAGGTTCTAACGAAAGTTTATTAGGAAGGTTTTTCAAGGAAGAGAAAGTACCGCTTGAGGAGATTTTTTTGGCAAGTAAATGTGGATTTGATGTGAGTTGTTTCTTTTTTCTTTGGTTTTCTTTCCCCCTCCTCCCCCACTTTCGCTTCTTCGTTTACCCTTTCCTTCGCCTCTTAGGCTTTTTTCTGTCCTGCATTTTACGTTTGATTACTTCTTCTCATCTTCTGGCTTACTTTCTTGTCTATGTTCTACGTCTTGTTTCTCCTTCTCCTCTTTGGCTTCTCCATCTACTCCCTCCTTCTCCCTCCCCTCTTAGACTTCTTTCTTTCCTACGTCTTACGTCTTCTTTCTCCTGTTTCTTCTCCTTCCCCTCTTCGGCTTCTTGTTCTACTTCGATCAACCTCTTCCTCTTCCCTTCGTACCTATTCGAAAAGCCGTTCGACCTTGTTTCGTAAGTACTCCCAATGAAACGAATATCCGGACTATCAGATATTCATCGAACGCCGAGGACGTCCGAGGACTTTCTCCAGTGACTGTTCATTAAAGAGCATGATCGCTTGCACCGGTCGCAGTGGATCGTGTCTACCGGAAATCTGAACTAGATCAAAGAAAAAATAATTGATCCCAGATCGATTTCGAGAAAAAGATAAGAGGAGACGTAACGAATTCACCTGAACATATACGTTCTACACTAGCATCTTCCACGGAAAGACTTGGTAGAGCTCCCGATTTGTATTATTTACATAGGATCGATCCGAACACTCCTCTGGAACAAAGTATCACTACTTTGAAAGAATTGAAAGATGAAGGGAAATGTAGGTATATAGGTTTGAGTGAACCTAGTGCTGCGACTTTGAGAAAGGCGTGTTCTAGTGAGTTCAATTTTTGGTCCCCCCCCCCCCTTCTTTCTATGTATCAACCGCTCCACCCGACATCCAGCCTCAATTTTGTCGAAGTTTCACCTATAACACCATCCATACATCCACACCCAATCTTCTGTTTAATACTCTCTTGTCAATGTCTCCCGAGGGGAAGACGTGCATGGTGAAGGCGTGCGTAGGGAAGAAGGGGAGGGGGATCAAGTGTATGGGGAAGACGTGCGTGGGGAAAGAGGGGGAAATCAAGTGGATGGAAGGAGGGAGGGGGAATCAAGTGAAAGGGTCCAGAGCAAATATCAAACCTAACTGTTATAGTCGCTCATATCGACGCTATCCAAATCGAATATTCTCCTTGGTTCACAGACCACGAAACAATAACGAACCTAATCCCTACCGCAAAAGAATTAAACGTCACAATCATAGCTTATTCACCACTAGGTAGAGGTGTTTTAACTGGGAAATATCGTGATACTTCAAAATTCAAAAAAGATATAAGAGCGACTATACCTAGATATAACGAAGAGAATTATGAGAAAAATTTGAAATTAGTAGATGAATTTGGGAAATTAGCCGAAAAGAAAGGTTGTACTGCTGGTCAATTAGCTATTGCTTGGGTTATGAAAAAAGGTTTCATACCTATTCCTGGAACTAAGAATATAGATAGGTTTGAAGAGAATTGGGGTTCAAGGGAAGTTGAATTGAATGAAAATGATTTGAAAGGGATTGAAATGGTTGTTGAAGGTTTCAAACCTGTTGGTGATAGGTTAGTTGAGAATTATCTCCTGTTTTCTCCCTATCTTTCTCATCCTTTTTTTTCCCCACCACCCCTCTCCCTTTTGTTCTCTTGTTACTCTTCCTCGCCTTTTCACCGTCTCACGGCACAAGGTATAAGAGTTTGTTGGTACTAACAAAGAAAATCATCTTTTGTTTCACTTTTTTCCATCTCTGGCGGGTTTTTCAGAAACGACGAGGGATCATTTGGGGGGGGGTGGGGGGGGGGGGGGGGGTTCGGTGTTCAGGATCATGATCGGACCGGGTGCGCTGGAGAGACAATGTCACAATTACATGTTAGATCTTTTTTGTGAAATGTCAGCTAATGGCAGATACAACGAAGACGGTCTTTCCAAAGTCGGCAGGTGATGGATGACCTCGAGAATAATTCCAAATGTTCTTTTTACATTTATCATCACGTCATTTTGGTTTGTCGTTACGTAGTGAAAGTCTCAACGTGGCCGACAAAATTGTTCAGTATCGTATTCTATGTCTTTGATCGTTGAGCGGATTGTGTGACAATGAGGAGAGAACGAACTGTTTGATTGTTTTGTAGATATGTGTAAATAGCCAAAAGTGAATTTGACAGAGCGAGGATGAATGCAAAAACATATTGTGACATTTCTATCTTCTATATATACTTTTACATTTGCAACATTACTTTTCGAAGATACCTATCTGATAATCCACTGACGACACACATCCCATGAGCGGATCAAAAGTCAAAGTGTCGAACATAGAGGGCGAGGAATGGAAGTCCGGAAGATGACGAGGAATCGGGAGTCAACGGATGGGGGGAAGGTCGACATGTGATGTTGGATATCGTGTGGATTCAAAGAAGTCGGCAAGGGACTTGTGGGAAGGAAGACCAGTGAGAAACACCAGGTTCACACCTTAACACCGGATCCACCATAAGAAGGCATCATCTCCACACCATTCCCATTCGTTCCTTCGATCACTTCATGTCCATTTCCGAGGGATAAGTGCTGAGGCGGCCAAACCACTGCCCAGGGGAGAATAGCTAGGAAAAGAGGCAGCGAATCGAGCGCATAAAACGGCCACTCGTGAGTCATGAGATACCCGAAACGGCCTGAAGCGTACTCGGCCACACGGTAAGCTGAACGGATCTGAAGGGTCAGCGACGATAGAAGGTCGAGTCGAGCAGTCGGATGTGGTAAGGGTATGGTCGTGTAGATTGCGGGCGATGGGAGCTTGGTCATGAAGTAGGATGACATCGGAGTGTGATGAAGGCAAGGGTTAAGAGGAAGGTGGAGTTGTGAGTATGACAGGTGAAAAGTGAGTGTAAGAAAGAGGTGAAGGAAAGGAATTGGGAAGGAGGGTGAGTGGACTGATCACGTAATACATGGAGTGAAAGGGGTGTGTGAGGGGGGTTTGGGGTTTGAGAAGGGGTACGAGATTGAGATACAGATACTTACAAGAATACCGATAGTAGTCCAGAGTAAAACGTAAAGAACTAATCTCCAATCGTTTCTCCATCCTTCTTTAGGTGGAAGTCTAGGGTCGCCAGCTGCATCGCGTTTCCGCCTGAGCGTTAGATATGTCACACGTGCAGTAGATTGTTTGCTCGGCCATGGGGGGAGGGATGAAAGGTTGTGTAATGGAGAAAAGAAGGTAGAGGAGTATATGTCGCGATAGTAAAGGAAGTCAGAGACGGTGAATGTTAAGACACGGGGGATGGCTGGCGAAGTGTATGATCTTAGCTAGGTGGTAATGTCACAAATGGGAGAGGGAGGTGGGACAAACTGAAAGGAAATTCAACTCACATCCTGAAGGTAAAGACGAGAGCCAAAGTGGTGAACAGCAAGAAAGAAGCCAATTGTGCTCCTAGACCGACCAAAGTGATCTACCATCAGTATTATTTTCACATACAGATACATTACCTCGAAAACAAATCTGAACGAAGAGTGATTTGAATGGTGATATGTGTGTAAGGAGGGGAAGGAAGTGTAAAGCCGAACTCACATCTTTCCCAATAGTAATAAGATTCCTCTTGCTAGGATCATCAGAATCTGATAATTCCAAACTACCTCCAGCAGCTTGTGTCAAGAAAGTTGCTACATCACTCCATACGAAGATCCTAACGATTTTCCTAGAAGATAAAAATAAAGAATCTTCAGATTGTAAATACGAAGCTACTCTTGGTAAGATTACATAATCTTGAGCTAAGTATGCGCATGGGGATAATAAAGTGAAAAGATATGTAGCGATGTATATTCCTGTACTATAGGCGTTGGTGTGAACGGCTATACGAATGGCGAAACCTATAGCCATGGTGGTAGCTCCGATGGTGACGCTTAACATCCATTTATGTCTTCCTTGAGTGAAGAAGCCTGGTCTTTAGTAGGTCAGTCTTTGGGGGTGAGAGTGAAGCGTTGTAATAGAGTAAAGAGATAGAAACTGATAATTATCTAGGAGATATACCTGTGTATGTGTTGGGTGGGGGTGGGGGGGGGGGGGGATGATCGGGAAAACCGGATGAGGTATTTTAGAAGAATCATGAAATGAGGCAACAGTGGTTAAGAAAGATGAATGGTACAGGAATGTGAAGAGTATAGTACAAAGTATTCAGACACTCACGGTACCACAAGGCGATAGCTAATAAACCATATAAAACCATTGCGATGATAGCCAACACCCTAGATGGGATGTATCCCGCTCTATCGGTCAGATACTTTAATCATCGTCCATCCGCTTCATATGACCATCGACCACATCATTCTCGATCATTTATATCATCACCTCGGTACGCTCCCCCATGTCATTCATTACCATGAAAGTTTCAGATCGGACCACCCGACGGACGAGGTGGTAAAGGAACGAATCGACTTACACAGGGGTAGTGGTATGGGTCGGTAGGAATTCTTCAATTTGGACAGTCATCTTGAATGAGTGTGAGGGAGAGAAATGATACCAATATGAAACTGAGCGATGACACGATGTTTATATATGGTTGTACGATGAAGGGAACAGAGGTTAAAAGAAACACCGCTGTCTGCGGGTGTTCCGTCGGTTCACGGGGAGACTCCGGGGGTACGGCCGCCGGTAGATACCTCTCCTCTAACGCCTTGAAATTGTTTGTTTGTGGGTACGTACTAGAGGACCTCTTTCTGCACCATGCACCTCTGACCTTGCAGCCTGCACCCTGCGGCACGAGTACGAGTAGTCTATCAAAGTTGTAGAGATCTAGATCTAAAGACGAACACCGCTTTGGGACAAACTCGTACTACCCAAGACTTTCCCACGGTGTCTTTAACACGTGACCTTGTAGAGGGTATCACCGGATATCTCCCGTCCATCGGAAACCGGTGCAACCATAGTGCAACTGGTCAACTTTCTATATCACACTCCTTTCAATACTCTACTCTAACGACTACTACTACCCACACGGAAATGGACTCGGGAAGACCTTTAAAACGACCTAAAGTATTCAAAGCATGCGACAATTGCGTTTCTGCCAAAACACGTTGTGAAGAACTCACAGATCAAGGTTGTCGTCGATGTCGTCAAAGATCCAAAGCGTGTTCGTTGATATACGAAATCCAAGTTGAACCTGACAGTTATCCATCTCACAAACAGCCTCAACATGATCATGTTGATCATATAACATTATCAGATCAAACGAAAAGAATAGAATCTTTAGAAAATAGAATATCTCAATTAGAAGCTGTACAATTGATAATAACAACTCCAGTCAATGATCCGACCGTTCGAACTTCCGCTTCAACCTCTATCAATGGGAAAGATGGAGAGAGGGAAAAGGGAAAAGGAGATAGAATGGAAGAGATGAAGAGGAGAGGTTTGAAAGACATAAAAGATCAAATGGAGAAAAACGCTTTTATGAATAGATGGGACGATTTTAAACATATGTGGTTTCAAGAAGGGATCTTCGGTTTCGCAGCTGAGAATGGTTATCCTAATGTCATTTCTTTAGGTTTGATAAATGAAGAACAAGTTGAGATGTATTGTCAAGGGTGAGTCGAACGATCATCTCATCGAATCACATGCCTGTATTAGACTTGAGAATCAAACACAAGAGAGGAATGGGGGCTGATTTTATAAAAGATTCAAACATCATTTCACTCGTTTATTACCATTTCGTCCTTTTCTAGATATCACTTCTAATTCCCCAAAACATCCTTTCGTCCTTCTTTCAATACTGGTTTACATGCGACATTTACATGATTTGGATTTATCCCAAATAATCGATCAAAGTCTACAACATGTTTCTAGAGGGGCAATCTCTATCGATGTTATCCTGGCTTTATTGATACTTTCTTTAACACCACTTGATACTTCTTTACCGAGGTTACAACCGACTGCATTTAGATTGATATCACTTGCTTTTTCCATTGGGATGGATATGGGGTTGGAACAAAGATCCGAGAGTGGGTTGAGGGATGTGGAGACGTTGTATGGGTTGGGTTCGAGACGGGGATTGGATGATATTTTGCTGGTAAGTCACACTTCATCATGTTCACATCACTTACATCACATACATCACATCATTCTGATGACGTTTTGGAGAGAAGCGGAAGTAATGAATTCAAGAGTGGAAGGTGTGTAGCTGGAAATAGCTCCAGGGGTTAGTTCAGTGTGATGCTTTTAAAAAGCGAAGGTATACGAGCGAAACAAGTAAGGGATGAATGACAAATCTAGGTGATGGAGGACTGACCTTACAGTGGGAAACCGTCAAGAGAAGATATAACATTCTTCGTCTTATGCACTCACCAAATATCCTTCCCGTGAACTTTCATCATCTCCCCGATCACGACAATCCATTGACCATGAGAACGATCCAACATCTTCGAGATGAGACTCGGATGATCCGAGCATGTGACGATCTGATTCGAGAGCTCACTCAGCTGGAGAAAGACGTGGGTAGGATAGTGGTGGATCTTAGTGAAATGTTGATATTGTGGGATGGGTTCGAAACGACAGTTGAGAAATTGAGGGAAGAGAGGGGGCATGAAAATCGTAGGTCTTTGTTTTTCTCTCCCTCTCTGCTTTCTGCTTTCTATCATCATTTAACAATATTATTTTAAGCATGTTTACTGACTCCAGTTCTGCTTCAACGTGACTCTCAAGCTGTCATACTAGCCATGTCTATCCGAATAACAGGTTTAATTCAATCCGTTCCCTGGCCAGTTTCTCCTGTCCTTCGTAGACCAGCATTTCAACATATGGGTATGAAACTTCTTCAAAACGTTCGACGTTCATCTTCCTTCATCCTTTCCCTCTCTTCCATCGAATTACGTTGTTTACCTTCTTACTTGATCCACATGCACCTCATAGCGACTTTTGTCGCTCATCGTGCACATGCTTTCTTGATGCAACATCGACGTCCAGTATCGGACGGAATGGTAGAATCAGCTTTATTGATCAAGACGGAAGAACGTTTCCGATCTATGGAAGGTGCTCCGAAAGCTATTTTGGAACATATGGAAGAACAATTCGGAAAGTTGGGAGTTGAAGAAGCGGGGATGAATCAAACGGATGGGTGGAATGGGGTAGGACATGGAGAAGGTTTTGATCCGATGGGTCTTGCTGGATGGCTCGGTATGGATGGGAATATAGATTGGGAGGTTTTATTCGGGACTGGGATGGTGGGTGGATCTATGACATGAGTGATTTTTGGAATTCATCTTTGCATTTAGATATCGGACACTTGCAAATGTGAAATGGTTGGTAACTTTACTCGTAGTATCTGGATCTATAGGAGTTCACTGACTGATGTCGCTGTTCAATCAACTTGAGCGAGTAGTCACCCGTGGCTTGTCATACCCTGTCACGTTCCATTCCTTGATATATGACCTGATAGAGTACCCTACTCGTACTCGTACTCGTGGTGCACGGAATAGCAATACTGTACCTGGTGCCCCGCATGTTGACGCACGTGGAAGACGTCACCCCTTTCTCCTATCCTCACTATGTACTACTATAACCCTCTCTATCTTGACATCACAGCGTACGGTGTGACTCTGTCCAAGGAGCTACAATCTATATCCTATTCTCAACAACATCAGGTCCATCCTTGACAGAGACAAAGACGGGTTCCTAGATCGGAAGGATGTATATTTTAGCTATCAACTGCGGATCATCATCTATCAAAGGTAAACTCTATCCTATACCTTCTCAACCCACTCAACCGTTGAGAGATTGTGCTTCTTTAAGCGTCAGTAATATAGCTTCTCATGGTGAGAGAATCAAGGTTAAAGTGAATTGGACAGAAGGGGGAAAGGGGTTGGAAGAGGAAGGTGAAGATGGGGGTAATGTGGAATGTGAGTTTCTACTTTCTGTCTTTCTTTTTTCTCTTCTATTCTATTCTGTTCTGTTCTGTTCTATTCTATCCCACTTGAGTATATAAGTCAGCAGTGAATCAAGTGATCTGCATATGGTATTAGAACTGATGAGTGCTGATATAAAGACTCTTCACTAGTACCTATGCTTCTTGGAAAACTCACTACTTCTGGATCGGTAAATAAAGCGGATATACATTACGTCGTTCATCGTATGTGAGTTTTTTTCAGCTTTAAGCCTGAGATACCTGTCATTTATAACTTGTTTTCAATAACAAGATTTTATCTATCCATACAATCAACGCACTACTCTCTCAGCTTGAGATAAAGGTTGTGTCCCATCGCATCACTTTACCTCCAAGAAGACTGTTCTCCAAGTTTGAGATAACGGTTGTATCCCATCGCATTATTTTACCTCCGAGAAGACTGCGCTCCAAGCTTGATATAAAGGTTGTGACCCATCGCATCACTTTACCTCCAAGAAGACTATCAAGCAGGTGCGACAATTTGAAAGGAGAAAGAGAAGAAAAGATATATGTTCGGTATTGCGCTGATTTCAGTGTACATGGTGGAACTCATGAGAAAGGTTTGGTGATCACTAAAGATCATACGGAGGGGTTAGATGAAATGGATAAATTATCTGAATTCGCTCCTCTCCACGTGAGTAATCTCTTTCTTCAACCTCTCACTTTCAGATGTATCTTCTACCTTCGCCCTCTAGCCTCCCTCACCCACAACGATCAAATATCTTGTGTCTTGACAACTATGCCGATTCCGATGCTCGATTGACAGACTAAATGGAGAGCTCTTGAGCATCACTGACGAGCCAGAACCATCATGCCGTCTTAGCCGTTCGATCATGTCTGGAAGCATTGCCAGATCATACCAGTTTTCTAGCTTTCGATACTCTGTTTCATGTACGTCTGACCTATTGGCCCAAACCTTTAGTACCCAACTTGGTGGAACTTGGTTGACAAATAGCAAACAATACCTCCAGAGACATACACTTACGCACTGCCTCCAGCTCATAAACCGATACAGATGCCTATTCGAAAATACGGTTTCCACGGATTATCTTATGCTTCTATAGTTCGTTCTCTCGCTGGACACTTGAGAAAACGGGAGGAGGAGATCAATATCGTCGTTGCTCATTTGGGAAGTGGAGCTTCCGCTTGTTGTATCAAGGGAGGAAAGTCGATTGATACTAGTGGGTTCACATCTTTCTTCCAGTCCTCCCCTGTAATTTGCTTGTTCAAAAGTCTGCGATTTTCACCATGCCTTTGCCAAAATTCATCACTTCGAACCTAGACCGCTTCATCTCGGTGGAGATGGACAGGAGAGGACAGCTGACTGACACATAGGTATGGGACTATCACCCCTTGAAGGTCTCATCGGGGGAACTCGGTCAGGTACTATTGACCCGACTGCCATTTTTCACATGTTTGAAGATCCCGGTGCTGATGGAGGGTTGGAGGGTATACAGGTGACAAAAGCCGAATTGGTGTTTAACAAGTGAGGGCTTGTCTCTCTCATCTCTCCTTTTTCTTCTCTACTCAATCTATCTGAATCTGAGCATCACTCAAATGAACATAGCATAGAATGGGACAAGCCCCGCTGAGAGACTGTCTAAGATCATATATGATGTAGAGTACAAATATTGATCACTTCCAGACAATCCGGTTTGCTAGCTTTAGCAGGTACCACCAACTTTGGTCTCCTCCTCTCCCGTCTTTCAAACCCCTCAGACCCAGAACACGGACAAGCCGCACTAGCATATTCCATCTATCTCGATAGACTCATGGGTTACGTCTCACAATACCTCTTCAAATTACTTTCTACCCTTCCTCTCTCTTCCATCGACGGGATAGTCTTCTCCGGTGGGATAGGTGAACGTGCTTCTCCTTTGAGAAAAGACGTCTTATCTCGTTTCTCTTGGCTTGGAGCGGAGGTGGATGAGGGGAAGAACGAAAGTAAAGAGATTGAAGAAGGGGTGAAGGAGATTACAAAACAGGGAAGTGGATTGAAGGGTTGGGTGGTGGAGACTGATGAAGAGGGTTGGTGTGCGCAGTTGGCACGGGAGGAATTTGGGTTTTGAGCTTGGTATTGTCTTTACGTCGATAGATGGCCAATGCGTTCCGATCTGTTTTTGTATCTACCAAAGCTTGTCAAGTAGATGATTGATGACTGTCGCACATGTCACCGAATATTCAAAGTACATTCATATCCCTCCTTTACAATTCGTATAGCCCAAAGTAGATTGCAGACAACCCGATAAATGACCTTTTTCCATCTCACACCCTTGCGAAAGTCCACCTCACAACTTACAATTCCCCATCTCCCTATCTCTTCACTGATCATACCAAAAAAACTACCTAATCCCTAATCCTTGATTATCACTGGACACACAGGAGGTTTTTTACGGATTTTCCAAATAAACATCTTCATGCTAACCTCTTTCAGCTCACCTTTCAAAACGGGAAAAGATCAAGGACCAACCTTTTGATCCAAACTCTCTTCGTTATGTCCCATCTCGATTCCTTCCTCGCGACCTTTTTCCCCTCCGTGATGTTCGTAAGCACCTTCGAGTTCTGCGATACGTGCACCGACACCGGAAGTGACTGCTTTATCGAATTGCCATGCCCATAGACGTTGTTCGAATAATTCGTCGATTTCTTCGAGGGAACGACCCTGTGATGTAAGTGTCAGATCTTGTTCACAAAACTTGTCTCTTTCCCCTCATTCATCGCACGCGATTGCGGTTTATGGATGTGATCTGAAGAGAGATATTTGGTAAAGGGGGTGATCAATCCCGATAACTGGTCGCGACGCGAACAATACCTGAACGAGATTGATGGACCGTCGAAATAAAAAAAGGGGCTGAGGGGTGGACGGAATCGAGATGGATGGGAGAGAAGATAGAGAGTTCAAGAACAAGATTACTCACTTTGAGTTCCGGAACACAAAACACGATAAAGAGGAATCCCAATGACGAAATGACGAAGAATATATAACCGACTTTTGCTCCGAGGTCTAGACCGGGAGAGGCGAGTAGGTACGGACTGACATAACTGACAGTAAAAGCAGCTATAACTTGCCACCAAGTAGACCAAGCCATAACTATCATGTCAACAAACACTCGAGGTATCCAGACCCCAGTCAAAGGAAGTGACGAGGACTCACTCTTCTTTCTCAATTTGACACCACCAATCTCCGAATTGATAATATATGAAGGCGAATCCGTAGCGCATCTAGCGAAAGAAGTGAAAAGGATATTACAAGCCACCACACCATGTACATTTGCACTGGTTTGATGTTTGGCACTACCGACAATGGCGACGGTGAGGATCAATGGACATTGAATGAATGAAGTGACAATCATCACTGGTCGTCTACCGATTTTGTCGTATAAATACAAAGCGCAACCTAAAGCCACAATGATGGCAGCGGAAGTTATACTGGTGTAGGTGAAGGACATATCACCGTATCCCATAGAGATGTAGAAGCTATAAGAAAACGTCAGTATGGGGTTTTACTTCCAGAGTCATTATGAAAAACACTTACGTGGCACCGAAACTTTGAATGAATTGAGTACCGTTGGCTTGCTGAACGATAAACATAAACATTGCGATCTGGTCAAAAGTCAATAATCAGAACTTTTCAAAAGGTGGTGTTCCGATTTAGACATACCAATGATCTTCTAAGGTATGTTCCACGGAAACTGATATCAGTCAGCATACTGTTCTTCGTACGATTATTCGATATAGAGAGGAGGTTCCAAAATTAAACTCACATGTCAAGCCAAGTTCCTCGATCCTTGACGTTCGACTCTTGAATGGCTTCGTCGATGGCATTGATTTCAGCTTCAGTGTTGCCGTTAGCCACATCGTGCGCAGGTCTAATTCGATTTAGAGCCACTAGGGCTTCTTCTTTTCTCCCATGTGCGGTCAACCAACGAGGTGATTCTGTCAAGGTTAACACTATTCTGGTAGAGTAAAAGAGGTAGAGATGAACATACCTGGTGTAAAAGGAAGTCCAATTAGGATGATAATGGGTGGAACGAGTTGCATAGCCACTGGAATTTTCCATCCTTTTGATTCGTGTGTCAATCGATAGGCTCGACACATCAAGTTTGACCATAATTGACCGATGACGAGGAAGAAAGTGAGCGAACCGGTGAATGTCGAACGGACAGGAGCAGGAGCGATATCACTGGTGTATGAAGGCACAGCGTTTTCTGCTATACCTTGTGCGACGTAGGAGAGACAACGTCCGAATGTGAACACCTTCCAGTTGCTTAAGAGTCAGCGCACGATACGATGAATATAACGTAGTATGGAAGAAGTGAACATCAAGAATAACTCACGGAGAAACAAGCTCGACTGAACAAAAGAACGAAGAAAAAGTATAAGCTGACAGGCACAAACGTTATTTTTTGATATGTGACTCACTGATAGCCGCCAGACACTGAACGGCGCAAAGGACAACCATTGCTTTTTTGAAACCCAAACGTTCCACCATGGGTTCTACCGACAAGGCTCCTGCCAGTTTCCCAGCCCAAACCACTGTGACATGTCAGCTTTCAACACGGAGATACGGAGAAAAATGAGAATTTTACTGTGAGACTGTGAGACTTACCAGAATTCATGATGGAAGATTGTTTCGTGGGCAATTTCTGCTTCCCGCCAATCTTTGCTCCGAACTTGTCCAGAAAACTGGGCACGACTTCAGCAAACTAAATCGCACAGCTGTAGTTGAACTTACCTTGGAAGGGCCTGTAGAGAACTGAACATACCAGAGTCACTGAAAGATATCAGTTTAACATTCAAAAATATGACACAAGGAATTTCACACTCACTATCCGTAAAAGACATCGGCGAAAACGTAAACGATACAAGTCATCCAGAGGGTGGGAGAAGTGTGAGACCATCTTGAGCGGACGGCGGTTTGACCGTTTGAGTTGGACATTTTCGGTTGAACGTTAAACGTGTGAGAGTACCGAAAGACGGGCTTGCATAATTTCAGAGAGAGACGTTGAAAGGTTTATAACGAGTGAAACTCTGGCTTTGTGATTGTTCAGGCGATTCTTGGCAACATTCCGCCATTCGTAGCGAGTCGAACGGCGACGGAGGAGTTACAAGTGTGGCGTGTAAGGATCCTTGGTTGTTTTGGTTCTCCTTCAGTCCCGAGGGGAGAAGGAAGGAATGAACAGGGTGCAGGGTGGGGGTGGGGACGGCATAGGGGTTTACTCCAAACTGAATGTGGAGGGTTGGGCTCCGAAGGGTCCCGAAGGGTTGTTGTTTGAACAGTAAACCCGAGTTCCAAAAGTGTATTGAATGCTGCTGCTTTGTTTCGACATTGAGAGACTAGAGAGTTGCGGTGTCGAGGTTGTTACAGTAAGTACAGAAGAATCCGAACCGCTCCGGTAAGCGAAAAGTCGAATGTGCACGGGTCCCTTACATCAGATGGGCGCTCGCCCGCCCGTGGGGCTCCTGATCCTCGTCTCTGATTGTTCTTCTCGCCTTACGCCCTCGGCCCGGGCCCCCGATTTTGTGGACCTCCTTTGGATCAAAAGGAGTCGTACTTTGATAATTGTCCAGCTATTCGCGGAAGCTCACAGGATCGCAGGTCACAGGGTTATTCTTCGTTCGAGTAACAAAGGGGAGGGGGAACAATCCCGGTTGCACTTATCACCGGACGGTGGAATGAGAAAAGGGAATGAACGATGGACTCGACATTAGGCTTGAAAGACTGGCAGTAACTGGATTCTCGCAGGCCTACCAAAGACTCCCCGTTCCTACCCTCGCCCCCATCCACTGACCTCTAACCTTGCCTTCATTCCGTCCCCGTGACACCATGAGTGTCAAGACTCAGACTATCCCTCTCTTGTCGGTCAGAAGGAACAGTGAAGTGAAAGCTATCAAGAAGAGACAGGGCAAGTCATTCATACAACCTCTGGTTTTTCGGCGCTGGTGCTTACAAGTCAGGATCTGGAAACGTGTGCACTGCTTGTCGTCAAACAAAAGGCAAATGGCAAGTTTAACATCTCCAAGCCAACAGCATCCCATATTTGGTTGAATTAGTTCTCGACTGACAAACAGCGATGCGGCGGATAGGTTCCCAGAGAGCTGTTCACGGTGTCTAGAGACATCAAAGATATGTCGGATCGATCCTCTGTTCAAGAGGACACGTCGGTCGGTGCTCCCCAGTCTTCCATGAGATGGGCGCTCATTTCTCAGACGAGGGACAACGGATTCAGCCACTCGAACCGAGACCACACGCAATGGTCAAGTCGCCGATTCACTCCCACCCAATATGCTCCCGGACGAAGATGAGGATGGTTCAGTCAACATCGGTCTATGCGAAGTTCTTTTAAATCGATTTACAGTTGGCAACATGACCTTTACGGCTCGTCAAGTGAACTTTTTCTTCGAGCTGTGAGTCAAGCTCACTCTCTGGAGTAATTATCTGACCAAAGTAGATTCTTTGAGCGCTATCATCCTTTTTGCCCAATACTCCTTCAAGTCCGAGACCCCGTACAAACATACATCAACGAAAAGTTTCTGTTCTGGGCCATTATTCACGTGGCCGCGCAGAATGTCATGTTCGATCCAGCCGCCGAGATGATGATGTCCAAACAGGATTTGGCGGAGTTGATGCAAGCCGTAAAGGATATGGCGGCGACGTTGAGCGTGTACTCCGGTCGATCTCTAGGAACAGTACAGGGTTTATTACTCCTATCCGAATGGTGCTTTCCCTCTACGAGACAGAAAGATGATAGGGGATGGCATTTTGCAAATCTGGTGAGTGGTCGTAGTGTACTCCCACACTTTGCTGATACGTGATAGGCAGTACAAACTGGAATGTATATGGGTCTTCACCGACCCTACCATTCCTTCGAATATTCTTCCCGTAGACCAGGACAAGCCTTGGCCGAATCGATACAGGGTCGTGAAAAAACTCTGGCGTGGATCTCTTGTCATACGTTGTCCATTCTGTCAGTCTACTATTTTATCATCCTCCATGATGGCTGATGAAGCAGTATGGCAAACGACATAGGAGTTCCTGCTATGATACGTGAAGATTGGGTCACGGTACAAGCTGCTGCCGTCATGGGCAAGACAAAACCCGATTGGTTGGTCGATGTGCCGGATACGGTCCTCCAGGCTTTGTGTATAGCTCGACATGTTGACAAAGCCGCCGACCTTCTTGGAAACTCATGCACCACACCCACCGGTCAGCTCGAAGGTCCCGCCGCTCAGATTGTATGGGCAGCATTGGATCGTGAATGGGCAGATTTTGAATTGAGCGTCGGATCACTTCCTCCTCATTTGGACTTTTGCATGCACATGACACGGGTTCGACTATCCTGCTACGGTCTTCAAATAGGAACCTCTGGGGCTTATAGGAGTAACATCGCCTCTCAACTATACGCTTCAAGTATCCGTGCTCTGGAAATTGTGGGGAATCAAGATCAAGGCAAGATGTTCTATTGGCCCAGAAGCGCATCAAGTGGTATCAAACCAGCAGCCGTGAGTAATCATCCTCACCAACGTTTACGACTGCTGACGACGCAGTTGGTTCTTCTTCACCTAATCGCTTCTGAAGACGGTCGAGATTTAGAGATCGGTCCCGCTTTAGCAGCGGTGACGAAGGCATATCGAGCTCTGATCACTTTGAGTGTGCATGGGAATGACAAGCATTCTCGATCATCCAAATTAGTCGCATTCACCTCCAAAGACGCACAAGCGAGAAGGAGAGAAGGTAGGTTATACGGTTCGAAACATCCGGACAATTTCGCGGAAATCCGATCACGTATGGGTGAGTCCTTCTGATCACATATACGTTTGAAGTTGAAGACTGAAACAACACAACAGGTCTGGCAAACTACTATCACGATTGTCTAGCAACTGCCAAGCGAGCCAGAGGACGACATGGACCAGAATATCAGAACGATCCGGATGGTCCGTCGATTTATAATCCCCCTCGTGAGTTTATTCATCTCGACGTCGCTGATCTTCACTGACGCAAACAGCTGGCACAGCCGCAAACGATCTGATTGGTCAACCGACCGAGATGTTGTTGGATGAATCTCCACCTTTCTGGCTTCATGGAGACGACGGGTGAGTTGTTCCTGATCTTACCGAACAAAGAGACTCATGTCCAGGATGGACGGCAACAATTTTGATGATTTTATCTCGCAGTGGGCTCAAATGGGACCGTCATCTATGGGACTGTTTCCGATGTTGCAGTGAATGTGCTTAACTATTGGTGTATAATATGATGCATGTTGTTGATCAGGCAGCATTGGAGTTTGAAGGCGTAGGAGACAAGTGAATTACAGATAGTCAATGTAACTTACAATACTTCCTCAGATCGAAGCAAATCAAGAAGTCCGTATGTAACCTTTGTAACTCGACACAAGGAACTCTCACTTATTCTTGTACACAGGACTCTACTCTTCTCCTACATTTCATGCGCAGCATCTCACTCACTTTGTTCATTGTTTTACTGGATATTTTTCCATAATCTGCGCAAGTGACCTTTTTAGTAACTCAACGTTTGCAATTACTTCCTTAAAGGGGCAAGATACTGCCAGGAGCTATTGAGATATCATTTGATGGTTCTGTATCTTCCTTAGCAATTAGGTTTTCTCATGAGCCCGTCTGAAAACCTTCGCTAACACTCCTGAATCTCTTCCTAAGGCTCCTGAAAACCTCCTCAAGTGGGGGTGAGCCTGACATTTCGTTCTGAAAAGTCCCGCTCCGTCAAAATTCCCCGTCCTCATCACGCCTCTGATCGGTCCGAAGGCACCGGTAATCAGATCACCCGACGATCTCACGTGGGAGATCCGCGCTTGGTCGTGCTATACCGCCGTCAATTCTTCGCTACGACAAGCGGGCCGTCAACCTTCTTCTCTAACAACATGGTCGCGGTCATCGCAGCGAATCCCGCTCCATCTCACCTACATGCGAGTGTAGGGGAAGCTTATATCCTCCTGGATCGGTCACCACGTCCACCATCTCGAGCGACGTACTCCTTGCATCGAAAATCGAAATGACTGTGACCGAAGACAAACCTGTGGAGATCATCACTCCTGTTGGGCAGATTGGGTGAGCGCAAGGGTGAATTTCCCAAGAGGTGTGCTGACTTTGCTTAGGTATGGATATCCGATTGATCCCTTCTTGGAGGAATGTAGGCGTATGCCAGAGGGGTCGTTCATCATTGCCGATTGTGGAAGTACAGACTCGTGAGTGTCACCTCCTTATCCTGACAGCGACCGCGAGCTTTTCCGCAGTGATTTTTGAACCTAGCTGACTCTTTTAGTGGTCCACAGAAGCTATGCTTTGGTCTTTTGACCGCCCCAAGGGAAAGTTACCTTCGTGACATGCGTCCCATCTTCGCCATGGCTCACGAGAGGGGATTCAAAGTACTTTTCGGTTCTGCCGGTGGTCACGGAAGTAATTCTCACGTCGATGAATTCGCAGACATCGTCAACCAGATCTGTAAAGAAGAAGGTTACAGCTTCAAAGTCGCCAAGATCTACGCCGAAATTGATAAAGATCTCATCAAGAGTCATATCGCTAACGGAACCTGCACTCCTTGTGGTCCTGTACCCGAGTTGACCGATGAGGAGGTGGAGAAATGTCCTAGAGTTGTAGCTCAGATGGGGTGTGAACCTTTCATCAAGGCTTTGGAAGGTGGTGCGGATATAGTCCTTGGTGGTTAGTGAATTCTAAGCTTCGTGGGTATGAACACTGACGTGGTTTAGGTCGGGCGTACGACCCTGCTCCGTACGCGGCTGTATGTAATATGGCCGGCATCGACCCAGGTTTGGGATGGCACATGGGTAAGGTGAGTCATCGTTTTTTCATGAGACATGAACTCGAATGACAAATGAGATTGTCGAGTGCGGTGCTTTATGCGCAACTCCGAGAGGTAAATCTATCCGGGCCACTATACGAAAGGACAGTTTTGATTTGACTGTGAGTCTGTTATTCAATGCCTGCTACGATTCCTGTCAAAAAGGGATGATGTTGATCATGCGATAGCCCGTCAACACTTCTGAACGTTGTATTCCTATCTCTGTGGCCGCTCATACCTTATACGAAAAAAGCAGACCCGATCTCCTCCCTGGTCCTGGCGGTATTCTCGATCTCAACAATTGTACCTACACCGCTGTATCGGACCGAACCACTCGCGTTTCTGGAGCAGTGTTCAAACCTCAGCCTTACACCGTCAAATTGGAAGGTGCCAAACCTCTTGGATTTAGGGCGATCGTTGTTGCCGGGATGAAAGATCCTATTCTCATCCGACAGATTGACGTGAGTTTTGCTCTCTCGTTTCACGCGAAATTACAACTGGCCGTAGCTGACTTTTTCAGGCTTGGTTGGAGATCGTTCGCAAGACTGTCATGGCTATGATGGACAACTTTGATCCTGAGATTGATCGTTTGGCGTGGCACGTATATGGCAAGAACGGAGTGAGTGTTGCTTAAAACACACAAATGACCAGCTGACCCGTTCCAGGTCATGGGAGAACTCGAACCCGACAAGGACGCTCTATCTCACGAACTACTCATCATGGCCGAGACTCTCTCCTCCACTCAAGATCGCGCCAAGCAGATTGGTAACCGTCTTCGTATTGCCCTTCTTCACACGCCATACCCTGGTCAGGTGAGTCATACTTGATGTCTGATCACAAATGGTCTCTTGCTGATTATGAGATGGCAAACTCTGGCAATGTAGCTTTCCCCTATGCGCCATTCGAAACTCCTCTCGGACCTTTCTGCGAGTTCAACGTATATCACATCATACCCACCGATGACGCCCTCGCTCTTTTCCCCGTCGAGTATCTCGACATCTCATACTCTGCCCCCGCATCCAACGGCGCTAACGGTCACACCAACGGGGCTGCCAATGGGAATGGACATGTGAAGAAAGAAGCTAAAGTCGATCCGTATTCCGCTGTGGCCAAAGAAGTCGCGGCTTATTCTCAATCCGGCAAGCCGAAGCCTACTTTCAAAGAGCTCGTTGCTGCAGGAAGGAAGTCGGCTGCCGTATCGGAACTTGCGCGATTTGTCAGGAGTAAAAATGTGAGTTTTTCGTCAAGCCAACTTAGACCGTTGTCGATATCTCCCATCTCATGTCACTACATTCGAATTGGTGAGGAGCGAAGATTCGAAACATTGGTGAGATGTCGAAGTGTACGAACGGACTCAAGTCCCGTATATAGATGAGCTGATGTTAAGGCTGGACCGTACGAAGTCACTTTCGATGTCATGTTCGCAGAAGACCTAGAATACGAATGGGTGAAACAAACAGGAGTGTTCAAAGCAGCGACTTTGGCAAAGATGTACAACACCAAACCCGAGAACGTGGTGACTTGCATGTTCTTCGACCCCGCTCGCGCTTTCAAGTTTACCATCCCTCGTCCAAGGGTAGAAGGGTGGGTTGTTCGCTTGTTCCGCCCTTGTCATCGTCCCTTCCTTACCCCACATTTGTCCTACGTGTCCTCGGCACGCATCCACCAGACCGCCGCATGTTCGTCACTACGGGGATTGCATGTGTATCGTTCACTCGAGGAGACACTGACCCTCCAGTGGATTCGGAGAAACGGACATGCACGCAGCTCAGGAGTACATGCCTATCGCTAGACTCCAAATCCCATTGCCGGATCATTTGTAGATATGGATTTTATACTGGTAGTTGGTGTATCTCATTGCTCTTGAGAGTTGCCCCCGTCTGTGTGCCTGCTTTGATGGTTTCGCAGATATAACTTAGACACTGATTGATGGCATCAAGTCCACACATCACAACACACACACACACACACAAAATAAATCATGTCCTCTCCACTACCTATGTATAATTCGGCAAATCCAGTTTTCTCCGTTTGTACCTCTAAGCTACGTCTCTGCGAATATCCGTCTTCTCTTGCCTCTCCTCGTCCCCCTCTTCCCCCTCTTGCTCCGTGTCCCTAACCTTCGCTAGTATCGTCTCTTCGCGGGTCAAAGCTTTCCTCCTACAATATCAAAATGGATCTCCTGACCACCGACAACGAAGTGCTACATTTGAGAGCGACTCATTTTCCCACCATCGCCATCAGTCTGTTGACCACGACGGAGAACATCGAGGTCCTAGAAGCACATCCCAACCACTCTCACCACTCTCACCCTCGAGACCCTCCTACTCTGTGTATATAGCATTATACGTGGTAACATGAACTCCGCCAACGTATCAAGAATGATCATAAACTGGCAACCTTCCTCGGACCCGGTTTTCAGCTCAAGCCAACAGAGATATAGGTTCGAAGTTTATATCGGTGTTTCCATACAACCATACGAGCATTGTCGTCCACTCTATTTCCCTCCGATCGCACTTCTCTACGGACTTCATCGCTGGCTTCCTTCCAAAGTCCCACATCCTGCTCTTGACCCATCACACTCTTGCCCAGGAATAGTATGCCATGTCTCAGAGGAAGAGAGGAGATGTCATGACAGATGTTTGCCATCTTTCATGTATACGTGAGTGACATATTTTGGTCCTAATTTGTAAAAGAGGCTGATCTTAATCAGATCAGATACCCATGTGTGCTGGAACGCAATGAGGAGGTCATTCCCTACATTGATCTGGCAGTATGAAATCGATCAAAAGCAGTCGCTGCTACTCGGGCGGTGTTGGTCTTGTCATTCGGTCGGTGACGAAGGTTGTTCGTTGGTCGCCCTTCGTCTTTCGATGATCGACAGAGACGGACAAACGACTGTTAGGACCAACGCACCGTTCATTGATCCCAATCCCGACGTCAAAGTCAATCCCCAGCCTTTTCTTCCTCCCCATCGTCCTGAACCGTCGAAGAAAGTCCTTTCTCGTCCTCCGAACGAACTCAATCCTTATCCACCTATCGACTGGATCGAGGTAGAACGCTTCAGGTTCGCCCTATGCAATCCTCCGGAGTGGGGAATGCAGACTGAAATTGATGAGATCGGTATGGGAATCCTCAACCACCTGATCTTAACTTGCCATTATCTGGAATGGAAAGAAGGACACTTGCAAGAAATCGTTAAAGAGCTTGAGAAAGAACGGACCGAAAACATAGGCGCTCTCCAAAGTCTGAATATGAAACTTAAGCACTACCTCATGATTGCTTATCAGAACGACGGAGCATGGATAGACTGCCAACACAAGATTCAAGCTCTCCAGCAACAGAAATATGATAGCGATGTATTCATCCAACATGCCATCGATCGAGAGGGAAGGGCAGTATCGCGAGAAGCAAATATGAGAATGGAGCTTCAGTGGGCGAGGCAAGGGGAGGCAAATGCGATGTATGCACAGAAACAGGCGGAAGCCCAGAAGGAGGAGATAATCACGCAGCTCCTTGCGAGGGAGGAGGAACTTGCTCGCCTCAAGGAGAGTCGGGCCGCGTCTTTAGGACAGGTACTGGCGGTACGGGAGGGGATGAGACAGTATCTCCAATAGGATTTTTTAGAAGGGGGGTTATATGGAGTTGGGGTAGACTTTATTCCGTACTTACTTGACAGATGAAATTTATACGAGCGTACCAGAAGATGACGAGATTACTGGAAGGGCTGCATGTGGGGCAGAATGCTCGTCAGCTGTCCATGCGGGGATGTGTACTGTGTGATGTAGGCCTACTCGTCGTAAGTACTCGTACACAGAATAATGCATGTACTGTACTTACCATTACCCACAGGTCAGTTACCATCATTTCCCCCTTCAAGGGTAAGTAACATTTGATCATCAAACACGTCTTCGCGTCCAAGATGATTTACAGTAACTGAGCCCTTTATGCCATCTTCACGCCCTATGTCCCTCGTATCCATGATGCCCGTTTCCCTCTCTCATGCTTCACGACATCTTTCGATAACCACACATTTGAGTTTTCTTGCAGCAACTCCCTCTGTGTTGACCTTCAATGAACCCCACAAGTCTGACATCCTGGCAAGTGGAGACAGATCCAGTCTTTCGCACGGACGATCAAAGGCGAAAAGTCGAACGAAAGCTCGGTGATGCGTTTCAACCGTATACTCATTGTCATCCCCTCTATTTCCCGCATATCGCTCTCTCTTATGGCCTTCGTCGTTGGTCTCCACTTCCTCTTCCTGATGCCGTAGGTCGAGGACCTTCGTGTTACGTTGCGTGTGATTGGAAAAGATGTCATTCTGGTTGTCTACCTTCTTTCATGTACACGTTAGTCCTCTTCCAAACGCAAGTACAATCAATTTCCATCCCGACTCCGCGATGCATTTGTGTGCAAGGCTGATTGTAACAGTTCGGAGAAGGACGATTGCCCTAATGCCGTTGAGAGATCATTCCCGACTCTGATATGGCAATACGAGATTGATCAAGAAGGAGTTCTAACACCTGGGGAATGTTGGTCTTGTCATACAAATTTCGACGAAGACTGTTCCGTCACATCCCTCCGTCTATGCAGAAAAGACGATCATCTACCTGGGTGTAAGCGAGACATATCTCTAATCCTTCCGAACCACACGTCGACAAAGACAGGAAGTAGGACAGCTACCGAGGCAGGACTTACTGAGCCAGAGGCAAAACGACCAACCTCTACGTGTCAAACTCCTCCCCCAACATGTCGTCAGCCTATACCTCCTCTACCCTCGTCATCACCAGAGATATCTTTCATGTCCAGGATCAGGCCATATCTCCCTCCACTGAAATCTCTCGGTTATCCACGGATACCCGCAAACAATCGTGCATCCGGATTTCGTCAACCAGCGATCGATGTCTCCTCTCCGTCCCCACGATTGTCAGTGATAGAGATATCATCTCCGTTCCAATCAACACATGTCATAGATGTATCATCTCCATCCCCACCATCTTCACCTATCACTTGTTCCAAATCACAGACGCTCCCTACGAAAGTCGTACAAACCATCACTCCCGAGTATCCTTCATTCGACCTCGCAGGATTAGCAAGATATCGAGCAGTCTTCGAAAGCATCCAGTCTGATGGTACGCTGGTCCTAGAGCATTTAGTGGGGCACTGCCAGCGAGTCATAACGGAGGCTCAAAAAGATCGCGAGAGTCTTCAGAAGTGTCAAGAGCAAGCACGGAAGGAACGAGAAGAACATGCCACGGCCATTCGACTGTGCGATACACGAATGGCGCATGCCGTGCAATTAACAGCTCGACAGGATCAAGGGTTGGCGGAGGGTTTCAGGAGGGTCCGAGAGTTGGAGCTCGAACAAGCCGCCAATCAGAAGCTTCTGAAGCAGGCTGAGCGTGACCGACAGGCTGCTTTCCAAGAGAGGGACAAGGCGACCCGAAGGGAAGCAGAACAACAAGACAAGGTTCACCGAGGGAAGGTGGTGGAAGGGACACTCATCCACAAAATCAACGAACTTGAAGCGTGTAGAAAAAAGGAGTATGCTGATCACAAGAAGACGTTAGCGCAGATTGGCAATCTCTCCGCAAAATTGGAAAAAGCAAAGGATATGGTGAGAGGGATTCAAATGATGGCAAATGAGTAGAATGGCACGGCGCGTATTTCGACATCGACATAGACTGCATTTCGCTACTCCCTTTTCGAAACTCAAAGACTCAACTCCTTCTCCTCGAACTGACTTCGTTTCTCGATCGTTTACGGGGAGTTCTCAACGACAGTCTCAAAAGATGGCAAGAGCGTTGGGGGGACTGCCTACTCCACCAGGAACCTGTGGGTCAGCTCTGTTCTGGATGTAGTTCCGCTTGTTCCTCTCCATCGCTGACAGAGAGACAGCACCATCATTTGACACTCCATTACCCTTGCTACGCCCATCCCCATGGTGCCCTGCCTTTCAGAGTGAGGAGGCCGTTAATCATATAGGCGAGGTCTCAGCAGGAGGAGAGAAAGCGATGATGATTCATTGACGCGCGAGAGTAGTCTGTTGCGAGTACTTGTAGACAACTGGGGTGGTGACGATGGGAGAAATTGAGGCGTAGTGAACATGACACAGGGTTACGAACGTTTATATCAAGGGTACAAATTGTAGGATATGGAAATGCAACGAGAAGGGCTCACATTGAGTACCTCACTAGTGAGGAAGAAAGTGTATCGTTTGAGCTCTGCACACTTCTTGGACAAAGCTTCGAGATCGAACATTTCTCCCAAAGTCAGACCCCAGCCAGAGAGACAGACGGGGTGAATGTGATAAGTTTCTTTTTCGGCGGCGATGAAGGCACCTGCTTCGAAGGCTCTGCGTCATCAGCCGCCATTGACCTCGCGTCCTTATTGAATATTGTAGTCTTTCCATATAGTATAGACTGCCAAAATTTGTCTGTGACATCTGAAAAGTAATGATAGAATCGTCTCAACGCTCAAAGGTGGAGGCTATGAGCCGAAGCTGATGATTCTTCAAGGGGTTAGGAAATGAAGCAGCATTGAACACTGACCGAGTGTCACCGGCCAACGCTGAGAACTTTTTACTCCAAAACCAGCGAAGAGCTTCTTCCGAGCAATCCATCCCTATCTGGTGCCCGTTTGCACCAACCCAGCGAGGCTCCATCCTGATATGTCAGCGTTGCTCCCTCCACAACTCGCACATAGTCCACACATTTCCTCCGACTGTAGACCCCACCGAGAGTGGATTGAACAGAACGGGCACGAGCGGATTATTTCCATGTGTAATAAGAGACAATAGAAAGCAGAAGATGACGACTGCGGACAGAAGCACTCACCAGTCCCTCTCTTCCTCAGTCAAAGCCTCATAAGCGGGGACAAATCCAGATCGGATGAACAAGATGTCTCCTTCCAAGATATCTGCCTCGGACATTCCTTGCCATTCGAGAGTCTTGATAAGATCCGCGACCGTGATGACGGTCTTTGCAAAGATCTCAAGTTTGATGTCGTGGGCTTGAGCGTATCCATAGTAGTCGATAAGAATACCTCGTCCGACGATTCCTTCCTTGGAGAATTCTACCCGTTTTAGTGACACTCGCAGAAGGTTTAGAAAGACTCACCATGGATACCATTGATGTTTGACGAAGCGATTTGTTCATTGGTCACACCATTGTAGTATTGCTGAAAGTTCAGCCCCGCCCTCATCTTGACTTGTAGAGTGTGCGGGATGATTCAAGGTAAAAGGAGAATTGTGAACGATGACTCACACCAGTTTGTTGATACGCATAATGCCTAAAACTATCCCACTGACTAGATCCTTGACTATTGAAGAACCATTCATCATCGTGTGCATTCCTCCCGGGCTTCCTGATGACATTCTGTACGAAAGTCTTACGGCCGTATGCCGGTTTATGAGGTTCGAACATCGACCAGTTCAAAGACACCCTTTGACCGGTTTTGATTTGGGTTTGAGCAGCGTTCAACACCACTTCTGGCGTGAGGAGGTTCTACGTGTATGTCACTTCAGATATCGAGACACAGAATACGGATAACTTACCAGCATCCCAATTTGATCATCACGACCCCATAGACCCCAAGCGTTGTATTTGGGCCCGTCCTTGTCGAGAGGGAGATCGTCGAAGGACGGCCAAGGGATAGCAGGTTTGACCATGACTGTGCGAGTGACTTGATGTACCAATGAGGTCGAAGAATAGGTGACGAATATAGAACAAACTCGTTCGCGGCCCTTATACGTACATGTACTGACGCTCTGCTGCTGCAGTGAACATAGGAACCGGCAATGGAAGCGTTTGGCGGACGACCATGGCCGGACCGGGCCGGACCGGCGCTTGACGTAGCTACCGTTGAATCTCCGTCTAAGTCCGAATGGTGCTACTCTAGTTGAGGGAAAGTGGTACTCCATGGGGTGTCTAATGACGTCAGCTTCCTGTCCTGTGTGGAAAACATTTGGTCAGGGCCCACTATCAAGAAAATTACAACAACTTCAACGGGTCAAGATCCTCCTAACTTCGCTTAACTCATGCTGATCAAAAGGGATGTCCTCATGAGATTCCATCTCGTTCCCTTGCCCTTCATTGTCGAGAAGAATGGCTTCAGAGAAATCAATGACGGCGCACGATGAGTCCTCTGGCCGCAGTCGAATGTGTCTAGGTTCCACGTCGTGATGCAAAACTCCGCAAGCGTGAATGGCTCGGTAGGCAGAGATGATGTCATCTACTCGCCTGACCGTCAGTAAGTATCCCAGATACGTGTCACCTGCAAGAGGCAATGGAAATTGTGCCGTGAGCAATGGTCAGTGGATTACGCAGGGGATGCCGGTCATAAGGGTAAGGTAGTCGACAGTAGGTCAATAAGTGTAGTGAGACCAGAAGGAAGAATCCGAACAACCCACGTGGACAAATATGCCCTTTCAACTTCGTCACCTAGGTCCTCCATGATACAAACCCTGACCTCACCTCCTGTTGGCCCACCGGGAAGCCGGAACCCCAAGTCACCACCGTACACTCCTAACCAGCGGCCGACTTCCCGCCCCTGTAGATGACGCATGCGGTTATAAGCCTCATCCTCGGTATGGACGGCCTGGTCAATTTCCTCTGGCCAGAGCAGCGGCATCCAGTGCGGACGATTATATGCGGCGGACATTGAGGTGATCTTAATCACAACAGAAAGGGGAGGGTGTCGGAAAGACGAGGAAGAGCCCGGTGTGAGGTGCCCGCGGAATGCGTCCCAGATTCTTCCGCTGGACAGATACCGTTCGACGGTCACGTGAGCAGGTGAAGTACTGACCTGATCCCCTTCAACAGTGCCTTCTGTCGACGAGGAGGGTTTGACAGTAGGAAGGAGTGAAAGAGTGCCAGCGCGGAAAGGGAGAAAGCCGGTATCCGGAAACTCAAAGCAGATTTGAGCCTGCGCTATCAGCTGGACTGGCGATATGGTCAAGTTGGGGACATGACAACTCAATGAAGCTGATGGGAGTGGTACATATACAGGTACAGCAATGGATGGAATATAGCGGGGTTCAACTACATTGAGGGGTCAATCAAAGGGTGATAGAGAATAAGATGCAATACTGACAAAAGTTTTGCTGGGCCACGGCGTTCTGACGACACTGTCATCCCCAAAAACAACGTCTTCGATGGAAGGCAAAGAGGAAGAAACTGATGAACATAAGGGCGAAATCCAAGACGAAGTGGTGGAAATGGAAGAAGGGGAGACGAATGAAACTGTCGACGGAACTTCCTCTGTTTTTGGATTGGGGAGGTCAATATCGAGCTTTGTCTGTTGCTCAGTGATGATACTGACTAAGGCATACTGTGGGAGGGTAGTCCGAAAGTGTGCTGAAGCAAAGAAGTAAGGAAGCTGACAGGATGGGGCAGAGAAGGGACGATATTCGACTTACCCTCCACAACCACGACCCAAGCGACCACCGACCCGACTGCTGGCTCTGGCATCGCGACGCGGGTCGAGGTCGATCGGATGTGTGGGGAGGTGAGGGCCGTATGGCTGTCATCGGAGCAACAGGTCCCTGCTTGTCAGCACGGGTGGGACAAGAGGGTGCGAAGGGAAGACGCGACGGTCCATGATAAGATGAGGGTGACTCTGCCTGTTGGGATCATTCTGGCTGGCAAGAAGCACATGAGATGACGATAAGGCCCAAGGGGCAGATGGGGGAACAAGACGGAGTAAGGATGAAAGACTTGCCCGACGGCGTAAAAAATACCCTCCCTCTCCCCCCTTCCCTCCTCCTCCTCCTCCCCCTCCTCCCCCTCCCCCCCCTCCTCCTCCTCCTGCCCTTCCGATGCTGCGTTCCAGTCGCTGATCATCAGTCTCTGGGGAATTTCTTGCAAGGCTTCTGAGACAGGTCTTAGCACATCTCCGACGACATTGGCCTTCAGCAGCCTTCCAGAATGGATCGGGCGGGCTCCGCGAGCACTACGGGGAGACGGTAAGGCTTTGTTTGGGTTTCCCAAGTGGAGATGAAACTAGGCGACGCATCACCAGGACAAAGCCAGAATGAGGGCTAAAATATATGTTGAGTCGTGTGATGAATCAGAGAACTCGAGAAGTCTGTTGACAACTGCAAAAATTAAGATGGTGCGGTTTGCATATAGCAGATAAAGCAGATCCATAAAGTGTGGTTATGGGGGCACGACAATCTGGAAGGAAAAAGTAGAAACGACCACTCACAGCCCTCTTGTCCTCCCGTTCCTGTCGATCGAGTATCAGACTCAACCACAGTCCAAGAGGTCTGACGACATGAAACTCGGACCAGAGATCTTCCCATGCCTCCAATCGTTCTCCACGATCCCCGGCATTCCACCTGAAATGCCTTCGCCACCAACGCCGTCTGTCGGAACCGATGTGTGCCAGTGAGGACTGCAGGATTGGACCCACAACTTGAGGATATAACAGCCCCCGACTGGTGATGGGCGGGCTCACCCAGATGACGTTGGCCTCCTCCCCTTCCCCGCGTCGTAACAAGCAATATGTGAACCCATCTTGTACCACGATCGACCCAACCCCAGTGAAAACAAATTCATTGATGATCTGGGTCAAAAGGGAACGAGTCCTCTCCTCCAAGAAGATATGATCATCTATGTTGAGAAGGTCGTGGATAGGTTCCCTGCGCAAATGGAGCAAAGAAGTTCGAGCAACGGTGGATTGGGCGTTGGCGACGAGTTCAAGACCGGGGTGGGTGTTGGAGGGATGCGAGGCCGACACGAAGACCAGAGGGGCGACGCCTGCGAGTGAGCGGTGAATGGGGTCGACAAGGGGGCGGGAGCCATGCGATTGGGACGAGGAGACAAGGGCAAGTAGATGAGCAGGACAGACTGATGACTAACCTCGTAAGGCTCCGCGGACTTTAGTCTCGACTGCCCACCCCGCCGACACGTCACCGGCCTGCTCGTACTCCCAGATCTCATCTGGGACACCCGGTTTACCCACATTCTGGGGAGCCAAAAAGGATCCCTTGAAGCGGTCCGAAGCATAGTGATCTATCACTAGGGTCGCAGGCTGCTCGTTAGGGAAGATTACAGTGGAACGTGAGGGCAATAGTCAAGATCGGAAGCAAGGTGACAGGACGAGGAAAATCTGAGCTGAGTTGATAAGTGATAAGGGCAGAATGAGCTGAGCGCGAGAGTGAAGATGAGACATCAAGGGCAGATGGGTACGAGACGATACCAACGTCATTGAGACATCTACTCAGGTTATGGCTAACCTGAGTTTCCGCCCGGACCACAGTGCGAAACGCCATTGGGGACTCCACCCGCCCCCGAGAGAATGGCCATACCCAAGTCGAGAGACGGAGATGCTTGGACAACACCGCTTCCAGGCGAGGAAGCTCTGCGTGGTCCTGACGGAACTCCCATCTTGAATGGGGCCATCTAGAGATGGAAGCTATCGACACGTTGGTGAGCGAAGAGGGGAGACGGACCGTATCGTCCTTGAGGGAGGGCACAATATGACCAAGGATCATTCGCGACAAGGTGGTCGGACGTAAGGGGGGGAATTTGTAGAGACAAAAAATCAACAAGCAGATGAGAGGCGAAATGTAAAACGGAATACTGATCACAGCGGTGGGGATGGCAGAAGCCATGGTGGTGAAGAGTGACTGAGGCATGTAGTAAACAAAAGTAAAGTGACAGTGAGCAAGGTTAAGTAGTAGCTTAGTGTGATGAGCGGAGGTTTACGGGGTTATGAAGAGGCTCATGACTGTGGCGGATTCGCTGACACTCGCATCACGTGCATTTCAAGCGGTTACAAGTACTATAGTACCTGTCTCTAGTCTCGGCATTCTTTATTCTTTACTCGCTCGATCCAATAACAGAAGCGGCTTGGTCCGTGTTGGTGGAACCCAATCCCAGAGTCTTCTGAAGGGTCGAAGCCACTTTACTCGTCTCACCCTGCTTCCTTGACGCCCACGTCCAGTCTTTCAGCTCCGGCACGTCGATACCATGTTTGAAGGCGTAGGTTCTCGCGGCGATCTGTTGGTTGAGGAGCTTCTCCCTGACCATACTCGCTTTGTTCTTGAAGCTGAGCAAACGATCGATAGCATCGATGGCGAGAGTGAATCGATCAGTGCCGTTTCGGATGGCGAGTTCGAGAGGAGTGTCAATGTTCCCTTTCTCCTTGTATCCCCTGACATGGATGTTGTGTGATCCAGCACGTCTATAAGTGAGACGGTGAACAAGCCAGGGGTAAGAGTGGAAGTTGAAAATGACCGGTTTGTCCTTGGTGAACAAAGCATTGAACTCTGAATCGGTAAGACCATGGGGATGATCGTCGCTCGAGATGAGCTTGAAGAGATCGACAACGTTAACAAAGCGAATCTTGATCTCGGGCAGGTATTCGCGGAGTAACGCCGTAGCAGCGAGTGATTCCATAGTGACCACGTCACCACAACTGGCCATGACCAGATCGGGTTCGTCGTCTGGACTGTTCGAAGCCCACTCCCAGATCCCAACACCTTTGGTACAATGCGCGATGGCGTCCTCCATGTTCAAATACTGAAGATGGTCCTGCTTGTCCGCCACGATGACATTGACGTAATTTTCGCTGACGAAACAGTGGTCCATGACGGACAGGAGACAGTTGCCGTCAGGGGGAAGATAGATACGAACAACTTCCGGACTCTTATTGGCAACGACATCGAGGAAACCTGGGTCTTGGTGAGTAAAACCGTTGTGATCCTGACGCCAGACAGTCGCAGTAAGGAGGATGTTTAGGGAAGGGACTTTCTTCCTCCACTCGACTTCGAGACATTTTTCGATCCACTTGCAGTGTTGGTTGACCATAGAGTCGATGATGTGAATGAAGGGTTCGTAGCTGTTGAGAAGACCATGACGACCGGTCAAAACGTAGCCTTCGAGCCATCCCTCGACTGTGTGTTCAGACAAAATCTCCATGACTCGTCCGCTATGCGCCAGATTTCCCCCATCCTCGTCTTCAGGCAAATAGTCACCCATCCACACCTTCTTGCCCGCCTTGTAGACCTCCCCGAGCTTGTTCGATTCAGTCTCATCCGGACCGAAGAGACGGAAGTTGGTCTGATTCTTGGCAACGACATCACGAAGCCAGCATGCCATGTTGCTCATGCTAGGACCGCTGGTGATACCCGGGTTGACGGCAAGAGCGTAGTCTTGGAAAGGTGGAAGTCGGAGTGAGCGACGAGGGTAACCACCGTTGGTGACAGGATTGGCAGACATCCTCTTGTTACCTTCCGGGACGAGAGTCTTGAGTTCGGGAATGAGTTTACCCTCCTTGGTGAAGACTTCTTCAGGTTTATACGATCGCATCCAAGATTCGAGGAGCGCAAGGTGCTCCTTATTCGTGGCGACATCGGTAATGGGGATCTGATGAGCACGCCAGTAACCTTCGAGGTGATGTCCGCTGACGTCACGAGGAGAAGTCCAACCTTTGGGGCTGCGGAGGATGATCATGGGCCAGCGAGGACGGAAAGCTTTTCCAGAATCACGAGCTTCTTTCTGATAAGCCCGGATCTCGTCCACACACCTTTCCATAGTTGCCGCCATAGCTTGGTGCATCGACTCAAGATCGGATCCTTCGACAAAGTATGGAGTCCAACCATAACCGACGAAAAGGGCTTCAAGCTCGGCGTGGGAGATACGGGAGAGGACAGTGGGGTTGTTGATCTTGTAACTGAACGTCAGAGAAGTCTAGAAAAAGAGTTGAACAACTGACCCATTGAGATGCAAGACAGGTAAGACTGCACCATCGTTGATGGGGTTGAGGAACTTGTTGCTGTGCCAAGACGTCGCCAAAGGTCCTGTCTCACTTTCACCATCACCCACGACTACGAGACTGATAAGATCGGGGTTGTCGAACACTGTACCGAAGGCATGAGACACCGAGTAACCCAATTCACCGCCTTCGTGGAGCGATCCGGGGGTCTCAGGGGTGGCGTGAGATCCGATCCCTCCCGGGAAGGAGAATTGCTTGAAGAACGTGGTCATCCCCTCGATGTCCTCGGTGATGTTGGGGTAGACCTCGGAGTAAACGCCTTCGAGGTAGGATTGAGATAGGACGGCGGGAGCACCGTGACCTGAGTATCAGCGTTTGGTCCAGCTCCGAGAGAGAGAAGTAGGCGAAAGGATAGATACTTACCGGGTCCAGACAGGTAAATGACGTTGAGACCGTACTTGTTGATCATGCGGTTCATGTGCATGTAGGTGAAGATCTGACCAGCGTCCGACCCCCAGTGACCGAGGAGACGAGCTTTGATGTGATCAAGAGAGAGAGGCTCCGAGAGAAGAGGATTGTCGCGGAGGTAAAGCATACCCATGCAGAGATAGAGAGAAGCCCGCATGAAAGCGTCCATCTTGCGCAACTCATCCTGGCTGAGAGGCTGGCCCTTGACGGTGGTACGAGCGGGCCCGAATGGCGTGAGGAGAGAAGCTTGGCTAGCCATCGCTTTCTGACGACGAGCTTTGACCAGAGAAGAGCAATTGATGAAGAGATAGTTGAGATGTGAACGGAGAGGTTACAGGTGATGGAATGGTTGGCATGCGTGGGTGCGGTGAGTTGTATACCTTCCGCTTCGGGCATTTCTGTGATCTGCGATCTGCGACCACCGCCGTCTGCTCCGCCACTGATCACTACGTCATGTCACTGTGGCACTTTGCTCTAGATTCAAGAGAGATCCTTGTCCTGCAGGAAAGGTTTTGACAACACTCTGAGACACCTTTTTGGACTTAATTACGTTCTGATAGGTAACTGGTACTTAAGTATGTTCCCTTGAAACATAGTTCAGCTTCTGGTATAACATAGTTTAGTCCATAGTTAGCAGCAGGTCACATGTCACGGACGGGGTTTAATGATCCTGCTTGTGAGGATCACCACAAACAAATAAATGTAACCTGCCTGTAGGGCTGGATACTGAATTGGAACTCTGTGATGTGGGTAAAACTAGTCAGCAATGATTGAAGGTCAGCAGATGTAAGTAAAGAGTGTATCAAGGAAACCAAAGAGGATCTGAGAGAGGAAGGAGGAAAAAGGAGGAAAAGAAGGAAGGGGAAGAAGAAGTGAGAAGAATGATGATGGAGGAAGAGATCCCCCTCAGACCCGGCTTATATGCATAAATGAGCTGACGTTGGCCACAGCGTTGACAGGGTGTCACGCCTGCGGGTAGACTGCGGTAGCAAAGGACTGCCTTGGGAACTGAGGGGTTTAGTCTCTGGCTCGTGGACCTTGGTGACTGCCTTAGGTACTGAGGGTTCGAGAGGTTGGGTTAGAACCAACTGAGTGACTTATCAAACGAGGGGAAGGGAATTGAAAAGATACATTGCTGAAGAAGAAACTACAGTACTAGATAGGGTTTAAATACTAAAATCACGCCTTTTCCAAGAGGCTCGTGCAGACCTGCGGAATACGAGCGCTCTGAACCGTCCTGCACTGTCCTGCATGCATTGCCATGCATCCCACCGATTACCACTGATATCCTACGATGCCATATCTGCGTTTACCTATGTCCTACTATGATATCCTACGTGATGCGCCGGAAGTCGGTGACTTTGTCGAAGGTGGTCGATGAGGAACTATGAGGAACTATGCAGAACATAGAAGAGCTGCGAGAACAAGAGACTGAGAGATTATGCCTTACAAGGCATCAGAACAGAGGAAAGAGAAACTAGAGAAGTACTTGGGGCTTATGCCTGTCAGGCATTAGAGCACAGGAAAGATAGTCTTGGAGTTTATGCCTGATAGGCTTGAGAGCAGAGGAAAGATAGACTTGGAGTTTATGCCTGATAGGCTTGAGAGCAGAGGAAAGATAGACTTGGAGTTTATGCCTGATAGGCTTGAGAGCAGAGGAAGATATGAGAGTGGAGGTCTGAACTTGTGATTATGACAAGTCATTATTTGATAGTGTCATTCATGACAGGAGCTCCCCCTCTAAGGGCGAAGTCCTCTGAGCCTTGATGATCTATGCTGAGATCTTTTGTTGTTGTCTTTTGTTGTTTGATGTGTGTTTTGCCGGTGTGCTTTGATTGGAGGGAAATGATGAGTGGGATCCTTAAGGTGTTGTTTACGGAAGCTTTTATATGCTGTGGTGTGGTTGACATTTTCCCAGGGTTCCCATGAGTCATGGAAGCTGGAGTAGTCTTTCCAGTTGACAAGGTAGTCATAACCATTGTCTGCACCAATACGAGAGTCGAGGATTTGAGTGACAATATATTCTTCTTGACCATTGACTTCAATGCGCGGTGGAGGATCTTGGGGTTGTTCAGGATGACCTTTACGCATGGGTTCAAGAAGGTTAACGTGGAATACAGGGTGAATGTTCATTGAAGGTGGCAGTTCAAGTTTGAACGCAAGTGGAGAGGATGTGGCTTCAATGATCTTGAAGGGACCAAGCATCCTTTGATCAAGTTTGAGCGAGGGCCGTAGGGTTTGAATATTACGTCTGTTAAGAAAGACTTTATCACCAACTTTGAAAAGTGGTTGATCCTTGATGTTGATATCCTTGACCTTCTTGTTGAAGTGTCTGGTATAATTTTCTTGAGCTGACTTGATATTATTGGCGAGAGTTTGGTGAAGATGATGTAATGTACTAAGATGTTCTCCTGCAGCTGGAACAGAGAGAATTGAAGGTGAAGGTGAAGTGGGATCATTTGGATGATACCCATAGTTTGCTTGGAATGGAGTGAATTGTGTTGAGGAGTGGACAGAGTTGTTGTAACTGTACTCTGCAAGATCCAGAAGAGATGACCAATTGGCTTGATCATAGTCACAGAATGATCTGAGGTAATGTTCTAGGACTTGATTGACTCGTTCTGTTTGACCATCTGATTGAGGATGGAAGGCAGTAGAAAAGTTTGGAGTGATTCCTAAGCCTTTGACAAAAGAGCGCCAAAACTGAGAGTTGAAGATTGATCCGCGATCTGAGATGATATCCTTGGGTAGACCATGAAGTCTCCAAATATTTTGTCTGAACA